TAAGTTTTTAAAACCGAACACCCGCTTTAATAAAGTTAATTTTGAATTGGTTTAGAGAGGATTGCCTCCTTTGTTTCATTGGCCGAAAATTCTCTGTTTACAAAATAAGGAGGTCAATCCGATTTTGTGATAATTTGCAAATTTTCTTAATTTTTTGGATTGACCCTATTTCGACAAGTTTGTCGCGCGAACGGGATAGAGATTTAGCAGGTGCCCGTTTGCATCCAAATGTATACGTGGGTTTTTACCAAACTTTATTTCAAAATTAAAACAAATATGATAGTTAAAATGTGGTGGAAACGGCCTTATCTATTTATCACTGTCTCATGGTCTATAATTATTATGCATCTAGATATCACACATAATAATTAATCTTCTATTACTTAAACAATTCATAGAAGAATAAGAAAAAATCTAAGTCCCAAATATGGCTAATAATAATAACTTGGTTACCCATAATGTGATGAGATAGTCTTTATGTAACATATTTAAGAAAATCTCATGCTTGAGTGAACCCGTGATAAACGTATTGCTCCATATGGGGGCACGGGTTCACGTTTACTAGTATTAAGGATACTAGTTTATATATACAGGAAATAAAAAAGATAGATAATAAATAACACGGGGCGGGGGGGCAAAGGGATATATACAATATGGAGTCTTTTTTGACATTATGGGTAAACTGTAGCCAGCACCTCCCAATTTTGATAATAACCATGAGACTGTATGGTAAAAATAGTCTAGTGCACAGCCTAATTAAGAAATTATTCAATTAAAATTTTCATAGCAATAAAATTACAAAATAAATAAATAAATAAACTTCTCCATAGCACACCGTTTTCACGGCCACTTATTAGGGCCACTTTTAAAAATAAACACTTAAAATAGGTTTTGTACACTTTATACAATGGCTGTGCACTGACTCAAAAATTTAAAACGTAAAAATATATGGTCGAAACTTACATACAGTATCCTGTCAAACAACTGGTCTATTAATAGCAAACGGCCGTCTGCTAAGCGACAGTAACAGGGGTAACTTTACATTTTGTTCAGGTAGAGGTTTAAGTACCGTTGATTACTTGCTATTGAATTTTACTGATTTTCAATTATTACAACATTTTAAAATTGAAGATTTTAACGAATTCTCTGACCATTCTCCTCTCTCATTTTCTTTTGTAAAAAAGAAAGAATGTACATCTCGAATAGCAGAATCGGGTATTCATCCCAGCGAGGATAAGATTTCGTGGGACGAAGAAAAAATACCCCTGTTTAGATCACAACTTTTAGATAGAAGTGACGATATTTTAAAACTTACTCAAGAGGTCATAGATCAACCAATAGACCACGTGGTACAAAATATTTCACAATTCATATCTGACAATGCATTCGATGTGTTCGGAAACAAAGCGAATTTTTAAATCATAAACGTGGAAAATTAAGCAAAAAATGGTTTGATAAGGATTGCTTCGAGGCAAAAAAGGAATTTAAGAAAGCACGTAATGTTTTTAATAGGCACAATACAGTTGATAATCGCCTCCATTTTATACATACGCGAACGCGTTATAATAAAAATTAAACGATCTGCAAGACATAAGTTCAAAATAAAAGAAGGCTTAAGAATAAATAACTTAGCTAAATCTCAACCCCGGAAATTTTGGCAAAACATAAAAAATACTTATAAAGATGATAAAGAAAAGACTGATACATTAAATGTTGAACAACTATATGACCATTTTAAGGCACTATTCGGCGAGGAAAGCCAAAATGAAAATCAAAACTTTTTATTTAATGATAACTTAATTGATGAAGATCTAGACGCAGAAATTAATGAGTGCGAGTTACGGGAAGCTATATTTTCTCAAAATAATAATAAATCACCAGGCTATGATAAATTAATATGTGAAATTTTTAAAGCAGCCTACGATATCATGTCTCCATTGTTGCTTAAACTCTACAATAGATTGTTTATTAAATAGTGAATATCCTAAAGTTTGGGGGGAGGGTATCATAACGCCTGTTTTCAAAAAAGGAGATGTTAATGATGCTAAAAATTACAGAGGGATTACACTTATTAATATTCTTGCGAAAATTTATTCCCAGATATTGTTAAATAGACTTAGTAAGTGGTCAATAAAACATGATAAAATTTGTAGTGAACAATTTGGTTTCCAAAAAGGAAAATCAGTGTCTGATTGTATTTTTATTTTTCATGCAGTTATATCAAATGTTCTAAATTCGGGTAATAAGTTATATTGTATTTTTGTTGATTACGAAAAATGTTTTGATAAAATAGATAGATCGTTTTTGTGTGGCAAAAGCTTATTGCAGAAAATATTAGCACGCGATTTGTTAAAGCAATGAAATCAATGTACACTACTGTAAAATCATGTGTAAGGTATAATTCTACATATTCAGATTTTTTCAATTCTCATATAGGCTTGAAACAGGGAGATCCGAGCTCACCTCTGATCTTCATGTTCTTCGTAAATGACCTTATAGACAATATTAACACTGATTTAGAAGGTATTTTTTACAATTAACGAACTTAAGCTTTTTCTCATTTTATTTGCAGACGACCAAGTACTTTTTGCTAAATCCCCTGAATCTCTACAGGCAATGCTAACGGATATTGAAACTTATTGTAATACATGGGGTTTGAAAATAAATACATCTAAAACAAAAGCAATGATTTTTGAAAAAGGCAGGCATACACAGCACATTTTTTATATTTACAACACACCAATCGAACTTGTAGAATCATTTAAATACCTTGGAATTACCCTCTTTAAAAATGGCAATTGGTTTAGAACTCAAAATAGAATAGCTCAACATGCCTCATTTGCTTTACATAACCTGTTTAAAGTATTTAAAAATATAGAACTGCCAACATATCAGAAATGTAAATTGTTTGATTCTCTAGTCGGTTCCATTTTAAATTATAATTCGGAGATATGGGGAATGCACGATGCTAAAGATATAGAAGTTATTCATACTAAATTTTTGCGTAGAGTCTTAGGGGTTAAAAAATCAACTAACTTGTCAGCACTTTATGGTGAGCTTGGTCGTTACCCGTTACATATTACTAGAAAACTTAACATGATAAGATATTGGTCAAAAATACTTAAACTTAATGATGCATCACTTGTTAAGCAGACGTATTTACTTCTTAAGTCAGACACAGATGTTGGTCGAAATTATAACGGAAAAAATTGGGCTTCTTTTATCAAAGACACCTTGTCAAGTCTTGGCTTTTCATATATTTGGGACAATCAGTTTGATATAGATATACCATATAATACTATTAAACAAAGATTAATTGACACCTTTCTACAAAGTTGGTATGCATCTATCAATAATTCACCAAAGATTACAAACATATTGTATATTTAAACATTCTTTTGAAATGGAAAAGTATTTAGATTATGTCCAAGAAAGTAAATATAGAACTGCTTTAACTAGATTTCGAACTTCTTCCCATAATTTATTTATAGAAACTGGTAGATACGAAAACATTCCTAGAGAACAGCGATTATGTAAATCATGCAATATGAAGCAAATAGAGAGTGAATACCACTTTCTCCTTGTGTGTCCCAACTACCGAGATCTTCGAACAAAATATCTTAAAAAATACTACTGCCATTGGCCTACTATGAATAAATTAGATAGTATCTTGTCGTCAGACTCAAAGAAAACTATATGTGCCTTAGCTAAATTTTTGTATTGGGCAAATCATAAACGTATATCTTAATCTGATATTTTTTCTGAAAAACTATATTGTTGATAAGTACAAGAATTATTTGTTCCCATATTAACTTGTATTCTTCAGAAAACTTGTGTATAATTGTTAACTGCTATTTTTCTCACTGTACATGTGTATCATTGTAAATTGGCTATAAGCAATGTATTTTGTTTTATGCTTAATAAAATTCGTATTCGTATTCGTATTCGTATGCAGTAGAAATTTATAAAACTTTTATTTGTGAACGGCATTTACAATCCACGATAATTACCAAAAAAAGAGGTCGAAATATCCAAAATTAGCCCTTACTGTATGCAGTAGAAATTTATAAAACTTTTATTTGTGAACGGCATTTACAATCCACGATAATTACCAAAAAAAGAGGTCGAAATTAATATCCAAAATTAGCCCTTACTGTATGCAGTAGAAATTTATAATACTTTTATTTGTGAACGGCATTTACAATCCACGATAATTACCAAAAAAAGAGGTCGAAATTAATATCCAAAATTAGCCCTTACTGTATGCAGTAGAAATTTATAAAACTTTTATTTGTGAACGGCATTTACAATCCACGATAATTACCAAAAAGAGGTCGAAATATCCAAAATTAGCCCTTACTGTATGCAGTAGAAATTTATAAAAACTTTAATTTGTGAACGGCATTTACAATCCACGATAATTACCAAAAAAAGAGGTCGAAATATCCAAAATTAGCCCTTACTGTATGCAGTAGAAATTTATAATACTTTTATTTGTGAACGGCATTTACAATCCACGATAATTACCAAAAAAGAGGTCGAAATATCCAAAATTAGCCCTTACTGTATGCAGTAGAAATTTATAAAACTTTTATTTGTGAACGGCATTTACAATCCACGATAATTACCAAAAAAGAGGTCAAAATATCCAAAATTAGCCCTTACTGTATGCAGTAGAAATATTATGGTGGTAATTATTGCAAAATTGATCATATTAGCGTTATAAAACATCGCACATAGTATGTAAATTATTACTTGAAGCTAGAACCTTTTTTCTTTTCTTAAAATTTCAGTACATTTTTCTCATGAGCTAATTAATTCATTTAATAATTATACGAAGGAAAACGTTGATAGGTGTTCCATGTGTTATCACTGCATTTTATTAAAAGTTTCACAATAGTTTCCTCTGCAAGTTAAGTATGCAGAATAATATGACAATTAAGGGGAGATAAATCAGATAGCATTAATTCTGCTTAGCAAATGTAAATAATTTTACCGTACCCAATTAACAAAGTTTACTTCCGGTTTACTAATGGCTTCCCTAGCGACAGGTGCTCAGGTGTGATAAATAAATTTGAAAACTGAAGTAAAACGTTTTTTATGGGATAATTGAAAAATAATGTAAGTTAAATATTAAAATCTACATTTTTAACGGTACTTTTTAATTTCTAATTATTAACATATCACCAATAAGTTTTGGCTAGAACTGTTTTTGACAACATGAAAAATAACGTCGAGTTATGTATATAAATATACCTTATTGTCATACTAAATACGACTGTAGTAGCTCAAAATTCTTTACTGAAATATTGAAATTATTGTTATTTAATGTCAATAGAAAGAGTATATGTTGCCACTAACATTATCGTTATACATGGAGCTATAGGCTAAAGTGCTATAATCGGTATGTTGAAAATTAAACTTATTGAAACAAAAAAAGGATAATTATAATAAGTATGTAAACAATTTCAATTAATATTATTCAACTGCAACTAAACGCTCTTTTTTCGCCGTCTGGAGATGACAACGATTGATATTCTACTTTCTTAAGCCAACATCGTGATTCATCTCTAAACAATTGCTGTTTCTTGGTTAAAATCCTCGGTTAAAACATAAAATAACATATGCATTTTTAAGTTTCACACAATTTGGAAAAGTGCCGTACGACTAGACAATACAGTGTGTCTCGTCTAGCCGTACGTGACTCACATACGGCTAGAACTGTTGGCGAGCCGTGTGGGCCCGTACGGATAGCCACTTCCTTCTGAGATATGTTTGATCTGGGTCAGTATCTTGGTTCTATTTCCCAAATTTAAATAGCTCATTGCATAGTACAATTAATTGTGCATAGGCTGTTGTATCAAAGAATATACCTTTGAAATTTAATTTTGTTTTTGTTACAGTGAAACAATGACGAGTGCAGTGATAGAACCACGGGGAATCCCCACAATATTTGGGGAAGTTCTCGAGAAAAATGTCACTTTCTGTGTTGACACATCTGGCAGTATGTATAAGGGAATAGAAATGGTAAAAGAACACTTAAATGAAACGCTACTGAAGATGGGAAATTCAGGAAAACCATACATGTTCAACATTATTGAGTTCAATTCAGAAGTTACTCAGTGGTCAGACAAACTAGTTACATGCACGCCACAAACTGTTAGCGTTGCCAAGGAATGGATTAACAAACTTCAAGCTAAAACTGGTACAAACACTAAAGAGGCTTTACTAACAGCTCTTAATGACCCACTTTGTGATGCTGTTTATCTTGTTACTGATGGACTGCCTGACCATCACCCAGCTGACATTCTGGACCATGTTGCCAGTATCGGAGGCTATAGAGCTGTTCACTGTGTATATTTATCAACTGAAGAAACCACAGAATCAGCTGCTATTGAATTTCTTGAGGACTTAGCTATTGAATCTTATGGTTCATTTCATATTGTTGCTTTGACAACCCATGGATGTGTTGAAAGAATAACACCAATTTACAGAGCAGAGCATGCAGCTGAGAGAGTCATACGCACCATTAATGGAACTGTTCGACCAAATTTACAAAAATGTAGTGTTGCAACAACATTACAAGTTGACCCTGATGACAGTGTTTCCCTTGCACCTAGAGTTATGCACGGAAGATATCCCCCCTGTTATGGTCCACCTTTAGGTCCCTGGTGTGACTGGCTTAGCACCCCATATAGATATTACTACCCATATGCCTGGAGTAGATACAGGCCTGCAAGAGGTTGGTTAAAGTCCCAGGAGCAGATGATTGAGAGTATAGAAACATCAGGCCTCTCACCTGCTGCTGGTTCCCTGCTGATCAACAAAGCTGTCCTTGCAAGACGTTTAGATGATGGGTACTTCTATAAAGCTACTGTCAAAAGTCAGGTCAGTATTTTAATTATCTGTAAGGCTAATAAATGTGTCTTTGAATATCTATGCGGTTTAAACACTAAAAATATGTTAACAGTGTATGAGTTTGAAGATAATTCTTTGTATATCTTTTCAAATGCACATTTTGAATAATTTATCTTAATATTAGAATTTAAGATTTTCTCTTAAGATTTCTGAACAATAAAATGATACTTGTTCACTTTACAATACAGAGCAAATTTGATGAAAATGTAAGTCAATATATTGTATGTATATGTAAAAGTTTGTGTCAGATATTCTGGAAAAAAAAACTTATGATGCTAAATTTTCTCTACAGATTTCTTAATTACTACACCTAAAATGATATTATCTCATCTATATATTTATAAGTATAATCATTCATTTGATGTTGTCTAACATTTGTTTTGTTGTTGTTGTTTTTTTTCTCTTTGAATTCTGACATCATACTTTTGTGAAATGACATACTAGTGACCTCAATTCACTTTTTGCTGAATAACTCTGATTCTCTGTCTGTTAACTTTCATAGATTTCATTCAAATGTTTTCTTTTTCTTTCATTTCTAAATAATGTAGCTATTATCATTTATATATTGTTATTATTACTAATGATACTGATAATGCCATTCTATATCAGTGGAATCTTTAATAATCTTTTGATGACATATCATAATACAAAACCTGTTCAAGACAGCAGTATTATTGCTGTTGGGGTTTGGGTTTTTTTTAATCTAGTGCAAGTATTGCTTTAAGCTAGGCCCCCAGGCTCTAGAGTATTACCTAATACAACAATAACCATCAATTCTTAGTGCAAATTGAAAATTTAGACTTCATGTAAATGAAGACAAAGTTTCCTGTTTCTTAATACTAAATATACATTTATAAAATACAGGTTTGACTGTATGCATGATTTATTTTTTTAGTTAATCTTATATAACATTGCCCTTGTTATCTTGTGGTATGAAAATTATAATACACTTGTAGCCACTTATTAAATGTCTTGTATAATGTTTAATTCTCAGTATTAATCTCATAGACTTGGCCACAAATGGTAATAAAATATTTTTATACGATGATATTATTTTCCATGTATATAACACAAATTATTTCACTAATCCAGCAGCTACATATTATATATTGTTAAACATATGATGTTTATTCGATTATCCTAGGCAAAGCAGGATATAGAGGGTAATTGTATATTATAACATAAAATTTCTAAATTTTTAAAAATTATATTTAACTTACATATACATATTGGGGGTTGACTGTAAGACTGTTGTAAGTCCTTCTTTATTTCATATAAGTTACTGCAGTTTTGCTGTCAACCCTTCAGGCTTGATATATGAAACAGCATTGAGTTGCTTTATGCACTTTTCTAGGACTAGATTATGAAGCACTCTAAAAGTAACAACTCTAAGCTTTCTGTCTTTTAAATAATATAGAATCTACAGACAATATATTAAAATCACGCTGTTACAATGTACTGCTTTTTGAATATTTGTAATTTTTATATTATATATAAGCTTTTATTTTATTTTCCTTATTTTTGTATATGATGTAGATAAAATATAAGTGATTCTTTTTACCTTTTACATTTTAAATACATTTTTAGAACAGAAAATTTGATTTGTCCAGGTTATTTGAAAAAGTTTTTTTGTTTATACTTAAACCTGTAGAATACTTTAACTGGTAGTTTCAAGGAGTATATAAATTAACTTGTATTCTTAGAAATATATATCTAGATTACTAATGAAATGTTAATGACACAGAGTTGAACGACATCAACTGGTTTTCAAATGAAATATGAGTGAACTGCCATATCTGAGCTCTATATTAAACAACATGTAATTCAGTGACAGATTTTCTGATTTAAAGTATAACAAGTCAGTTGTTTCTTTACAGAAATGTTGATCAACTGGTATTTTTAATTATACATTATTAGTAGTATCTTAAATGAATGTAAATCATTGCATTTATTACATCTTATGAGATTGCGAAACTGTCTGCATTTTCTGATTTATTAATTTAGTTAGTTTTCTTGTCAAATTTAAAATTGACTGGATAAATGGAAAATTTACTGAAAATTGACTGCTTTTCTAGTTAATTGTAACTTAATTTGACTGGTTTTCTAGTTAATTGGAAATTTGACTGGTTTTCTACTTAAATGGAAATTTGACTGGTTTTCTAGTTACTAGGAAATTTACCTGTTTTACTTGTTAATTGTAAGATTGACTGGTTTTCTAAATACTACATTAAGGTAACACAGGCATTAGATATCAGACAATCAATGTCCATCATCAATGTTAGTTTTATTTAGACATCTTTCAAGAGTATTTACTCTCTCATTGATTATCTATGGTGATAAGTGGCAAGGTATTGATCACATGTTCTCAGATTTAAAGCTTAGTAACATTATATCCACTTGTCTTTGTAATTACCCACTGTCATCAAATATTCATGTGTCTTAAATACAGTGACATAGTTGCTATGTCAGAAAAAAAGCCATAGGTGTATTAACTAATTATATTTTGTTGTTATGGTAAATATTATATAATTGTTGCTAAGGAACTTCTGTTTATTTGTAACTGGTTCACACCGTGCATCATTTGACAATTTATTTGATGAAATAATATTTTGTATTGTACAGTACAATCATATTTAGAAAAATATCTCAAAAGTAAAATTGTAGATTATAACCAGATTTGTAAATAAAGAAATTTACTATAATCACTTTCATATCAAAGACTTGTGCCTTAGTATAATCATCATCTGCCAATTTGTCCAGCTTACACAGTTCATAATGTTGAAATTGTAGGGGATATGTTTATTCATTAATGAATACCCTGGACCAGGCCTGCATTGTATTTCTAGCCCATTCAACTGAGCATTCAATTTTAAAATATCTTAACTAATTTACCTTTTGTTACATTATTTTACTATAACAATTAGATACTTTGTGACAAGTAAAATTGTTTTTAAAAACATTTGATACACAATTAAATGCTTCAAATTTTAAAAGTTTTTCATTCTTATTGTGGAACCTTTGTGTTGACTACATCAAACAGTGTTATATATTTACAGACTTTTCAAGCAATGTTCTGATATTGACACTTGTATGTGTACACACTACTATTGTTTGTATTGTCAATTAATACAAGTATTGTGCTATCGAGCCTTTTCAAGTGGTGTTGAAACTGTAATACACAGCTAAAACCTGACCGACTGTTTAAACTTCTTATTCCTGATCATACTGTAGACTTTACTGTAGAGATATATTGATTTTATCTGGTCATTTTATCAAGTCAAGTGCGTTTTTTTTCTTATAAATTTACATCTAGAATTTATGATGTTTGCATGTTTGAAATATAAATACACTTTGGGTTCATATCTTATCTAGAAAACTTGAAAATTGTAGAGCTTTGATTTCAGTTTCTGTAATTTAAATCAAATTAAATGATGATAAATTTTTCTTTGAAGTCGTGAAATGTTGTAAAAGTCTTTTAGTTTTTTTATGCTTTCTAACTTGAATCAATTAATTTCCAATTCACAGCACTTTATTCACACAAAATACCATGTTATTTTGTTACAATGATTTATTAATTGCAAGTGTTTAATAAATTACAGCTAGATAATAAGATAACTTAAGTCTATCATATACAAATTTTTTAATTTTTTTTTTGTATTTTTCAAGGCCTTTTTATGAAAGAAAACATAAATTATGATAGTGAAGGATATTGAATTGGATTTCATTATTAGAACATTGCACCTTTGTATTACATACACCTGCATATAACATTAATCAAACCACTTACATTAAGTGGTTTTTACTTAAATGATAAATGATGGTAAAAAATAATTTCACCTGTAAATTTCATAGGTTTTAGTGTTTGAAATTATTCTTTGTCCAATAGAATTGCAGTATTTCAAATGAATCGGAACACATTTACTTTGGTAAAACAGCAACCTGTTAATCAGTCTAGTATATAGACTGTTAATAAAAATAATTTAAAACACTCAGCTGGTTAAAATTTATTAGTATGTATGTATCCATGGAAACTGACCAGACTCTTTTTGCATAGCTTGTCCATTAATCATTTATATCCGATTGTAACAAAGGTGAGACACAGAAACCAAAATACCAGGGCATCAGGACAAACGCAAAAAAGTCACCAAATATATAACAAATTCAATATCATAAGCATTTTATTCAGGTTTCTTTTTAAGAGAATTTAAAACAACCCAATTTCATCCACACTTATAGGGCAATCAGATTTATGCAACTTTAGATGCATAGGTCATGTAATGAAGTTAAATTTTTTGCATGCTAATTTTTTTAATGTTTTTTTTTTACTTTTAAGATTATATTTATCATTAATTCAGGTTTTATCAGACAAGTTTTTGGTTGGTTTTGGTCCATGTAAACATGGCAAGTTTACAGAAACAGCGTACCAGGACACTCATGTATTTGATATCATTGACTATGATGATGCAAGAAGACATACAATCTTGACAGGGGATAAGGTGTTAGCCCCCTGGGAGCCCGAGGGTGAGAGATATGGACCCGGAACTGTACTAGAAGGTCATGAGAAACGTCAAGCTGAAGGTAGGTGTTCAAATGTATACATTATATAGAAATTCATAGAAAGGACACAGTTATGATATTAAAGCAATTCACTATTAAAATATGATAAAACAATTTTAATATTTTAAAATCTTTCACAAACTTCACAAAACAGTTTTTTTTTTTTAATTTTGATTATTATTATTCTAACTTATTCCAGCCAAAGGTCACAATGATCATCTCAAAATGATTGTAATGTAGCCAATTTTGTTATTTGTAACCCTAATAAATACACACAGTTTATTACATAGAATAATATGTTAAAGGGACTCCACTGAGGTTTTTTAACATGACTGGACTGGAAATAATTTTTTGGGATTAATGTTGAGTTTGACGTAGGTTTAGATCAGTAACTATTATGAAAATTTCAGGTGATTTGTTCACTTCATTTTTCCCAGGATAATTATTATGCCCCCCTTCGAAGAAGAGAGGGTATATTGTTTTGCTAATGTCGGTCTGTCTGTCGGTCTGTCTGTCTGTCGGTCTGTCTGTCGGTCCGTCGGTCTGTCCGTCGGTAGACCACATGGTTTCCGCTGATTATCTTGAACAGTATTTATCACAAAGTCTTCATATTTCACATAGTGATTGGTCATCACTAGTAGATGACCCCTATTGATTTTGGGGTCACTAGATCAAAGGTCAAGGTCACAGGGGCCTTAAATGTCAAAAGGGTTTCCGTTGATTATCTTGAAAAGTATTCATCACAAAGTCTTCATATTTCACCTAGTTATTGGTCATAAGTAGTAGATGACCTCTATTGATTTAGGGGTCATTAGGTCAAAGATCAATGTCACATGGGCCTTAAATGTCAAAATGGTTTCCGTTGATTTTTCCATAATTGAACACTTCCATGTACCCATTTTTGGCAAGTTTCTGTAATAAAATTACCAATTATGTGAGTCAATGGTTAGAAAGGGGGGTATATGTGTCGTTCGACATTCTTGTTCTAATTGTGACAAATGGCCAAAAATTAAAAAGCATTGCAAGTCAAATAGGCTAAGAATATATTTTCAATTTATTTCTGAGTACATGTATTTTCCTTAGTTATCTTCTGTATATCTTATTGTTTTATGTGCCCCAGCTCATATATGTAAGAAATTTATGATTTAAGGCTTTGGACCTCAGTTGAGTTCCTTTAATATTCACAAAGAAAGATGTTGGCAAATGCAGTAATGATTTTGATGAAAATAAAGTAGTATGCAATAATGGACATATCTATTACTTTTTGGCATAAAATCCATTCCTTTTTTGCATAAAATCTGTTACTTTTTGGCCAAAAAATCATAACTTTTATGATTAAGTTCTGTGTTTTTAACTAGACTATAGTATTCTGTGGTAGTTTCCATCATCTATTAGTTGATATTTATTTGAAAATTTGCTTTATGCAATGTGATGGGCATAATCATGTTTATTATATTGCTTTAGGGATTTTATTTGTCTTTATTATAGTTGAAAAAGAAACTGTCATAGGTAAAATATGGCGCAAGAAAATATACTTGTTGATTTTTTGATTTTTTTTTGCTACAAAATAGGTAATGGTAAACAGGGCAGTAAAAATGTAATGTTGTGTAAATTAGCTTCTGTACATTGGGGGAGAATCAAATTTGTGTTGATTTTTGTCATTCTTTTACAATCATGTTTTTCATATAAAATTTAGTTTGTTTTTATTATTTTTGATTTTTTTTAGATTTTTATGCTTTATAAAAGGATAATTACAAACAGTTTCCATCAAACACATAAATACAGTAAACATATTTTGAATGGCATACTATACCAAATAAAAGTTTAGATTTTAGTGATATATTCTTGGAAACTTTGGTTCTGAATTGCTTGTTAGTTATCTACTCCTGTCACTCAGCTAATATTTTATTGTATGGATGAAAATATGTCACCAAACATTGCTTATTATTTATTGTGTTTATCAATATTTTATTGGATTTATTTGGCTGTGTATGTTTTATATATAGTTTGTGAATGCATTGTAAATCATATCTTCAGGAAGGGGGGGGGGGGGGGCTACACAGCTCTGGTATATTCATTTTAATGAACATGACAAACAAGATTTAGTATATTATAGTGTTTACTTGATCCTTTCCTTGTATGATAAGGAAAGAAATAAAATACCTCATTTTATTGTATAATGTTTATTTTTTATATTTATTTTTTTTATTACTCTGAATGTTTCATTATTGATACCACTATATACATGTATTGTATATTATATTTAGATATTTATTTCACCATTTTTACAGCCAGATACAACATTGCAATAAGATGTGGTAAACTCATTTTCTCATTATATATAAGGCTTAAGATGGCCAGTTTCATGTTGTTGTGTGTTTCCTTAGTTACCATAGCAACCAGAGTTTTTGTTCAATTTTTTAGATTACCATAGCAACCAGAGTTTTTGTTCAAAATTTTAAGCTATGGACCTATGGATAATAATGCATTAATAATAAAACACCTTCCATATACATAATTGCTTCATATAACTGTAGACAGTAAACACTTTGACATAGTTGCTATGGCAACTTCAAAAGTTAAATAGGTATTACAAAAATAATGTCAATTGATTTTGGCAAAATCTCTGGTTTTTGATATAATCATTCAAATCCCAGTTAAACATGTAATGTTTTATTGTATCAGTCTTTTAGTTTAATTATGTAGTAATGGTCACAGTTTTCAGTGCAGTCTCACGTTAATTGTGTCTTTTGTTTGAGGTCAAGGTTATGTCATTTAAGATTGTACATTACAGTGTAGCCGATAATAAAGATTCAGTAGTCTGTTCTTAACAAAAATTTAAATTGAGTTTTTACTAAAAAAATGTTCACATGTTCATAATAAATTTATAGCCGTTTCTGTAAGATTTTTAGCCTTGACCTTAGTGCATAATTGATAGAATAAATGTTTACATATTAATGAATGTATAACAAGGTTTACATTTTGGTTATCCAAATATAACATGTGGTTCAGTGTTTAATTACTTTAACAGTCTATTCATAAAGAAGTATGGGAAAATGATATATACCCCTTAGTTACAAATACTCTAGGTTTCTTAAATTGGCAGTCATGCCAACATAGAGTCAGGCCGATGTTCAAACTTAAGACTCAGCACTGTTCAAAATATATTGCTCAATTCTAGGTTAATGGCAGACATGGCATTTATTTTGTCAAAGGGGATAGAGCCAGAACGCAGATGTTCAATATTTTTCAAGCTCCCCGTCTTTTTCCGAATAAAAATTGCCAGTTTTAAAAAATTTTCTCTGTTTTTAATTTACAAATTTAATTCAAGTGAGGTGCAATGATGATTTACCCCAAAATGTAATCAAAAAGAAAACTGTTTTATTTATTATCTGAAATAGTCCATTTTCTATTTATCAAGTAATTTAAGGTCTATTTTTGATCATTCAATTTTGTATGTGCTCTATATACTTATGGTCTTTCGATTCTTACTGTAAATCAAACTAATATCTAAAAGAAAACATTGACCAAATTGACCCTATGTGAAATCTGATTGTATAATTATATATTTTAATTGGGCTTTTCAATTTAGTTTAAAAAAATATTTTTATTTCAATATAGCCAGAGATTTACATTTATATTGTTACATAATAAGGTTACACATTTCATATGCACATGAAACTGGCCAGGGCTTGTTACAAATTTTATTTAGCAAATCAGAGCATTTTCATTTTAACACAGATTTTCATTTTTGCTTTCTGAACCCCTCTAGTTTCTAACTGTAGAAGGTAGAATAGATATGGACACATATTTTTGTTGGCTTCATTGGCTAATTAATATAAAAAAATGTTTGCATGTAATATATTAGCCAGATGGGTCTTCAAGGTCGGAGAGTATTTCTCTTAATGGAAACCTTTCATTGGTTAGGTCTGTGATTGAGTTTAGAATGAAATATAAGATATCTTTCATTGGCTGTTTTGCTTTAGCCAATCAAAAAGTCAGTCCAATCTTGAGCATATGATTGGTTAACTCAAAGTTCAAATCAACCAATGAAAGGGTAGGGTTTTGTTTATAGTGCTGTCTTCAAATGTGATTGGCTGGATTCTCTTGACTCTATCTGTATGGCTGGTCATCTTGAAAAAGAAAATAACAGAAGCTATAAATCTACCTTTATACTATTACTAATACGTTTGTTCTTGGGTACATTTTATGTCTTTAGCTGAATGGTAAAGAAATAAAAAATGTTAGTTGTGACACCAAACAGGGGTTCCATTTGTTTACTGACAACTATGTGTTTACAATGTTTTAATATGGTCTAGGTCATAATATAACATTTATTTAAAGACAAGGAACTACCAACAGTTGAACTTGATAAGCTGTCTATGTTGGTGTCCAATTGATAATTGATAGATTCATAAGTATTCTGTTGAAATCATATATTAATGCTGTTACAACAAAACACATTACGTCATGTTCAAAACCCTTTCACAATTATCAACATGAACAAAATGGTGTCATGTGCACCTGATCGGACAAAGACATGATGCCACACAAATCTCAAGTTATTGTTGCTAAAAAATGTTCCGTTATATTATGTTCCAGATATGGTTAAACTGTAAGGATGGCATTATGTAAAATATCATTTTACTTGACCTTCTGGAACTTAAAGTGATTAACTTTTGCCATCAGTTTTAAGAGCCGGGGATCTTGTGTAAACTTTTGTGCAATCTGACAAGGCTCTAAATATGATGGCTAACCCAACCTTAATTTTCATCATGTAATCCCCAAAATTGATCATGGACAGTTTCAAAAATGGAAGCTGGACAAGTTTATTTCGAAATACAGCAGACGGAGGGTTAAGACTACCACATTTTCATTTCAACTTTGAGTTTTGACATGCCAAGTAATCAATAACCAGTTGTCATAGTTATATACATGTATACTCCTATGAATGATAGAATGCAAAGTAAGGCCGGGGTTAAAAATTGCCTGCCCTTGAGGGAAATTTTTTTTATATTAAATAAAATTAAATCTTCTTTTAAAAAAACCCAAAGAGCTAGAGTTTAGATACTAAGCATGAAATATCTTCTAAGTGAGTGTCTACCAAGTTTGTTCAAATAAAAGCCCTGGGGTCAAAATTGTCCCCACCCAGGGGGAAGGTCCTTGTTTTTCACTATATGTGTATGGTAAAAACTTTAAAAAATCTTCTTTTAAAAACCCCAAAGAGCTAGAGCATAGATATTTATCATGTCTATCTTCATCTTTTAATGGGTGTTTTACAAGTTTGTTCAAATAAAAGTCCTTGGGTTAAAATTGGCCCCGCCCTTTGGGACTATAAAAAGGTGAGCGATTTCAGGGCCATTATGGCCCTCTTGTTTAATTATGTCTGGTCTGGAACTGTTAACATTGTGAGTATAATAAAAGCGTGTCAGAAAAATATTTAATTATGTTCTAAGACAACAAGGTTATAAGGATATGACCCCGTATAACTTATTTTGATTTTTTTATATGCTTAGAAAGATTTTAATAAATTTTCTTACAAAAAGAGCTTTACAAGTTTGCTGTTACTGAAAAATGACTTGAATATCTTAAATGGACTTGTCTAGCTTCTATATATGGGACTGTCCATTATCAAATTTGGGGATTAAGATGAAAAATTTACAAGTTGCATCTAACAGCATGGATGGCTTATGGCTCTATGCTGGCAGCATTTAGGGCTAATTAGATTGGTTTCATGTAGGTCAAGGCTGTATATAATTTTTTTGTTATATTAGTAGAATTATTACACAGTATCATAACAGAAATCAGCCTATATTTTCTGAGGGTTTTATATTATAAAATATTCAACAAGATCTTGAGATAATCTTGTCAGCAAGTACTTGAAAGATATAGGCTCTGATAAACATGGTTGCTAAAATAGAAATGTTTAATAGTAGGCGGAAAAAAAGTTCCTCTAGTATTCATACACCATTAATAGAAAAAAGTTCTTTTTTATTATCAGTAATACAAAATAGATTGATATGTATTCTCCTTTTTATTTTATTTATTTATTTATTTTTTTTTGATATTTCTTGATTAAGCAAAATCATAATTAATCGTATTCCTACACCTTGTATATAGTCCTGTATTTTCTATTCATGATATAAGCATATCAAACTGAAAGACGTAAATCTACATGGCAGTTTTTGTTTGTTCAATTGGAAATATGACAGATCGGAATGATTAAAACTATTGTAAACAAAGATCTCAGTCAACTTAACACAAAATACAAATAGTGATTTAAGAATTCATAGCTAGGCACAGTTTAAGTTGTGCAGGTTTTTTTCAACATTTTACTGTATAATTAGATTTTATATATCTTTTATATTTGAAAATTACAGTAAAGTAAACTTAATTTCTTTGTACAAATAAAGATTTAAGTTTTTATACAGAGTCTAAAATATTGACATTATACTTTTCACACCCTATATTACCTGATAAAGGTAATGAAATATATACCAAATCGCCACCTATAATAATTCCTGTATTCATTTCTCTATTTCTTTATATTTTCCTATGAAATAAGATTTATAATTCTAGATTTCCTCCAATTTATTAATTGATTGAAAATTGCATGGCACCATTTGAAAGAAATTTAACCCTTAATTAGCCTGGAACCAAAAGTGACCACTGACCAGCCCTTGCTAACCAGTTTAAAGCCAGGCCCAGTCTGCATGTCCGTATAGTCTGATCAGGTTCTATACTTTGGATGCTTTAATTTTGTATCCCTTAAACTTCAAATAGACTGTTCCACTTTCAAAACAGGGCAAATCCATTATAAAAATACAGCAAGTGAAAGGTTAATACTGTATCACATCCATATAAAGAAAATTGACTAGTTATTGAATTATATGGCACGTTATTTTTCTACTTTTCTCAACTAAATGGTATTACGTCCAAAATAAGAAAAAGTCCTTGTCTTATTTTTTAACAGATTCTAATTGATAATTTCATTGTTTTTTTTTTCTTGTAAGTTATTCACTTTTTGAATTATTCTTTTTTAATCAATACATTTTACCTATAGGTGATGCCGTACAGGAGGTAAAGTTTAATACTTCTTCCGTTGTTTTAAATAAAAATTGTTTAATTAAACAGTTTGCAAAAAGATTGTTAAAGTTGCTTATCCCAGTTTTAAAAACGAGAAATTTTGTTTTATTACAGGTCCAGAGGATAAGTCAATCACAGTTAGTTTTACTAATGGGAAGGTTGAAAAGGTAAAGATAGACACAGCAATTTGGATACCAAAGGAGGTTTATGAGAGGTTGGCACTAGAGCTTAAGATGCCCAAAGATGCTAGAATGGCCCTGTCATCTGAGGAAAGTTATCCTGAACAGTCCTTTGAAGGTATTTGGGAGCATCTTTGTATAGCAAATATTGAATTGATCATGTTGTAATTCTAAAAGATTGACATAGCATGCTGGTTGTACTATCTTTCCATATTGCTCTTAAGAATTTTTTTTACTATAGTCACTTTACTATAGTCTGGTTCATTCTTTAAATATTATAATTTTATGAATAATTTTGTAACATTATTTATACATGTCTAATATAGAGTGCATTTTGTATAATAATTACTAAGTGAATCTTATTTCTCAGAGAAAGTTATCAGATAGAAATAAACTTTGTTTCCCAGGTTATCCAACGTCTGGTCCTGAAGCAACGCCTCAAGAATACGAGCTTGCTGATCCGATGTTCTTTGATTACGATCCGATGGTAGTTGAGAGACGAGGGCCATGGCGATACCCATTTCATCCACCATATCCTCTTGTCATGAAATCTGGGTCAGAATGTAGAAGGTCAAGGTCACAAACAAGAGAGACAGCTGAAGAAACACTAGAAAATATTGTACCAGGTATTGAAATTTATTTACTTCTCAATGTTTCATTGCGATTGTGATGTTATAGCTTATATTTTATGCATTCTTTATATTATACGTAACCTTTGACAGTTCTGAAACCTTTTTCATCTAGGTTTATTTTTGTTAACCTTAACTCGATGGCAATCTATTTGTGCACCAAATATTTACAGTATGACAGGGCAGACTTTGTTCATATTGATCTTCAAATTTTTTCATTTTGTGAAACTCGTAACTAATTCTTAAGTGAGGAATGTCTTTTTTGTATTAACTTTTGAAGAAAATTAAGCTTTTCTTAATGAAATTTTTTATTTCATCGTTCAGGTACAGATTTGACCCAGAAGGAGTTAGATGAACGTATTACCTCTCAACTCATGGAGCATAAGCTTTTGCTAGATGAGCGGGAAACTGAACACGGTACAAAGAAACAGACTGTGGAACTAACTAAAGAACAGCCAAAACCTGTGATTAAAACTGAAACTAGGAGATATGAAGAATCACGGAGGTCGGAGGTTATGGAGGGTGAGGAGGACAGAGAGTTACAGGAGAGGCTGGCAATGAGGAGACGAGAGTTGGAGGAGGAATGGAGGCTTGAACAGGAAGTTATACACAGACAGCTGGAGAGAGAACGTCTGCTGAAACGAGAAAAACAGGAGGAAAATACACTTAGAAAATCTGTCAGCTTTCAAGATGAAAAAGTTAGAGAAGATTTAAAAGTAAGCATTTTTATCAGCTCAATTATGTCAGTGATGACTGTTGTAGCACTTATAGATTTTGTTAATAGTTTGCTTACATCTTCATCACTCATTAACCACTGAATGTATCCCAATGTTTGCATGCAAATTCTACATTTAAGATAAAATAGAGAAAATAAGATTTCCTAAAGAACATCCAAAATGGCAGAATTGAAAATAAGTGAGTCAGCCTTCATGGACAGTGCTGGAAAGTGCAAGCTACTGTCCATGCCTCCTAGCACTTGCTTGAGCAGAATTCAACTTTTAACATGAAACAGTCTAAATTTTGAATTTTTGAAAAATCCACAGATGTGTTCATACAGCTATCGTCATATGTTTAAAGGGTCACAAAACCCATTTCTCTAATATTGATTTTAATGAATTATTTCCCTGTATATATTTAACTACTGTATATCTGCATGACCCATACTTTAACAAGCACATGCACTGAGAGATACTAGTAGTTGAGCTTGCTATTTCTCTGACAGTTCTTCTTTATTTTCATATTTATCATTATCAATACAGAAGGGTTAAGTATTTTGGTAAATGTTATTGTTATTATAATGACCATTAAAATTGGGTCTTGCAATAAAAGGAAATCATGTTAAAGACTCCATACATTTAATGTGATCATGTCAGTGTTATCTTTTAAGATACATAGATCAATCTTTATGTGTAATTAATGATTTGAGACTTTAGTTATGTATATTTTATTCACCATTTACTGTATTTATATTTACAGTTAGAGGAGATAGAAACTGCCACTATGACTGAGGACAGTGGTTTTAAATCTGCTAGCCTAACAACGTCCCGCTCTGAAGATTTAGGTAAGATCTTGATTCCTTACCACCTTCAATTTTTGTAATATTTTTATTTTCTGAATATGGAACATTCCATTAAGTTATTCCCTGTCAGAATCCTAAAAGGTCGAATGTGCTGACAAAATTTTAAAATCACCACTTTTGCTTAAAGAATTAAGATCAATTTATCAATAAGTAAGGTGGCTGACTTAGTATTATCTTGGGCCTTACAGTTTTCACCTGAGATTTGATTATTTTGAGCTAGTAGCTTAGGCTTACAGAATATTGTTGCCTGAAATAATGCATAAAGGGACATCTGAGGTTTACCTCCACTAGTAAAACTCACAGTAGATTTGACTTTTACTGTACATTTTTTCATGAAACTTAAAGCTGACTAAGAAGTTTAAGATTATAGTAAAATCTAATTATTGTTTTAGCTAGGTATACAGTAGGTACTCCTGCTGGTAGTTACCAAGTTTCCGTTTTTTGAATCCTTCGCAAAGTGTGACATAGGGTAGTTTGTTGCTAAGCAATCACCATGTGTAATTTGTTTCTATAGATACATACTTCAGTGACCCTGAAGATACTTCTAAATCACTGCGTGAGCGAGGGGTCAACACAGATTCTAGTCTACTGTATAAATCACGAAGTAAACTGGTCAGTCGTCGACCACCGTGGAAGAATTATTGGAGAGCTGATCCGGCATTGCCTATAACAAACAGTTCACATGGTCCATTCAGAGAAACTGCCCTACAAGCACCACTAGAGGCCAGAAATACAAACCCTTCACCTTATATATGTAAGTTATGTCTTGTCCGGATAATATTTTACACAAGTACTTGTTACACTGTTATAATATACCATTTTACTTTACCTAACACATTTTTACGATGTTAAGTAAATTCCATTAATGTCAATCTTTTAATATTTGTTTAAAACAAATTGGTTTCAAAGCTTTGTATAGTTCCAGAGAGAAAATACATATATTTTGAGTCACAATTGATAAAAAAGATTTTTTTATGATTAATTTTGTGTTATTCAGGTGAATGGACAAGCCCTGTATACAAGTTTGTTGATCCCATGGCAAAGGGTAACTACACAGACTCGGTGGAGAAGTTAATGAGGGTACCGTCAGCCCCGCTAACAAGTAATAACAAGGCTATACCACGCCCAATACCACATAGACCAATGTCGGCTGATACTAAAGAACAAATGAGGAAAGATTTCAAGTAGGCTTTTATTTTGATATTTTATGTGCATATTTACGAGTATAATATTATTGATGATATAACTCAGTTATAATAAATGGTAAAGATTTGTTTTACTGAAATCCACCTCTGGTTATAAATTATAATGAATTAAGTTTAGATTCAATGGTAAATTATGTTTGTTTCTTCTTGCAAAACTAGTAAACATCTCACTACCATCCCTTATATTAATTGATCAAATTTTAGATTCTTTAATCCTTTTTGTTATTTGTTTGTTGTTTTTATTGGAAACTACATGAATAATATAACTGTGGAATAATTTTTTAAATGTTTTGATATTAAATTAAATTGATATCAAAACAATAGTGTTATTATAGAAGCATCTAGATCTAGAATGAGAAGGTCATGCTAGGGTAGGATCCAATTTGTAGTAAAATTCAGGAGAATAAAAACATTCAATATATCAAGATACTTGTGTTATAACCCTTTCATTATATACCTTGCTGAATTTAAACTATAATTATATTCAAACATAACATAATTTGTATAATGCCAGCAACATCATTCTAGATCACAATTGAGTGAAATACATGTACAGTTTTTTTTCTGTTATGTGATGCATGCATTAAATACAAATGTATAGAAAAAATATAAACAAGTTTATAATAAAATTTGTTCTCAAACCATGTATATATTGTTACAGACGCAGGAGGGAGGAGCAAAGAGAGAAGGCGTGGCAAATGAGGATGAATAATTATGATCACATGAATCAATTAATGCAAGACCAACATAAAGATAGAGTGATGGTAAGTCATCTTTAACAGTCAGAAGAAACTTTAAATAAACCAGGAATTCTTCAGTATCAGCATGCATATAATCTATATAAAGTTCATGCCAAAACTGTTAGAGTCCTTGTGAAACAAAAATTTTTGGGCTTAAAAATGAAAAATGATAATGTTTAAAAAGTATTCCCGGATGCAATAATTATGAATCACATGATCATTAATGCAAACCAACATAAAGAAGAGTTATGGTAATCATAGTAAATAATACCGGAATTCTTAAAGCATAGCATGTTTATCTTAATATAGAATTGAAAATGAAAAATTGTTAGTTTTGGTGAGATACCACAAATTTTGAAACTGTTAAAATGAAATTATTAATTATGTTAAAAAGTAATTTTTGTCATTAAACATTTAATAAAAATCTTTATGAATTTTTTCTATAAAATTACAAGTCCTTATTTTTGGAACTGGTTTTATGAGAACTGTAAAGATAATTTGAAGAATTTGATATTCATTATGATAGGCCCAGATACAGAGAGAAAAAGATCGTCAGGTAAAAGAGCAGCGACAGATTGAGATATCTAGAGAACAGAAGAAGTATGTCAGTAAGGAAACTGCGGGAAAAGATTGAAGCGAGTCAAAAGAGAGAAATAGACAAGGAACAACAGAGAATTGCAGCGATGCAGAGGAGACGAGAACATCGTGAAGATATACAGCGAAAAAGCGAGAAAAAAAGGATCCGAAGACTCAACGCAGAGCTGGTCTGGTCCCTACTTCGAAAATTTTACATGAGCGTAATTTTAAAAAGCGATGGAAAAACAGTATTGCAATTGTTCAGAATGAAATTGAAGCTATATTAGTAAACTGCTGCAAAAATTATTGTTTCAATTTTGAAAAAAAGAGTACTTCAAAAAAGCCTGTATAACAGAAAAATGAATCTTCCTTAACTAATTCTGTCTTATTGGGACCATTGGCGTGGACTGTATCCTTTACCTCACCTTTGCCAATTATGGTAGCTAAGGTTGCATGTACAAAATAATACCTGAATGTTAAAAACCCTACTTAAAATAGCAGCATGTATTGATCTGGAACATTTAATTCTAATTACGTACAATATTCACAATGTTAAATAACAGAGACAGTCTATGTTAAAACTCTTTTTAGAATGAGATTATGGAAACAATATAATATTTAACTGTTAATACATTTTATAAAAAAAATATTTTTTCGCAAAGATATAACTTTATATGCTTTAAATACTTGAAGTTCTGCATAAGCCTAGGTGCTACAGTGCACGTGATGGACAGTAACTCCATGCATATACCACTTCTGTCTATGGACATAATCTTACAACTTTTTTAAAAAAACTTTGAAAAGCAACCTTTCTATTTAAGGTCTCTATTTTGTATTTGTTTTTATTATTTGTCTATATAGGAGGTTAAAGCTCAGAGGTCACAGGAGCGTTGGGACAACGTCACACGTCGTCTAGACCAGGAAGATGCTGAAAACGCCCGTCGTAACATACAACATCATAACGCAAAGCTCAATCGTATACAACATTTTCAAAAACTAGAGGAAGAGGGTCAGCAAAGGAAAGATGTTCGTATAGGAGTGACAGATAGACACCTGTCAATGTTTCAGTCCGTCCCATTGTGTTAATTGGTTGTTTAATTAATTGACTGAAAGATCTGTTTATAATTGATATTCTTTTACATGTAGATTAATGCTTATTTATTTTCTATGAATTTTAAATGTGAGTTTATTATTATTTTAAGTAAAAATGTTATTTTATTATGAATATAATTTTTGTTATGAACATTTTATAGTTTTGAGGATGAAGATTACATTTTTTTTTTCAATTCATTAAATCACGAAGTTTGTTTTAAAACAAAAAAAGTCTCAACTTATTCAGTGTGCCTTGACTTTAATTGTGAACTATTTTAAGCAATATTTCATTGGAGATAGGAAGATCATAGCTCAAAACATTGGAAAAACTAAAATCATTATTCTGATAGATGGACGTTTGTGTTTTTTGTAGAAGTATGTACATGGTGTAAAGTGTTAGAAATGCATGACTAGTGCAGAATTAGGATTTATACAAATTTTGAAGGAGTAAATGCAATAGTGATTTATCAGTTTAGATTTATTTTATTGCGTTCACTTCTCCATAATCAATAGGGTAATGGGTTTTACAAGTAGCTTCGGTTTTGTTACAGCTTTTGAATACTGTGCTATGTTTAGTCAGACTTAGTTAGCTATAATTTTATAATAATATTTTGTCATCTGACTTTATTCTCCTAAAAGTTTTAATATTTTAAAACTATATTTTTTACATTCAAATTGAAACAATAGTTTTAGCTCAGCATGAATTGTTTGTAACTGCATATATAGATAAATAATGTTTATTTATATACCAATTTACACTGTGTAAATAGCTTGAATAATCCCAAGGTGAGAGAAATATAAGGCAGTTGTGCTCAGAGATAATTATTCAGTATATATCTTTTATTTAATGAATTTCAAATTGACAACAGTATTGATATTTTAGTAGGAAATTCAACACAAATTGTTGAAAAGTTCTGAAAATGTAGTACTCTACAAGATACTGTAATATAAATGTCAATGTATTGTTTCAGTCAGGGACGTTCAAATAGACTGACCCTGTTTCAGTTTATAAATTTTACTGCTGGAAAAAAAAATCAAAATATTATATTTTTATATAATCCTAAATGCCTCAAATTAATACAAGCTTATATGCTATAATTGCTTTTTTAAAAATGCTCAATTCTGCTTAGAATTCTTGTATTTCAGAAATTCTCTTAAAGTTGAAGGATTTATCCAAACCTCACATAAGAAATACTGGAATTCTTGAGTGGTTTTATTAGGTGGTGTTTTGCTTTGCTGTAGTGAATTGTCTAGTCGTAGTTTATGCTTTATTGTAGTTTTGCTGATCATGTTATTTATCTTTCTTTAATACTGTATAATATTTAACATCAATCCTCATTGGACTGTCATGATGTTTATATTATCTATATTAACCTGGCTTCAGCAAATTTATGATTTAATTCTATATTTTAATCAAAGAAGGCAATTTTGCAGTGTTATAAATTTATTATAAAGAACTTTCACAGGTTATATATTTATACATGTATATCAACAGTTGTTTGCTATATAACCATTACCTAGTAGCTTCGGTTATATAGGCTTACAGCCATTTATATTGGGTCATATAACTTAATGAAAATCTTAATTATAACCAATCAAATTTCATAGTATCTGATCATGTTTTACAATTTAATGTACATAAATGAAAATAGACTATTAAATTGGCCTGTTTAATTTCAATATATCATGGTACATTTTGATATATCATGGTTTACATTTTGATATATCATGGTTTATATTTTGATATATCATGGTTTATATTTTGATATATCATGGTTTACATTTTGATATATCATGGTTTATATTTTGATATATCATGGTTTATATTTTGATATATCATGGTTTATATTTTGATATATCATATCATGGGTTCTTATCATCATATATATCTTATATACCATGTAAAAAACTGGAAATCTATCTGAAGCTGCAAACTGGCCGTCTGCTTGAATTAAGATAGCATGGGCATTAAATACCTGATCAAGATATGTTGATTCAGAACATGATTTCCGTGTGTTTCAGAATATTTTTTTTCATTCTTTAATAAATAGTAGAGAATAGTAAAAAAGAGAATGAATTTTAAAATTCACTTGTAATTATGTTTGCTTGCACTAGTGATATACCGGTATACAAAATATAGCACTTAAGAGCAATTCCTTGATTTTCATACATTGTATGTTTAGATATAAGGGTTAAAATTGCTATGTAAACATATTATATATATATGTTTCATGCACATGTTGTTGTTTTTGTTGTTGGTTTCTACTGACATATAACTTGACACATTGTATGGACTTTACTACACACTTATCTATGACCAATTCTGTTGATTATTGTGAGGGTCAAATGTTAAAGTTTTAATAGACCTGACCATTTTAATTTTACTGTGTGCAGATCTAATTTTTGCAAGTCAGCAACATTTCTTTCCAATTGTTGAAGTGAATTATGGCAAATCATTTAATAAATGAACACTATATTTTTTTTATCTCCATTTGGTAACAGAAATATTAGCACCTGTTGAACCATGTTACATCTTTTATCATTTAAACTATTCAAAACCTCATTTGTAACGTTACATGTTCTTTTGTATTATCATACATAATAGCACATTTCTGTTGTTTTTTTATGTTGTTTGACAAATAATGCTTTTAATTTAGAAGGCACTGCCAAAATATTTTGTTTGCTTGGTTCTTTATAGGCAAAATTATCTTGAAATCTTTTCGCTAATTCTCACTATTTTAAAGAGTTTCGCCTGTTATAAGATGTCTTTTGCATGTGTAATAACTATGTAAGAAAAATACATTTAAATGAAAAATATTTGAACTATCCAGCTTTAATGATAAATGTCCTCTCTTTGATTTAAATTAATTGTGGGACAAAGTTTATAAAAGATATGTATAATTATCGTAAGCAACTAAAAAAGGTTTAAAAAAGGTGCAAACATTTTCGTTTTATTTCCTCATGTTTTACTTTCGAACTTTATGAGGTTAGAATAGAAAATCTTTCTCAATCTTTAGAAGCACCATGTTACTGATGAAATGTTTATATTTGTTTGTTTAGCTATACATGTATTGCTGACTCTAATTTTGTGGTCATATCTTGGCCGTCGGTCCACGCTAACCCGCTTTCTTTGAGAACTTGGCAGTAACAACTTATTATTCCACAGGTAAAATGTATGTTGCCAGGTAATTTTATTAGTATTTCTTTTATTTGGTCATATTTACCATTATTTTATAGAATTAGAATTGGAAACATTTTGCGTGTAAATTATTTAATATTGTATAATACTGTGATAGAATCTACATTTTGTTAAACGTTGACCAATCACTACACCTTATGAAGAATAAAACCAGTTTATTTTACAAATGTTTTTTATCTCACAATGTTACCATGGTAACATAAATCTGTGATATTTTGTTGATCTATATGTACATATTTTTGTTGTTTGTTTGTTATTATGTGTATATGTTTTACATGTGATAAATGTGATTTAAGCTAAAGAAAAAACGGCTTAACACTTCCCTCAATCATTTTAATTAATACACACAAATCTTTAATTTTTCAAAAATTATTAATTTGTTGACATAGCAGATATCTGCTATATCCTACAATGTTCTATTGATGTCATATTTTAACCATTTAAACCATTTTTAAAGTTATATAATATAATATGGTTCTGCCTGAAATTTCAGAATGTATATCATTTGTTTATTTCACCATCTTCCAGATCAGAATAGTAAAATTGTGCGGCAATTGGTTATATTATGTTTATACTTAGAAGTCGAAGATATCCTTGTTAACATAGCTCTAGCTTTTTACAAATGGAATACATTTACCTATTATAACTACTGCTGTAGTTAAAGTAAAAAGAAAACAATTAAGAACTATTAAATTTAATAAACATTAAGCTAATTAACAGATTATACTGATTCAATTATTTCACTTATTTGTTCATTAATATGTAATAAAATATTTGAACTTTAGTATCGTAGTAGACCATTTTAGAAAATAATGTCCATCCAGTAAAGTAAAAAAAAAAAATCATGTTCTGAAAAGGTATATTACATTATGTTCATTTATTTTTCGCTCAAATCAATTTTAATTTTCTCATTATTTTAACATTTTATAATCTAACATTTTATTTGCAGAGACATGTTTGAAAGTAGGCATACATGTATTTGTAGGATTTGTAAATTTGCTCTGATTTAGGTAACTTCTCCTTTTTTTCCACATTGTAGCGTAACATGTTTACGGTGTATTTATAGATGCAATAAAAAACAAACAAAAATGACGATATGACTTTGTTGTTTTGTATATACTATAATATATATACATGTACATATGTAAGTTACAAAACTTAAAATGCTTTTCTTGACATTGCTTCATCTTAACTAAGCATTCTTAATACATTTAAAAAGTTAATGTTTCTGTAATGAACATTTTCTCTCTCAAATAAAAACATCATAAACTGCAATAAATGTGCTCCAAAGCCAGCTTGAAAGCTAATGACATAATGACCTGACTATAAGAAAAGGAAAGACAATCTATTCTTAGCCTGTGACAAATAACCTTGACCTGAAACCCTATCTACAGGTCATAGGATGATACCATACACCTAATACCAACAGTCCATAAACAGTTCATACAGGTATTGGTGATATAAGGGCCCAATTCACACAGGTATCAGTCAATAAACGAAGGTGTACAAACCTTTAATTCACATGGGCATTGGTCAATAAATAAAGGTGCCAATAGAACCACTAATTCACTCACAAGTATTAGTTAATAAATGACAATACCACAAGGACTACCAGTTAACACAGGTATTGTTCAATTAGTGAAAGTGCTATAACAGGCCTCGACATTAGCGTTGGTCCGAGACCATCTGATTTTGGCAAGGACCACCTAATTTTAAAATGCACTGGTCCGTCGGACCACTTGAATTTTCTGGTTTGTGCAAGGCTCATTTGGAAGAAGGCGATTTGGTCAAAAACATGTTATATATATTTTGTTTAAAACCATTTTTCCTATAAACATGTATATGGTTCATTAATAGATTAATCTGATAAGTTAAAGAAGGTCTTAAATCGTCAATAACTTTCATTTTAAGTCGCTAAAATTTTGTCTATGCATGTTGAGTTAAGAATTTGTGATATTAAGCTAGGTACAAATTGCATTCAAATGATGCTAGTAATGATGCATTGTCAGATTACCATGGTGGAACCTTTAACATTTATGTTATGTTACATGTTAATCACACGTAGGTATCCGACAATGGTAATTATGATATTGTATGGGATATTGAAAGTTCATATACATGAATAATGGCAGCAAACTAAAGGAACTTGAGAAATACATCAAGTTATTTGCTAGTTATCTTTATTTTAACTTTTTAACGCTAAGAGATCCATTTCTTCCAGAGTTAAAATTACTTTTTTTTAAATTTTTGATAAAAGGTCAAAAATACTCAATGTAAAAAATAAATATCAACCAACAAGCAACGGGGCGGTAAAAATTCTGTATTCATAATAAATCTGTGAGAAAAATAAGCTAGTTTTTATTAAATTGTTAATCTATAAAAGATACATGTAATTATCATGATTATAAGACATACCACGTATCAGCAATGTATATTTGAATAACAGTAAGGAAAAAACCCAGACGCAAATGGTTTCACTATTCCCTAACTTGAGTTGAGACAGAAATCACTTCAATATATAAGTTAACACAAATAAGAGCCCTGTTGTGTATTTTTGAATGAGCTATGAAAAAAAAAACAACAAATAACTTCACGACAGAATACCTACTAACTTGCTCTCAGATAAAAATATATATCTAAAATGTCTGTTTTCTTTAATGGTTAATAATACATCTTTGTCATCAATTTTAAGCATACTTTTTTCTAAACTTACAGTAAACTGATATAATAATAATAATTGACCACTTGACTTCTGGAAGGACCACCTTAATTTCAAATCTAGTGGTCCGGCTTACCACCTGATAAAAAAGTTAGTGTCGAGGCCTGTATAAGAACCAATAAATTAATGCAGGTATCGGTAAACAAATGAAAGTGCTACAAGAACCAATAAATTCATGCAGGTATCGATCGGCAAATGAAAGTGCTACAAGAACCAATAAATTCATGCAGGTATCGATTGGCAAATGAAAGTGCTATGAGAACCAATAAATTCATGCAGGTATCGGTTGGGAAATGAAAGTGCTACAAGAACCAATAAATTCATGCAGGTATCGATTGGCAAATGAAGGTGCTATGAGAACCTTTAACTCACATAAGCATTGGCCAATAAATGAAGGTGCCATAAGGTCCACCAGTTCAGACAGGTATCAGTCAATAAATGAAAGTGCAATGGGGACCACAAGTTCACACAGGTATCGGTCAATAAATGTAGGTGCAATGAATACCATTAAGGAAAGAATGAAAAGAATGATGTGTAATAAAGGTACTTTTATAACTAATTGATAAGAATTTATAATGAAATGCCACAAATCATTATCAAATCACCAATATTTGTTTAACAAACACAAAATGAGGAGAGAAATTTCCTTTTTGCCTTTTTTATCAGTGTTGAATGCAAATTTCCATTTAATAATTGCAAGATATGTTGAAAAATTAACAACTTAAAAATGTTTTCTTCACAGATTAAAAAGGTTCAGCATGACCATGAATAAAAGGCTTTAAGATTATATACACTGTAAATGTATTTCTTCCTACATTTTTTACTTAAACAACTTCAAAAATCTTTCTTGCTGTGTCAATATTTGCTTCAAAAATTGAAAAATAAAATTTGGCTTGCTGATTTATCTCCCTTGCTTCAGAATCTCTCAGACACAATTCAAATAATTCACCGAGAATATTCTGATACTCTGCTGGTCGTCTACAAAATAATTTCACTCCCGTTAGTAACAACTGACTTTTCACCTCCATCTCAAGGTCATCAAACTGTTCAATAAATTCTTCTATGACGTACAAAGATTCTGAAGAACAGTTATCCATCTGAGCAATCAGATAGAGGGCAGCACATCTACCGTTCTTGTCTGACAACTTCCTCACTATTATACACAACTGATCCTCCAACTCATTTACTACACCAACATTCTTCTCTGACAATGTCACCAATACCTGCAATGTGTTTGACACCACATGATCTCTACCACTCTGTAAAAGTTTCTTAAAAGCTTTCAGTAATTTCTCTGCTATGTCAGGAAAGTCTGTAACTATCTTACCTAAACACTGTATGGCACATAATGACACTTCTGCAGATGCATTGCTACAATTTGTTACTATTTCTTCAAGTATGTCCTTAAAGTTCTCAACATTTATCATATTAGTTATCAATGTCAACTTCTCCACTTTCAAGTGTGGTGGATCTTTGTGCTTACAGAAAACACTTTTATAATTTAATGCCAACATTTTTGAGGTTTGTGGAAATTGCTTGCAAAACTCAATGGCAGTTGAAATGAGTTCTGGATTTCCTGATGAGAATATTGAAAGAAACACATTTAGCGACCTTTGAAAAACTTCCTCGTGTAAATGTGGCATGTCTTTTAACACATGAAGAAAGAGTTGTAAAGTGTTCAATGACAGTGTTGCGCTGTTGTGTGCTAGATAAGGGTCTAAAATATTCATTAAATCAAAAATTTCATCTTCCGTTTTGGGAGAATATTTCTGCAACAACTTGCTCACATACACCATACCCCATGGAGTAAACTCTTCAACTCTTGTCAGTAAATAACCAACCATCTTTTTATTTAAAACTATTCCACCTTCAGTTTTCAGGATTTCCTCTAATGCTAGCAGGCAGTTTACTGTAACGATAGGATCAGAGTCACGAATCATCTCGTAAAGTTTGTTAATAATTCCCGACTCCTGAAAACCTTCTGTGTGAGTTTTAAACACAGTAATAGCAGCCATTACAGCTGTTCTTCTTACATAAGAACTTGTATCTTTTAGTCCTTCCTTAACACATTTAATACGGTGTTCCACAAACGCTTCATGTTTCACAGCACATAATGTACGTATAGCAAGAGCTCGTATAACTGGATTACTTTCCTGTAAGTCCTTTAACAATGTATTGACAGCAAGTAAAAGAGACTCTGACTGAACACCTGAAATAGTAAATATAGGTTATTACATATTAAAATATGAAAAGAAAAAACAAAGCACACAAAAACATAATCATGTCTGGTTCACTTATAATGACTGTACATGTATAAGCATAAATAAATAATAAATACATTAATCTGATAAATATAAATAATTAAATTTCCTGTGTCTGTTATATTACCTGTAGTGTTTTACTATCATATCATAAATACAGTTGTACACCAAATCATTCAACCTTTCATTATTAACCTAACAATTAGTGAAATTTTTTTTTGGGGGTGGGGGTGGGGTTTTGGTTGGTTTTTAAGTCACACGAGCACAGTAAAGGTCAGCGGCCAACTTTACTGATGTAGGAAGACCTCAGGTGCCTCTCTACATTATTTAAGGCACAAGAAGGCAACAGACAGAGTAGTGCCACCAAAACTCTGTAAGCTTTGACTGAATATTTTCCTCACATGAAGGAATACAAAGTCAATGGCAAGATTCGGACTCAAAGCTGTGACGGGCAAGTGGCTTGAAGTCAACAACCTTAATCACTCAGCCAAGGACATCTCCTCTATGTTACTATCTTAACTAGACTTCTAATGAAAATACTTACCAGAAATTTTTGTCAGTAGTTGACAGGCAGATTTTTTTATCAGAAGGTCAGAATGGGCCATCAGATTGACAACTGCAGGTAGAAATGCAGCAACATCTACTGTTTTTGCAGAGGTAAACTGTAGTACCTGTATAATAAAATCATAACAAATTGTTATTAACAAATTAAAATAAAACCATGAGATTAGCTAAATCATATTAAGTCACAAATGTTTCAATATTTAGGCCGTTTAGGTCATGGTATAACATTTTATGTATGAATTCCAGATCAAATCTATTTCTAAACAAAGGCCTCACACTATCTACCAAAGTGGTTACAATTAAAAGCAATTATTTTATGAAAGTATATTTGAAGCATGTGCCCATTATCAGGTTTGCATTGTTAATTAAAGGCATTTCAATAATGACATACATTTTTTTTCAAGAACACTTTAGCCATATTAAAGAATACAGGTGCAAATCAAGGACTGGGGAGAATGACAAGTCTATTATCAAAGGAGTTATTGTCTGAATAACAAGAGCTGTCACAGGAGACAGCGAAGCTCGACTAATAAAATACTGGACGCAGTAAGGAGGACAAAACTATGAAAGAAAAATCAATTATGTATAATTATGTATAATTATGTATTAAGTTATAGTAAAAAAATAACATTTGTTAACATTAATTCCAAGATCAAGGGGAATAATTTTAGAAATAGTCATGCTAGAGTTATGGACCTTGTCACACTACATTTGTGTAAATGATAAGAAATATATATTTGAAGTTTGAAGTAGATACCTTAAAAAGTAAAGAAGTTATTATATTTCTTAAAGAAAATCCTAAGTTCAAAGAGAGATAAATCTGTAAATATTGCTTCAAGAGTTATGAACATTGTCACATAAAATGTATTTGATGATTAGGAATAAGTATTTGAAGTTTGAGGAAGATACCTTTAAAAATAAAAAAATTATAATAAAAAAAAACATTTTTCTAGTTAAAAAATCTAAGTTCATGGGGAGATAATTCTTGCAATATTGGTGCTAGAGTTATGAACCTTGTCACATAAGATGTGGATGATGATAACGTAAATATATTTGAAGTATGAAGTTGATCCCTTTAGAAATAAATAAGTAACAGTAAAAAAAAAATATTTTTTATGGAAAATTCTAAGTTCAAAGGGAGATAAATCTGAAAATATTGGTGCTAGAGTTATGAACCTTGCCACATAAGATGGGGAGGATGATAACGCAAATATATTTGAAGTATGAGGTTGATCCCTAAAGAAATAAAGAAGAAACAGTAAGAAATAGCATTTTTTTAGGAAAATTCTAAGTTCAAGGGAGATAAATCTGAAAATATTGGTGCTAGAGTTATGAACCTTATCACATAAGATGGGGATGATGATAAGGTACAAACATTTGAAGTATGAGGTTGATCCCTTAAGAAATAAAGAAGTAACAGTAAAAAATAGTATTTTTTAAAGAAAATTCTAAGTTCAAGGGGAGATAAATCTGAAAATATTGGTGCTAGAGTTATGAACCTTGTCATATAAGATGTGGTTGATGATAAGGAACATATATTTGAAGTTTGAAGTTGATACCTTAAGAAATGACAAAGTTATAGTGAAAAATATTTTACTGCACCAAAACTTTAATCTAATATCTGGACGCGGACGCCGACGCCGGGGCGAGTAGGACAGCTCTCCATATACTTCGTATAGTCGAGCTAAAAATGTAAACAGATCTTCAATATGTGACAGACACAGAGAGAGCACTTTAAGAAGCTGTCCACAGCAAAATTCATGTGTTATAATCCTAACCAATAACACTAACCCTAACCAATAACACTAACCCTAACCAATAACACTAACCCTAACCAATAACACTAATCCTAACCAATAACACTAACCCTAACCAATAACACTAACCCTAACCCATAACACTAACCCTAACCCATAACACTAACCAATAACACTAACCCTAACCAATAACACTAACCCTAACCCATAACACTAACCACTAACACTTACCCTAACCCATAACCCTAACCAATAACACTAACCTAACCAATAACACTAACCCTAACCAATAACACTAACCCTAACCAATAACACTAACCCTAACCAATAACACTAACCCTAACCAATAACACTAACCAATAACACTAACCCTAACCAATAACACTAACCCTAACCAATAACACTAACCCTAACCCATAACACTAACCCTAACCAATAACACTAACCCTAACCCATAACACTAACCAATAACACTAACCCTAACCTAACCCTAACCAATAACACTAACCCATAACCCTAACCAATAACACTAACACTAACCAATAACACTAACCCATAACACTAACCAATAACACTAAAAGTGATCTCAGTGATGTTAAGAGAAACATAAACTGATAAATATTGAAGAAATAATTTTGTGTAAAATGTTAAAATAGCTACAGACATATTCTAAAGTCTAGCCACAGAGAGTGATTCTAAAACATACAGCTTTCTCTGCTAGCAATATGTGCTACATGAACTAAATACACATCTTAAGTATGCACAATCAATCTCAATATAAAAGTTTTCTAAACCATCTTATAATCTGTAAAGTTTCTTGGAAAAGCAATATACATGAAAGAATCTGGCCTTTTATGACCGATTAACAATATGGCATGCTCACTGTGATATATAGACTCTTGTTTGCCCAGAAGTGGTTGTACAAAAAACATATAGTGCATGTGTTCAATGCTGAGTATTTATCAAATTTTAAATGAAGTGCATGGCAAAAATTACATAATATAGCAGTAAATGTAGTTATGTTTATGTTATTTCTTTATAAATGTATGTTATAAATAACATATAGATTATAACATACATTTATAAAGAAATGCTTATGCCGCACAAGTAAAATCCAAAGATACCCTGTGCTTATATATCGCTTGCTTTTAATGATGGCTAATTAGTTAGTTTTTTTCTTGATTTGTTATTTTAATCTTTATTATTATCATATCAACTGCTCTAGCTCTAAGTAGCCATGTTTTAAATGATTTTATTCTAATAAACAAATTTATGTTGTTGCTGTAAAGTGGTCTTTGAGGAGGTAGGTAAGTTTCTGCTGGCCTATGCACTGTTCACCTGTCAGGCTGTAGAAGTGAAGGAAAAAAAGTCGGAAGAAACTTAAGCAATTTATAAACATAACTGTGGTCCTGATATGCATGTTACATATAAGGTGGTGCTCAACCTTTTCAATATAGTGATGTTCAACCTATAGGATACTGAAAAATAGTTTTCAGGTTGGATACTGAAAAATAGTTTTCATTGAAAATTTCAAGTGTAGTCCTATACCTTTTTTAAACAAAATCGACAGTGAGCCAAGTCACTTAATTTGTTAACATTTTTCAATGAAGATAGGACAAAATCTGGTGAATAGGTATCCATTTCGGATAATAAAATCTGTGGGTGTTGCTGGTTTGATCCCGGAAGTTGTATACTGTGCAATTTCCGAATATCCGTGCAAAATATTATTCGGATTACCTCGCTAGTTATCGGAAATCGATCGCAACTACTCGGTCTTTTCCGTCAAACTTCGACCTAAAAACTTAACCTTAACCTTAATCTCGAGATGTTCCGGTTAATCCGTAGTTAGGCGGAAAATGCCGAGAAGTTGCATTTAGCAAAAAAAGAAAAAAAAAAATACCACAAAGAATTGCAATACTCACAAACCAAGATACAAAAAATGTGCACATAGCAGATTATTAGTATTCAGTATATACTGTCCTTGTGTCAATATACTGGATGAGACATAAAACCTGGGACTAAAATAGGTATCTTTCTGTCCCAGTTAAAATGATTCAGTTACCTACATCTAGCACAAAATTTTCATTCTGAAATGAGAAATGTTTGTATTAGTCTATCTATATACTGCAACACCCTCTTTCGAGCATTATGTGCAGGTGCGTGTCTGCCCGAGAGTTTAAAAGAAGAAATGTAAAGGAGGATAAAAGTAATACTCTACATATATTTGTGAGAGTAGAAATAAAAAGTTGATAGTGTTAGTTATAAAGAGAAAGTATACAGCTAAAACAGATAAAAACAATATTTTCATTTTAAACACGGTGGGGAAGAGTGGTCACTCCCTGTTTTAACTGGTCCATGGTCGGGACCTTCACAAGTTCATCTGGCAGTGAGTTCAAGAGGACTATAGTTGTTGGAAAAATAATAATATTTGTAGTAGTTACATGGAGTGGGAATCTGCCTGAAAAAAAGAGTGTCGGGTGAGATGGAGTGAGGGCTGAACATAATGAGGTATGGGCACTGCAACCAGTCCATGCACAATCTTGTAAAACATTAGGAGTCTGGCATCAAATCTCCTTTTTTCCAGGGAACGCCAACCAAACTGATATAACATAAGCATGGTTCTCGGTGACGCTTATTTCGCCCCTTATTACTATGTAGTTCAGAGTTTGTTTTGAATAACTATAAACTTTGAAAGTCTCTTGAAGATTTAAGATATCGGCAATGCTATTGTGAGCATTAAATGACTAAGCTGTAAACATATTAATTGCGTTGCGCTTTTGGACTCCAACTTTTTCAGGCTTGGGAGTCCATGGATTCCATGTTTTAAAGTCCTAGTGTGAACCCTGTCATAAGGGAGATACTGCTGTATGTAGAATAGTCCTTAGCCCATCTTGCAGCTCTGCGCTGGACCATTTCAACTTTGTAGATGTTCTGCTGCTGTGTCTATTACTAGTTATCTTTTAAAAAAAATAAGCATACCAAAACTCTGCAGGCGCTGTTGTTTATATTGGTACCAGCGACAACAATGAATTGTCAGGCAAATTTAGAAAAGAAAATGATAGATCATCAGATCAGAGTCCCGATCTTTGAACCTAGTCAATAAGGCCGAGGCTTTATCCACCCACTCATTTTTCTAGTCAGAACTTGGCGAATGCAGGATCCAACGGGCACACACTTTCTTTAACTTTAACTTTTCTTTCAAAATAGAAAACAAATTTGACACACTGAGGCCCTATATGTCACTTATCTCCTCCATAGCAACTTCATCAACTATGGTTTTTACTATGCCGATATCGTTTTCAAAGGTTGTGGAAATTGGCCGCCCAGGGAGGGGTTCATCCTAAACATTATTGCTACCTTCCCTAATCATTGACACCCACCTGGCAATTACTATATGGAAGGGAGTTTTCTCCATAAAATAAATCTAGATCCGTTTTATTTCTCATGCCCATTTACCCAATAACGCACGAATTTTGCAATAAGCTTTTGCTCCTCTCTCAAATCACAATGCAACTCAGCCATGTTTACATCAAGACTAGTATACAAACCACATGTATTTAGATGACCTGCTAAAATTTCAAACGTGCAAATCGTGTGAAAATAGACTGTTGGTTAGAAAAATCAATAATCTTTCCAACGGTATAATGTGTACTTTCACATGCAAATCATGGTTAAATTGAGATGTTGCCACTGTTAAAATATGCCCCTCGTATTTTTTTCCTAGGCATTGCTATGGATTCACTTTACTGTATGTCACTTAACTTTGTTTTGTAATGTATTGTTTTCTCAAATGCCCAGTTGAGCCTTGTAGTATCAATAAAAACTTAAATTGAAACAAGATTTTTCAAGAATTCAAGATTTTATTCAATACTGTCATGGTTCATAAGAAAATATGACATGAAATACAAAACTGTAAACATGTAACAACCGGAACACAGAAAAATATACTTACAAATATACATAAAAACAGGAGAATGAGTGACAATTATATTGTTCTGTACTCATAATATAAAATAAAGATATGACTAGATTCTTAACAATAACCGAAATATATGCTTCATAAAAAAAATTTTCCAGGAGACTAATGATACAATACTATACTTATTATTAGTTACTGTTTATTATTACTATACTTATTATTATTTCTAAAATAAAGCAAGTTTTTTTTAAATTTGATTTGTTTTTACTATTCAGATCTTCAAATTTCAATTTAACTGAACTTTTTTTTCTTCACGCATATTACTTATCTTAGGGTTCATATTAAACGTGTCACCAAAGTTCCCGGATGCTGTCATTCGCCATGTTGATGAACATGGATTTTAAACAGAATATTTCCAGAGAATGAATGAATGAATGGCTAATGAGTTTCTTTATAAAAATTCTTAGTGTAGTCTTCTTATACCAGGTTTGTATATATTTCAATTCCATGAATAGCTCTTTAGTTATGGTACTGTTAATTATTTTTTTAAAATCGAAACTTTGCATCGAAGAAAATCATCAGTCTCTGACACATCTCTCGTTGACGAAGACGTGCCCTGCCATTTAAACAGAAGGCTACAAGACTGTCATTACTTGCTTTCACCTACGGTTCATGCATGTCATAAATAGAAACAGGGAGGGTATTGTACAGCACTGTACAAGATTTGGACTTTGCCTTACCAAGGGCAAGGACATGCTGACACTCACATGTTTAGATGCGAGCACTGTTTCTGTTGATAGGGGGCAGATCCTTGAGATCAAATCCAAAGATACTCAACATAATGTTGGGACAGTATAAAATATTAATTCTAGAAAAAAAATATATACTGTACAATATAGTTTTAGACAAGGGGTTGAACTCCCCACTAGTCCAGCGGTCCCCTAGTCCAGTATAAGTCAAAATACACCTGTAAACACTTTCAATATGATCTACATAAATAACCGAGGTATATCGAGTGAAAAACACGAGTTGCTTCCCTTATCTTCGAATAAAATCTATGCTGCTTATGCTAAAAGAATACAAATTAAGCCGTTTTTAAGCCGCTAGTTTGTTGTGGTTAAATGTCCGATTTTGAAATTTATCACACCAATAGAAAGCTTTGGATCTTGGCTTCATCACAGTATAAACTTCAACACATCTTTTGACTACTGTTAAACCTATGATATGTCAGACCATTTTACATACGATTTATACAGTGAGATACGCAACCCGTTATCTTTACTCGAAATACTACTGATCAGAATAGTCGTCTGCTAGTTCTGAAAGTGTTTATCGTTGTATTGCAAAGTCATTCATATCGTATTTTTGCTAGGTCGGACACAACCCAGGTCAGCTTCGTATTTTAATCAACCAATGAAATAATCTGTTTCAAATCAGTCACATGATAGCCAATGGATGCCGATTAACTCAAAAACAAGAATGGTGTCCCCAATTTTTTTTTCGCTTCAAATGTTTCTGTTATCATATTTTTACAAAATGCCAAGTTTAAAGAAATTCTATAGAACAGTTTAAATTTTGCCTATATGTCTATATGAAAACTCCAGAAAACATCCTAAATTAGAAAACAATAGTCGGAGATAAGGATCTGTCAAAATATGTCTTGTCCTGGACTGTCTTTCTGTTGGTCAGTTGTCGGAAATGGTTTTAGAGTTGTCACTAAAAGATTTGTAGAGCCTGAACTACACTGAACAAAGAGTAAATGTATATTACAGATATTGACAGACCAAATCAATGAGAGTTCTTGAGAAGGAAGTAGTATCAACGTACAGTATGGGAAAGAAGAATAAGCACAAGCTTAGGAAAAGCAAGGAAAATGAAAATTCTGATTCATCAGAAGAAGTTTCGGGTAAGTTCTGTCGAGATACACGTAGATTCATTCTCTGATCCTTTATTTGAATAACAATAGATTTAACCATGACCACTGATACTTGTGTTCTTTTGTTAAGAAATATTTTGTGGTTAAATTCTTATTGTAATACACAAATCTTATTATTCAAATTGAAAAGATTAGGGCAATGTAGGGATCTATGTAATTTTTTCTCTCCAGTTTTCAAAGTTGTGAAAGGGCTTCTTACTCTATGAAAAGTTGGGAGAAATTTCCATATTGGCTGAATGGCTTTAATTTATTAATATCTGTGTTTGATTCTTGATGTTAATATTGTTAATACATGAACAAATATTTTATAACTTAATGGTTTGTTATTGTTCCGTTATTTGTTATTGTAACAGATAATGATTATGGTTGGTACATGAATTGTTAGAAGTATACAAGTTTAATACTGGTTGATTGATAATGAAACATAATTTGACAAATCTTTTATTACAGGTAAAGGATGTATGCATGTTAGTAAGGCTATTAACTTCAGTGCAATGAAGAAAAGTCTTGGTAAACAACCATTTGGAGAATGTGCTGTAAGTATAATTATTAAAGTTATAATACCGTTCAACGATGATATTTTACCCTACAACTTAGTTTTCAGAAATTATCACCTAAATCATAAGTATATCCTCATTAATGATGAACTGCTATACAATTTTAATCTTATTTCGCCGAAACACTCGGATGCAACTGGATATAATATCGCCAGTTTTTGAAATCCCCGCCATTTGTAAAAGCTCTCGGGCCCGATCGGTTTCATTCGGAATTAACTCATTTGCATACGGAAAAGTTCGGAAATGCTATAATTAGAAACAAGTTCGGAAATGCTATAATTAGAAACGTCAACAAACTTGCGACCCCGATATTAGGAGATATAATATAAATGACGGATGCAATTTTATTTTATGTTTTGTAATTAATAAACGATATGAAAAGCTATTTATTAGCTAAGGAATGTAGCTTATATCCTCGTAACGCGTTACAAAACAATAGGAAAAAGAACAAAGTCTGAGACTCTCACTAGATCTACAGTAAACAAGAAGATGGAGCGTTGGTCATGTCTATGTCGAACGGTTGCTGTGGTTATTTGAAATCGGTAAATTAGCCGTTCTTTATGATCTGTTCGTACCAGAAATAATACGTACCTATTGCCAAGCTTCCATCGTAGTAATATGGCATACAGTAGTGTGCGTTATGTAAATATTATGAAACACAGACACTTGGGCTTTGGTGCTCAATCTGTATTATATTATATAGATGTTGAAATATGATTTTTTTTTCAAAACGGCTTATATTAAGTTGTTTTTTTTTGTGGATTTTAAAGGCGTTTTGAGCTCCAAACCAAAGTGTCTGTGTTAGAAAATTATAATGAAAAGAAATATAATTTGGCAATCTGGTGTAATAACCTGTATAGGGTGTTACCAGATTAAATAACCAGTCAACTGCATGCAAAAGCCAATACATATTTAACATCTACAGACTCAACCGTTTGATATATGATAATGTATAATTATACTTCAATTTATAAGCAAACAAGAATGGAAAAAGGACCAAGTTAAAGTTCTGATGCCTATAATTATGAAAATGATCACTCAAGACCTGATTTTTATGTTAGCCTTTTGTAAAAGTGCACATTATGGAAAATAATGTACTAATGAGAATTTCATTCCAATACAAACACAGTGCAACCTGTGTAAATAATATTCTGTTAACAATGAACAGTTGCATTCCACTGAAAATAAGATTGCCAAGAATTAAATCCTAATCTCTGGATTATGTACACCGGTATGGCATAAAACCATAAATTTCACCACTTTATGTTCAAATGTTGAATTCTGCTAAAGCTGGTGCTAGGGGGCATGGAAGGTAACTTGCACTTTCCAACAGGCTCACCAAATAGAGCCTGCAACAGTTTCAATTTTGTCATTTTGGGCTTTCTTTATTTCTCTATTTTCTGATGTCAAATGTACTTTTTTAAAATTCAAATAAGATCACAGATTGTAACAATGTTTTACAAATACCTTTCAATGTTAATTTACACTACACTTCTTTTAGCACGTTCAGGACACATTTTGGAATGTTGTTAAAATAACAAAAACACAGATAAATTTAAACATGTATTTGAACATTGGCAGTAAAACAACAATAAAATGTTCAAATGAACAGCATATCTTCTTTTTCTTACTCTTAAAATTGTACACCAGTGACTTCTTTACAGTTAAAGTTTTATTTTTTTATTCAATCCATGCTGTCTTAACAGGAAGAGAAAGTGTGAAGATGGCCAATATTGTAGAAGGAAATAAATAATATCTTAATTCCAACCAAATTGTATGAACTTGAGCTAACCCCTTATGGGTTTCTGGTGATGAAGGATATTATGCTTAAGCCATTGTGACCTTAGACCTTATTAACTCCAAACTAATGCTTAATTACTAATCTAAGCAATGTCCCTGGAAATGTTCAAAACCTTGGGACAATGAGTTTACATGTCACTGAGACCTTGAACGTATAATCAAATGGACAAATCTTAAAACTAATGGCAATCAGAATTTTTCCTTCTGAGTTACATAAACTATACCTTACAATGTTACACATATTTAAAGGAAGTTAAACTTTATGCCATCTTGAGCTTTAAATGTAATTACCTCAAAATCAGTTGGTGCCATTATCTGGGGAAGGGCAATGTTCCTACCAAGCCTAAAAACTTAGGCTTACCCCTGAATGTAAAATATTGTTTGTTCCCCACTCCCGCGACCTACCCACAAATAGCACAGCTACCTAAAAATATCTCATTGCCCAGGATTTGTTTACTAAAATGAAATCAGAGTGTCAATGAGAATGACATTTCTTTAACTGTCTCGTGATTTTTTAATTGTAAATATACAAATGTTGGGATATTTGTTGATTGAAACTGAAAATATGGTTCTAAATTTTCAAGTAAAACAGATGCTTTCATGCATTCACAATTTGTTTGAACTACATATAATTTTAATGAAAAATAAAACAAGACAAACATTTTGAATAACTAGGAATGTGTCCATAGGACACGGTTCCCACCTACGCGCCACTGTTCTGTCAATCTTATGACTCTAGGTCAAATATTTTTTGAAAACTAAAAATCTTTTACTAAGTAAAGGGCAAGAACTTTACAAATACTGAATAAATTCACAAGTAAACCCCAAGGTGCATAAGTACACATGCTGACCAACATTCTTTTAAACATTCAGGCCTACAAGTGATATACTTTTTGAGCTATGCATGAACAAGTTGAAAATTGTAAATTATTCGATAAATTAAAGTGAACCTGTAGTAGCCACTCCTATATTGTCTTTCTTATTTATATTTTATCCCTGTAGGATATTAATTATGGAGTTAAATGATAAATTATTTATGTTTGGCTGAATGAAATGAAAGAAAACATAAATATTTTTTTTAGCTATGCATGAACAAGTTAAAAATTGTAAATTTATACTACTGTAAGTCAAGGGCAATAACTCTAACAAAACTGAAAAAAATCCACATAAAAGTCCCAGGTTCATAGCTTCACAGTGATGTAAATCATTATTCCTGTAATTAAGTGATGTTGATCATTATTCCTGTAAAGTTGGTTGATTCTCACTCAAGCACTCAAGGAACAAATAACAACATAATTAAACGTTTTTTACTAAGTCAAGGGAAATAACTCTACAAATACTGGATAAATCCACAAGCCAAACCCCAGGTGCAAACTACACATGCTGATCAACATTCCTGTAAAGTTTCATGGCTCTAAGTCAAATACTTTTTGAGTTACATGCGACACAAGTTGAAAATTGCAAAATTTTACTAAGTCAAGGGCCATAGCTCTCAAAATACTAAATCCAGACGAAAATACCCAGGTGCACATCTACACATAATGTTCAACATTCCTGTAAAGTTTCATTGCTCTAGGTCAAATACTTCCTGAGAAGCATGCGACACAAGTTGAAAATTGCAAAAATTCAATGGCAGTAACTCTGAAAATACTAAAAATATCCAGATGAAAATACCAAGGTGAACAACTACACTTGCTGATCAACATTACAGTAAAGTTTCATGACTCTAGGTGAAATACGGACAGACGGACAAGGGTAAATTTTAAATGCCCGCCAATAAAGTGGGGGCACAAAAATAAATATTTTATCAGCCCACCTAACCTATCTAAACTGGAATGGGATGAGGGAGTAAATACAAAGATAATTTTAAGGCTTGCCTTGTTTGATTGAACAAGGATTTTATATAAAATGCCCCTATGCATTGGTCTAATAAACTAGATTGGACTACAAACAATTCATGGACTAATAACAACTAGATTCTTCGCGAGTCGGATGTTGTTGCCTTGTTAAACAATATAGTTTAGGAGAAATGGCCAAGACAAAAATAAAATATGAAAAATTAACACAGGGCAATAAAGTTAAAACCCACTAATAGCAAATAACAAGCAAAGCCAAAATTTAGACATTTAACCTTGAAGGTCAAGGTCAATTATGAATGAAGGCCAAGGTTAGACAATACACCAAGAACTTTAAAAGTTATGAACAAGGTTCAAGTTAGCAGAAGGCAAGGGCAGCAACCTCTATTTCTTTTTTCAAAAAAAAAAAAAAAAAAGAAGAAAAGCTGAGCTAAAGTGAATGACATAGTACATGTATACCAAAAGATAAAATTGAATAATACTTTAAACTTTGTTACTACATTAAAGCTCATAGCAGCACTTATAGTTTAATAGATTGGATAAATATTTTGCACTTGTATAAAAAGTAGTCATTTTTCTGACAAAATATTAAAAACAGACCTTGAGTCATGACAAATGAATCAAGAGAATTTTTTTCGAAACAAGATAGATACAGTGCCATATCTAAAAAGATATTTCATAAAAACTATCATGAATACCAGGTGTTCAATGTCAGCTTAAATATGTTTGAATAGTTGGGCAATCAGTGTAACACACTATTTGTCATTCTTTTCCATAAAAAGTCAATCATATCTTGATTTATGTTCCATCATGAATGGCTCGGGTAGGCTTCGGGCTAAATTGGGCCAAATATTTTTGAAAGTCTGTGGGGGGTCATCTTCCTCTAACTTTCTATTTATATATCCCCTCCATGTCACTAATTCTCAGAGTTATAGCATCATGAAAAATGGTATAATGATACTTTTTCTTCTTTTCTTTAATTCATCCAGACTCGCTGAAGTCTGAAATGAGAAATTAACAAAGCCTGTTATAACAAAAAATCATAAGTGTATACAATTCTCAAAATGCATTACATGTAATTATGTCCTCAAAATTTATTAGTCAGGTTATTCAGAGACTGCAAAATCTCTTTTTGATTGAAATTAATATTATATAGGCAATATAAATGCATAGTGATCACACTTTCAATAAAAATATCTTATAATTCATAGAGGCAGGAACATTTAATACTAAGATATGCAGCATTTATATTCATATGCAAAAATGAAAAAACAAATGTTGAGAATCTATATGCCCAAAGAAGATAAAGCACAACATTTTATTTAGGTTTTGCCTCTTTATATGTTTGAAGAACTGAAATCTTTCTATTGAAATAAACAAAGAAACATTGTACATCCATATTAGACTCAGTACAGAGTACATCTATATTGAACATTATTATAGTTCCAAACAATTCACTTTATTAACACAAACTGGACACTGTTTTCTTTCATTCTGTAAAATTGTAAAACATTGCATGTTGGGGTTTTGTAAGTAGCATACCTAACAGATCCCCCTTGTTGGTGATGTATGGTCTATTTGCATGTATATTATAATCTATGGCTGCTAGAAGATTGTGCATCCTATAAACAGGTGGTGTGTAAGCAAATCTTTTTGGGTACAATACATCAAGATGTGCTGGTGAAACCCCTCCATGCCAGCTGTACTTCTAAAAATGAATACAAATAATGGAAAGATATTTTCATTTAAATGATTTCCTTTAACATTAACATATTCATATGCTAGATATATATGTATGTAAATAATCATCTTTGAAAAGATTTTACACAGCTCTATCCTTCAATTGATAAGTGCAATAAAGGTGCCAATTAATTTATACATAGTGGTTGTAGGTCCATTTGCGTTAACATATAAAGATGCTGTAAACATTGAACATTCTATAATCAATAGACATATGAGCTTTGTATTAATCAGGACATAATACTCCTTTCCAGTTAGGAAAATAAATCCTTTTAAAAATTTCACTCCAAACTGCTAGCATATCTTAACAAAGATAGACATATCTCCTTTGCAGAATTAATGGTTCCAACATTGGAGCCATTGGCTTCAACTTTTTTGATTGGCCAATCTGGTGGTGCAAACTAAAATTGCTCCAGGGGGGAACCCTGTCAATATAAATTTCTTTTATTGTACCTGATGAGAACAAAACCTGCAGTTGAGATATTATGTCATCTTATTCAGAACACCAGCCAGATCTTTCAGACTATGTGCATCTTATTTCCTTTGCACCATGGTTTGTTCTGGTTTCTAATGGGCCATGATTGTACTAGGCATTGGTGTATTCCATCATCTGAAAACAGAATCCATTCATGCTCAATAGCTATAAGATTGATGCAGACACTAAAATATATTATTCCCTGAAATAAAATATCAAGAAAAATAAGCATGCATTAAAAAATGGCAAAGAAGTCAGCCTTCAAACAAGTTTCATGAAACATTACTAAGCATTTCACATTTATTTTACATATTAAATGCTTACCATAAACTTATGAAGTATTCCACATTATGCATCAAAAACATCTTGCATGCATTAATTTTCTTGCAACAAATGACAATTATGTATTGCTATCTAGAATTTTATCTAAATATTTCTTGAGCAACAGAATAATCATATAAAATATCAAACATTCAAACAAAATCAAATATATAATAATTGTTTACTTACCATGAATAGTTTATAGTCTGTAGCAGTTTTATAACTAAACCAGAAATGAATGGTTGTGTCTCAATTCAACTCCAAAAGGATTTTATTGGCTTTCTTTAGTGCTACCTGAAGATTAAACCATAACTTGCTTAAGATTTAGAAGAAAAAAAATCAATTGTGGAAATTCCTTTTCATTTTAGCGAAAAATATTCTACATAAGAATTGTATATATTCAGTCTTCACCAACATTTACTATAGGACATGAATCTGCCCTTGTTATTAACAAAAAATACAGCAGTATTGCATGCAGTGATAACACCAGTCTATTAAAAATTCTTAGTTTAAAAGGGATATAACTTAAAAAAATATTGCTTTCACAGTCATTGAATTTAAGATTTTGAGTTCACTGGCCCCAATTCCCATTTTTAGCTCGACTTTTCTATGAAAAGGGGAGCTATCCTACTCGCCCCGGCGTCGGCGTCGGCGTTGGCGTCACACCTTGGTTAAGTTTTTCGTACCACCCCACTTTATTTCAGAAGTATTACAAGTATGGCTTTGAAACTTACCATACTTGTTCACCATCATAACCTCCATCTACAGACAAGAGTACATAACTCTGTCAAGGTTTTTGACAGAATTATGGCCCTTTTTTGACTTAGAAAGTGTATTGAGCTTGGTTAAGTTTTTTTGTACCACCTCACTTTATTTCAAAACCATTGGAGGTATTGCTTTGAAACTGACCATACTTGTTTACCATCACGACCTTCATCAACAGACAAGAGGACATAACTCTGTCAAGGTTTTTGACAGAATTATGCCCTTTTTGACTTAGAAAATACATTGAATATGGGTAAAATCCACTTATTGCCTTAACCCTTTGAGATATTGCTTTGAAACTTTTAATGCTATTTCACATCATTACCCCCATCTGTACGCAAGAGAAGGTAACTCTGTCAAGGATTTGTTTTAAAAATTAAGGCCTTTTATCGACTTAGAATCTTGGTTAAGTTTTTAGTACCAGTCCACTTTTTGACTGAACTGTTTGAGATATTAATTTGAAAGTTGGAATACTTGTTTACAATCATGATTCCCAAACATGTCCAGGAGAAGGTAATTCTGTCAAAGATTTTATTTGAATTATGGCCCTTAACTGTCAATGATTTGTATTATAGGCAAGCACTAAAAAACTTAAAAAATCTAAAAAAATTCATGACCATTAAATAATGAATTGAACTTCCTTCATGTAATTCAAATATCAGTTTACAACGCATTATCTACATAGTGGACCCACGAAAAGTAACCAGTCACCCACAGCCTGTGTGAAAGAGATCCACTTGTGACCAACTGACAACATCTAAAAAAGCTTGATAAAATTTATCTATTACTTGTATTATAAGGTAACTATAATACTTTCACATACAAAGTCAAATCTATATATTATGCTGATTGTACAAAAATATACTGCTTCCTTGGCATAGATTTCTTGAAAAATTATGTTATTATGTCATTTACCAAGGTGTTCTGAGTGACGTAAAAATACCTTATTCTCTCAAAGTGGGTTTAATACTATTAAATTTATTTAAGGCTCAACTCAGTTTTTTTTCTTTCTTACCAGCCCTCTTTTGACTTAAACATTTCAAACTTTGCTGCAGTGTTCAAGGGTATCACACAATTCAGTAAAATAATTCTTCACTAAATATCTTAATGCTCATGGCCATTGTTCACTTTAAAAATACAGAGATTCTTGTATTGCCTTTTACTGCAAAAACTTTTTTTATTGGCAAGCAATAAAAAAGTCGAGCGCGCTGTCTTACGGACAGCTCTTGTTTAATTTATTCTACTATATATTTAACTACATTTTCTTAAAATTTACACTGGCCCAAACTAATTTTCACTGGCCATGGGCCACCAGGCCAGTGCTATATTCAATGACTGCTTTCATAAGAACATGTATGCTCCCCTGTTTAACAATTACACTTTGTCCTGATAAGCAAGTCTTTCAAGTTTCATGTTGATACATTTCAAAATATTTAAATAATGCAATTGTATGCCATCATAGCAATCTGACATAGAATGTAATAGCTTTGAAAAAAAAAGCTAGAAATTAGTAATTTATGATGTTTGATTGTAACTAAGAAAGTATACTCCACTTTTGAGGAATCTGTAACTATTTTGTTGTATGGTCTGAGAATTGACTATATAACAGAATCCTTTCCAAAAACCATTTATGAGCCGCGTCACGACAAAACCAACATAGTGCGTTTGCGACCAGCATGGATCCAGACCAGCCTGCGCATCCGCGCAGTCTGATCAGGATCCATGCTGTTCGCTATCAGTTTCTCTACTTGTTATAGGGTTTGTAAGCGAACAACATGGATCCTGATCAGACTGCGCAGATGCGCAGGCTGGTCTGGATCCATGCTGGTCGCAAAACCATTATGTTGGTTTTGTCATGACGCTGCTCATATATATTTTTTCACAAGTGGATTTAAGACCTACAGTATAATGACCCTCTATTATTTTTTCACCTCAGTGAACAATTACCTATAATAATATTATGGAGTCATACAAATATCAACTCATCATTTAAGATGACACCAAAATCTTTCAATTGGACCAAAATTACCATGTAATGCATGTTTTTTTTTCTTCTTCTAATACAGTATTATATGCCACTTAAAAAATGTCATAATTGTTTAATATTTAAATCATATGAATATCTGATCATGATATATATGGATCACATGTTGACATGTATATATCCATTAATTGGTTCAATAAACTAATAAAAAAACATGAATTCAGCAGTATATAAGATTCCGTGGCCGAGTGGTTAAGGTTGTTGACTTCAAACCACTTGCCCCTCACCGCTGTGGTTCGAATCCCAACAGGGACTTTGGATTCTTTCATGTGAGGAAGCTATCCAGCTAGCTTACGGAACGTCGGTGGTTCTACTCAGGTGCCCGTTCGTGCCTGAAATAATGCACGGAAGGGCATCTGAGGTCTTCCTCCACCAGTAAAGCTGGAACGTCGCGATATGACCTATACTGTGTCGATGTGACGTAAAACCCAAAACAAACAAAATATAAGATTAATCAGTTTTTATATGAATTATATAAGTAAATTAGTTATGCAAGTATATAGTTATATAGCAGTTTTGAAAGGTATTATTATAACCTGTCACTTTCGACAAAAATGGTGTACTTACTCTCCTCTGCATATGCACTGAAGTCCAGGTCATCTTTGATGTCCCTGGTAGTGGTATTGCAACACATGATGATGATGAAATTGACTAATTTCTGTAATTGAAAATATAGCATACTAGTACCATGGCCTAAAATCTTGACTATTCAAACCAATTACAATACATGAATTGCTGCACTGCTTTATAAGGAAGAAGGGTTGTCAATAAGAATTATCTAACGTTTCCAGCACAATTATGGTTATTGTCCATGATTATTTTTCAAAATTGTGAAATGCTGAAATTTTACTGCAAAAATGATTCAAATGAGACAAAAATATTGATTTTTGTGCGATTTTCCAGACAACATTTTATTTTTTCTACTTTATTTCTTTGAAGATTCAACAACCCTGGATAGTAGATCAATATATCAGACTTACGGGCTTGTTATTGCTTAAATGTCGGTCAAGGTTGCCCAAAAGCAAAAAATATCTCAAAATCAAAGGACGTCACATTTATAGGACTACCCTTGATAGTTGAACATGCTTTGAAGAAATGCCTGTTCTGCTAGTCAATAGTTCTAACCCTTTTTGAGACACATGTGGCTAATCTATTTCACAGCATTGTAGTTACTACAGGCTTACAGTAAAAAACAATAATGTGATTGGAAAATAAAATTTATTTTAAATATAATTTTGTTGTGTCTTAAATGATTCTTAAAAGATAGTGATTGGTCATCTTAAACGATATTACAATGGTTACAATGAACATACGCCATAAAATTGTAAAGAATTAGGCTCAGCCGATCTTTTATTTAACCTGTTATTGTTAACAATTTATTGGTACGAAAATTACAGTGAACGAAAACTTGATACACAGACGTGGATCGGCAAGCTTAATTTCTTTATCATAAGTCAAAACCATCGTAAAAACTATACCACAATATCTGTGTTTATATATTCGTAGGTGAAATTTTTCTATAAGTAGATCTAAGACAAAGAAAAAATTAAATGCAAACAAAAACGATGATCACCTCACCTGTCAATCAGATAACAACTTCACGGTCGCTTTTGGTTTTAATTACCCTTTTTAGAACTTTTCATCGCTTTGAATCACTACCGGAGTATATCCTTGATTGAATTAAATCACAGTTTCTTCCCACTTTTCGCTTTTTCCTTTTCCAATCTCAAAATTTATTTCTCGTATAGGTGACACACCTTTCGTATTGTCCGCCATTATTTTGGTTTGGTAAATCATATCACGTGACTCAGATCTGAACATTTACGGAAATAATCGAAGGGCTTCCCGCCAAAATATAAATCTTATTTGACTGAACCCAGTCAAATAAGAAAATGCATTTTTTAGAATGGTCAGAAATGTTACAGAGAGCGTTTCTAAGTTGGAAAATTTTGTCAATACTAATTAAATAATGCATTTGATAACAATAAGGCGTTAATTTGACAATCTGTTTTGATGAATTTGACCAGGAATATAACTTTAAGGAATAATGTAACTTGGTGTCAATTTTAGTTCACAACATGTAATTACATATTCTTTTTCTCATGTTAAATATTATCTGCCAAGACTGCCATTGCCATTATTTTTCAGTGTTTGTGGTTTGAATGCTTAGAATATTAAAACAATTTCACAGTTTCCCTGGTGAGAAACAAAATCTCAGATATTTCTAGAAATTTAATCTTAAGAATTTATACTTTTGAATAAGTCTTACTCTGGAAAAAGGATATCTGAAAACAGATTCTTTCTGATAAATAAATACTGCTTCATTGATAGAGCTGTGCTAAGGATGTAACTAAGAAAGAGCCAAAGACATTGATGGATCATTTAGAAGGCGCTACAAGTAGTGACTTTGTAGCGGAGGAGGAGCCAACATTGTGGGTGTGTCTACAGTGTGGTCACCAGGTAGGCGGAGTTTTATCCTTGCTATGTGTATTTATTGTGAGGATTGAGCCTTAAACTTACAGTTTTCCAAGTTGTTCTATGTTTATTGGTTGATCAAATAGGTTTTAAAAACTAAAAAAATGTATTCCATTATTGTAATGTATGCTAAGGAAGTCACTAAATGTATTAGGTGTACGTCCACACAATTTGCCGAGGCTTTATACTGTAGGTAGCTCAGATTTTTAAATTTGATACTGAAATCCCTTGAAATTCAAATGGACTGTTCCAAAATTCCAATCAGGACAAATCTACTACACAAATTTTGCAGGCTAAAGTTTTTATGTATATTTCAGGGGTGTGGTAGAACTAGCCCAGAAAAACACGCCCTCAAACATTTTCAGACTCCTAGATCTTCCCAACATAATATAGTTATAAACACGTCAACATGGACAGCTTGGTGTTACGATTGTGATGATGAGCTGCTACCTGAGAAATACAAGAAAGTAGCCGAGTGTATGGAACATATAAAAAAGATTGCTTGTGTGCCTTCTACAGATACATCACATGGTAAACTATTTATTACTATTTTAACTATTTATCTGTTACTAATAGACATGTACAGGTATGACAAAACATCAAAGATCTTTTGAACATTAAGTCAGTCATTAAGTTTAGTTGTATAACATGACATATTGTGTACAGGAACACTAATAAATGTTTACCTTCAGCTGATGACAGCATATTGATACAGTAATTTATCAGCTAATAATATATTGTACCTGTAATGATTTATATAACAGTGATATTAAAAAAGAGGGAAAGTGAAATTATGTGTTGTTGGTCTTTATATAACTGTATTCAAAAATGTTTGATTGTGGAAGCCTTGTTCATGTGAAAACTTTGCCATTTATTGTTGGAAAATGAGTCTTGTCAATGTATAATGTATAATAATAATAATCTACATGTACATGTACCTTTCTTCAGCAACAGATTATGACTATAAAACTAAGTTTATCCTTATCTGACTATTCTGACATTATATATTACAGGTAAGAACAGTAATGGAGGTACATCTACAGGATCAGATTCTGTTCTCAACAAAGGTCGACCTCTGTCCGGAAAAGGGGCAGCAGCTGGCTGCCAGAAGGTCAAGGTTAGGTTCTTGTCCACTAAATTCTAATAATAATATGGCACAAGTATGGCCAGCCTTGACTTTCACTGTCTTAAGTCTGACATGACTCTGTCTCTATATGCACTCGGTTTTATTATTTTAATATTGTTCTTACTTCCACTTAATTTAGAATAGGAGAAGTCTATCACACATTTCTTTGACAACTTATTAAACATTTTCTTATATTAAAACAAGAAAATTTCTGATATAATGAAAATAAACTGGTATTGTTTTATCAGGTATTATCAAATTAAATGAAAATGATAGCTTTTATAGTTTAATTTGTCTAGTGATGATGACATTAAATATCGTCAATTTATCAATATTCATGGCATGTGGGTAGTCTTATAATGCAGTATGTGTTAGAAATCTTGTTACCGTGTATCTATATAATAAAACAATTGAATGTGTGTTTTCTTATCATCAGGGATTGAGTAACCTAGGCAACACTTGTTTCTTCAATGCTGTGATGCAGGTAAGCTTATACAGTATTATCAGCAGCAACGTTAATGTGATTTTATCTCCTTGTATAAATTCTGGCCTTAATTTGATACTGAAAATAGCTTTTGTCCTTCAAAATAGTTCCACTAAGTTCATCTACTGCAAAATCATTACTATTTGTGGGGAACTAATTTTCATGCTTTAAGTGGATAGGTCAGTCAGTCAACGCAATTTCATTTCGTCTGCTGTAAGAATATTTTGCACCACATTATTTACATTCTACCTTTCGGAAAATAAACAGTTGATGAATTCAAGAACCCACAAATATGTTCTTTGTGTCAAAACCACTAAATTTCAACTTGATTTGATGATAATTGTAACAAATAAAGATAATAAAAATAGTTAAGAAATTGGTATATATAACATTGAATGATGTGAATTTTGTTTTGTAGAATTTGGTACAGACATACAGTTTGGAGAATTTACTGGGAGAGAGAAAGAAAGGTCATCCACTGAGGTTACAAGGTGATCTATTTATAGACCCAGAATCTTGTAGTTCTAGTGATGAATGCGACGAGAAAAATCAGAAAAATACATTAAAAGAGTTGGTAAGATTTTACACTTTTATATTGAGGGAGGATGGATGGGAGTAATTGTATTTTTGTTTTTATCAGATATTTTTTATCATGTTAGAAGAATAATCACTTGTCTCTAATTGGCCTAAAAAGTGATAAATATTTATCAAGGTTCAGTACTTGAATAAAAAAACAGAGGGTTTTCTACACAAAGATAACCTCATGCTTTTGACAATGCTTTTAAAGACTTTACTTTAATGTTAGAGACTTTAATTTACACCTGTTACTTACTATTAAGATTATGCTTACTGTAATTTTTTACCACCATCCATTTCTTACTGGTATTACTCAATGATGCTTGAATATTTGCAAATATAAAAACTAACATTTTCAGCACATTTTTCTGTTGGTCTGAAAAAAAAATGTTTTGAGCTAACTTTTCAAACTTGTGTTAAATTTGAATTATTTTACTGTTTTTACAGCCTGCCATAGAAGTAAGTATAAATGACCCAGGTCCTCTCACACATGCCCTGGTTGTATTTCTACATGACATCAACACTACGTCAAGATCAGGATGTATAAATCCCACAGCTCTGTTTGGACAAGTCTGCAAAAAGTAAGTCTTGATATATATTTTTAAGTATTTCTTGATTGCCCATTAGGCTCCCAAAAATTATATTGCTTATATTCTAAAAACTGTCTTTATTTTTTGTGCACTGTTACAATTTCCGAAACATTATTCATTGACCATAAAGCTGAACCATCTTTTTCTTATACATTTTAGAATTTAAGAAAGTTTTAATGTTTTGTATGGAAGTAAAAAATACTACTCATTTTAGTCCGATTCTTTTACAAGATACTTAGCAATACAGTATGGAAATAAGGTTTATTAGCTTCAGTGAAAGAATCAGTTTTAGAAATTAAAGTTATGAAATAGTTTTATCCTCCAATATGTTAGCAGTGACAGTATTGTCAGCTAAGGCCCCCACGGTTAAACTTTTAAACGGATTCGTTTCGATTTTCATTCCTAAACGTTTACAATATTTTTTACCGTTTAATCGAAATGGCCATATTGTCTTACGAAATATCTTAATCATTGCCTGTAATCACGGCTTTTATCAATTCCAATTGGTTTATTCCAAAGTAATAATGGAAAATGTGTGTTAACAATCCTCCGCACAATAATCGCTTGTGGCATAATACATGTTTGGTAAAGTTGATTTTCCTTTGATCTTTCAAAAGAGCGAAATGGGGATACAATGCAGAAAATGTGTGCCGACACAATCGTGATGAGCCCTGGACATTATTTATTTGTACATGTATTAAAAAATAGAAAGTATGTCATCATTTACCAACTCGAATACATGGTGTGGTATAGTACATAGAAGTACCACCGTTTAAACGGTATCGTTTCGGTTCTTAGCAATCGTGTAAACGTTTACAAAAATTTGTAAACGTGGGAGCCTTATTGTCAGCCAATGTAGAGGTAGAACAGATTAAACAGACATGATGTTTATCTTTGCTGTACACTTTTAGCTGTTGGTGTTAAAAAGTATATATATATATATCTGAAAATATCTGCAATGAATATCATTAAAGCATGTAAAGTCCTGTTAACATATTTTAATTAGAGTTAGGATAACAAGTCCATGTAAAAAAACATTTGAGCATATGTTGCTTGTTGTTGTGTTCAATTAAAATTGACTTAACAACATTTAATGGTCCAATCATTTTAATGTATAGTTATTTACCCAGGTTACATGAATAACCATTTATGCAATCATATGCTATTTTACAGAACTGATAAGATAATTTATAGACCTGATATGATAATTTATAGATAATTTATAGAACTGATATGATAATTTATGGAACTGATATGATAATTTAAGGAACTAATATGATAATTTATAGCACTGATATGATAATTTATGTTACAGGGCACCAAGATTTAAAAGTATGCAGCAACAAGATAGTCACGAGTTACTACGATATCTGATGGATAATATGAAAACTGAGGAAATTAAGGTTTGTTCTACTTTATAATACTTGTTTGTTTCTACAACAGTTAACAAAAAATGTAATATCTTATGTTGGACATTTACAAAACTAAAGATTATGTGTAATACTGAAGTTTGATCAGTGAAAAGGGTAGTATATGCAGTTGCTGCTGTGTGAAAAGGGTAGTACATACAGTCGTTGCCAGGTGCATATAGATTATACAGATGGTCCTGTACTAAATAAAATACAACACTTGCAAGTTCTGTATATCATTTCAGGACTTTTTCGCCTTCTATAGCAGGGACCATTTTAGGGCTGCCTCAGGAAATTCTTTAAAATCATGCAGTTTTTACTTAAAATTCAATTAACAAGTTTTTTTTCTTCCTCATTTGCAAAAATAGTGTGTTATTTTTACACAGCCTGTGACAAAAGCCCTGGATTTCTCCACTTAGAATTACAAATTACAAAAAGACAAAAACAAACCCCCAAACTAATCTGTTTTTATTTACAGTATTCCCATTTATTAAAGTTAAGGAATCTATGGATAGCTAAAAGTATTTTCATTATACGTTGTTGTTTTTTCAGAGAGGTCAGAGTGGTATTCTAAAATATTTTAAATTGTCTGAAAACACAAATCCTAAAAAGGTGGATGAGGAAGTTCGACTAAAAGTAAAAGGTAGATCTAGATATATATATAATATTTCAATATTCTGTTAATTAATGCTGTCAATTTGTACTTGTTATAACAATAATATAATTAACATTATAAGGGGTTTGTCAACATATAGTATTTATTTTTTATCGACCTGTGTGTAGAATACATATTCAATTATCAATTATTTTTGTGCTATATTTCTTCAGTGATAAAGGTGGCATGGAAAATGACTAGTTACTGATACATTGTATTGCAAAAGTTTTATTTGAGCAGAATAAACACACTTTAACCTTATGAGGCCAAGTTGATATAAATTATTTGTGTATGACAAACAGTTCTTTGATTTGAGAGGCCTGCATGACCAAATGGTCTCTCAGACATTTAATCACTTGACCCTCAATGCTTGTGGTTTGAATCCCTTAAGGAACTTTGCATACTTTCATGTATGGAAGCTATCCAGCTAGCTTTGAGCAGGTTGTTTTTTCTACTTTGTTGCTCACATCATGAACAATGCTTGAAGGGTACTTAAAAGTATTCCTCAATAACAGCCATTGAACTGCTACAATGTCTGTGGGACTTATAGCCTGACTACAGAAATATATGTTGATTGATTTATATCATATTATTTAGTGTGGAAATTATTATTGTTACAGCATACGGACATCAGATAAAGCATACGTTTGTAGAATGTTTGTTTGGAGGGCAGCTGATCAGCACTGTAGTCTGTGAGGAATGTAAATATGTAAGTTTTAATCTTTGATTTTGTACAGAATTTTGTTTTTACACATAACATACTAAATGTTAGCCATAATGGAAATGAGAGACATTAAGTGTTGTGTCTAGTTTTTAACTTCATTTAGATTAATTTTAATGTAGCACATTAATTTTGCAATTTATAATATGTCTTCAAATTGGTTAGAGTGAAGACTTTTAAATTCAGTATCATTTTGTTTATTTCAACCATACATATAATTATTAAAGCATTAATTAAATCATTATAGGTATCAATGTGATGATAATGTTATAAGTAAAAGTGTGTTATAAAGAAATTATCATTATGTATTTTCAGATATCTCAGATTTTAGAACCTTTCCTAGATCTTTCTCTGCCAGTAACTGAGGAAAAGGTAAAGTTAGATTGCATTTTTAATCTTTGTTAAATGGTCGAAAATTCACATTTTAAATCTTTGTTAAATGGTCGAAAATTCAATTTTAATTACAAAAATTACAAATGTACAATTATTTGTTATGATTATTAAATAGAAATAATTAAGATGCTGTTTAAAGAGCCAATTAACAGTCCATCTGAAAGAACTCGAAACATATAATTAATCAAATACTTGAGATTTTAAACAAGACATTTTAATTTAATTTATTTTTTCTTGTCATTTAAATTATTAAAGTTATATGTAAACAGTCATGTGAATCAAGTACTTAAATGTTTACCAGCATTTCCTAAATAACCATATGTAGTCTTGTATGTATTTTATATGTATTTTGTATGTATTTTATATGTATGTTGTATTTTATATGTATCTTGTATCCATTCCGCTAAACGCTGCCTAGATCTATATACATTTACGTTTTTTTTTACAAATATAAACTTTTTGTCTTTAGAGTGGACTTATTTAACCAGAATGAAATTTGATTTGGTATAAAAGTGGGAAAAAAAACAAACAAACGATCTCCATGTGTTGATGCATTATAATGAAATAATTTCATAATAAATATCGACAACAAAACAATAATTATACTATGTAGTTCAGAGTTTCTTTTGAATAACTATAAACTTTGAAATATCAGCAATGCTATTGTGAGCATTGAATGACTAATCTGTAAACATATTAATTGCGACGCACTTTTGGACTCCAACTTTTTCAGGGTTGGGAGTCCATGGACTCCATGTTTTAAAGTCCTAGTGAGAACCCTGTGTATGTATTTTATATGTATCTTGTATTTTATATATGTATCTTGTATGTATTTTATATGTATCTTGTATTTTATATATGTATCTTGTATGTATTTTATATGTATCTTGTATTTTATATATGTATCTTGTATGTATTTTATATGTATCTTGTATTTTATATATGTATCTTGTATGTATTTTATATGTATCTTGTATTTTATATATGTATCTTGTATGTATTTTATATGTATCTTGTATTTTATATATGTATCTTGTATGTATTTTATATGTATCTTGTATTTTATATATGTATCTTGTATGTATTTTATATGTATCTTGTATTTTATATATGTATCTTGTATGTATTTTGTATGATTCAGCCACAGAGACCAAACCAGCTTCATGGTGCTAGAAAGAAAGAATCTGGTACAGATATAAAGGAAGAGACAAGTGTAGTGAAAGGTGTGGAAGGTTTGGCAGTGAAAGATGAAAAGATGTCTAAACATCAGTCCAAAAAAATGAAGAAACGACAGAAAAGAGATGCTAGGGTAATAATTATAGCTGATTATTTTGTACATAAATTCTTGTTAGATACTACATGTTTGTAAGTAATCCAAAATGAATTAGTTTCGTTATTCATAAAAAGATGAAATTGATTAAATGAGTAATTATTTTGATTTGTGTTGGAAGGTGTAAGCTTATTGAAACATTCCCGAATCTATTCCTGGAACCGACCAGTACTAAATAATGATTGTAAAGTTTCTAGCTCAAGAAAACAAAGGTTTTTCCCTGATTAGGTTTGAACCCATATGGCCAGAAATCCTTAGATTACTAGTTAGACACATTAACCACTAGGCCATGCCGCTACTTGCAATTTAACTAACAGTTGCAAGTGCATTGACATGCATGTAATTGTTAAAATATTATACATTGTTTATGTTTATGTTTCACGGCATGTTACTGATCATAATGTCCCTAGCATTATGATTGTAAACATATGATTATTAACCTAAAGTGAGTTTGTAAAAGGTTTGAAAATGAGTAAGTTCAATCTAAGGATACATTGAAAGTAATATGCAACCTCATTTTGCAGGGAGAAATTGAGATCAATATTTTGTAGGAAAATCACATGAAAAGGGCTTAATTTTCAAATGTATATTCTAGTAATTGAAGTAAAGTAACATTTTATCAAAGAATGTCTGTTTTAAATATGATTATCAGAATATTGAATGGGTTTCAAAATCAAATGAATATACATTGTAAGACTATTATATAAAAGTAAATCATTTATCATATTGTTTTACCATTCATGAACTTGCTATATAGTGAGAATTTATTATAATAATACAGCGTTCAGGGAAGAATAAAGGTAGTGTTGATGATGGAGAGAAGGATGAAGATGATAATGATGATAAAGAAGAAGAAACAGAAGAAAAAGGTGATGGAGAGACTGAGAAAAGTACAGAACAAGAAGAAAAATATGATGCTTCAGGTAATATAAGTTTTAATTGTATTTTATTTTATTAGTTTAACATAGAGATTATGGAAGAAAAAATATGATTATACGGCTAACCTCATTGACTTAAAATGCTCTTTATTGTTTGTAAGGAATATTTAAGAAGTTTTTGTGCTGAAATTTATGCATTTTATAAGTTTATTATGATGTTAATAACAACAGGGATATTTTTTCCATACTTTAAGCTAAAAGTCTGGCATCTAATCATTATGATTGACAATTTTCTGTACAGAGTTAAATAACTGTACATATAGAGTTAAATAATGCAAATGAGCGTAATATATGCAGTTAATTTGTTTTTTTAGATTCTTCATTAAATTGTTGTGTGTGTTAGCCTAAGATATGTGTGATAAAGTGCTTGTAAATCAAGGTTCACATTGATTTTGATAGAAAATTTTCTGTTTATCATTTTTCTTTAAGCATTTCTTGCGAACACACAACAGAGGTGTTATTGCTTTGGTTTTATAGACTGATAATTAGGTCATAAAAGTTCACACTGATTTTGATAGTAAATTTTCTGTTTATAATTATAGATGCTGATGTTGAAGATAATTTAGAAAGTGACACATCAAGATGTTACAATAAAACATTGAGTGACAGTATTGTAGGAAGTCTGGATGAAACTATTGTAGAAACTCCAGAAGATAGGCCAACCATTAGTCAGGAAATGGATATCTCTGCTTATAGACTGGATACCACTCCATGTAACACTAGTATTGAAGTAGACATGAAAATTGAGAACCAGTCTCTGTCACCTGACCAATCTATTGAAAATAGTTCTTTTATACAAGCATCAGGATTGGATAATTCAAAATTGACTGAACCAATGGGTGATGTTGTTACAAATGGTTGTGATAAAGAAGATGTAAATGTTAGTTATACTTTAACAAATGGGTGTCTAGAAGAAAATAATGTTAGGTCGAAGTCGAATGAAGATACTGTAGATGCTAGTTTCACATTTACATGCAGCACAGTTACAAATGGTTTATGCAATGGTGATATTAACACTGAAAGTGAAAACCCCGATATAAAACTAGTCAATTGTAAAGAAAACATTAAAAAATCTGAAAATAACTCAAAAACTACACAACAAACAAATGGTGATATAGCAACGGAAGTTAATATAGGTAGTAAAGAATTAGACAATGATGATGTGAAAAGTAAATCAGATAAATCTGTGACTGATTTAACATCAAGTGTAAGTACATTGAGTATAGGAGATATATCCAGTAGTTTACCCAGTGATTTAAGTCAAATGACTCTCAAAGATGCTACAGAAGATGATAGAGAAGATAATAAACACAAAGTAGAAAGTGTTGATAATAAAGGTCTATATATAAACACAGACAACTCTACGAATAGTGCTGAGCAGACCATAGTTAATGGTGAAATAAATAACAGTATGCAGTATAAATATGTAGTGAGTTTATCACCCACATCAAAACACCATAAACTGAAGGAAATCCAGAAAGAAGGGCAAAGAAAATCTGTTAATACACTTGCAGAAAGGTAGGCTTTATTTTTTTTCCGAGTCAGTTTTCTTGCTTAGTCAGCTCTATAGGTTAGTCTACATAGTCTGATTTACTTCTGTAGCGAGGTTGTTACCTTAAATAAATGAAAGAAATTTTTATATAGATTTTATGTCCCATTTTGTAAATTGGGTTTGTGTTCGGTTGATATGGTTACTGCCCAAATTATAATGTAACTATACCCCAAGCACAATTTTACTTGAAAGTAATCTTCTGAGATTTGATGTGACATTTTGATATATTACAGCAACATTTTCTTATGACTATGAGTTATTGTAATCACTTTGACAAACCTTAAGGCTTAAGCCTTTAACAGTAAAAAGAAGGAAATCAAATGCAATGAAACAGTTACAAATTTCTGATACCACTGGCTAATTTCAAATGTTATTGATATTATATTTAAAATTTGACTTTTACATTTTGTTTAAATTCAGATGTGCTTATTTGAGTTAAGTAATTCTGTAATGAAGTTTAGGATAAATTGTTATACTAATATATTGTTACTGTAGGTATCATCCAACGTCTGGGGAATGTTCCCTTGAGTCGTGCCTGAATCAATTTACTGCAGCAGAACTCCTGACTGGAAACAACAAGTTTGGATGTAAAAATTGTACCAAACTTAAATATAAAAATAACCCAAACAAAGGTAAATTCTTTATTTCACATAAATTTAACACTAAATGATATTATCAAGAGTGAATTAAAAGTCTTCATCACATGCACGCAACATTTCTATTACAAACAACACAATTGGACTGGCATTTCACTCATTTTAAAGTAATAATTTGTTACAATAGTTGTCTTAAATTTAACATTTTATGATAATTCAGATCTCTATTGAAATCTTGTACATGATTTTTTTACGATCTTAAGTAATAACATTAGCAAAGTGAATAGATTTACTAAGAATATTAGACATCATAAAAGTTTAATCAGGTAGAATACAAATGGTTCAGGTTTTCCTGATGTTCAGGTTTGTTCTAAATGTAATCTTTATAAATTCTTGATTCAAAATTTTAGTACCGGTATTTAACTATTTGTTTACAGAGAAAAAAGAGACAGTGTATTCAAATGCCAACAAGCAATATTTGATCTTCCAACCTCCAGCAGTACTGACCTTACACCTTAAACGATTTGAACAGGTACATTAAACTAAAATAAATATGAATGTACATGTATTGTGAGAAGTTTTTTTATCGTAAAATTTTTGTTTCTTTTAACATACATATTGAATGTATTGTGGATGATAATTTTTTTCAAGAAGATATTTTACTATATAGTTTTATATTGTGAGTATGGTATTCTGTAGATAACATTTTAAATGATTTCTATTAAGTTGAAATACAGACTTGATAGGTCATCATATATGACTGAAAGTAAATCTGTTGTTTTAAAAAAAAATCATTATTATAGAGTTTTTACTATTTATTTTTTTTATTGAATAATGCACAGTTATGTAGGTAAAATATGCATTTTAATAAAATCACAAAGGCAAATATGCATGAGTGATTTAAAAGATAGAACATGCATTATTTGCTTGATTTAAAAGATAGAACATGCATTATTTGCTTTACATTGAAAGAAACGTTGAGACCTGCTTTCAAATTAACATGCTAAAAGAAAAAGAAAATTGATGAAAGTTTTGTTGAAGTTCATTAAACTCACAAACATGTAAGCATTTCTTCTCATATACCATGCATATAGTATAATTTTGTAATAACAACTGCCCATTGTTTAGTAGGAGAAGGTGAAATGTGTTAGAATTGAAGTTATAGTCTCCTGAAATTCATCATACTTTTATTGATTACAGGTTGGATTTAGCTCAAGGAAAGTCAATCGTCATGTAGATTTCCCATTTATACTCGACATAGCACCATATTGTAGCTCCCTTACACAGGTATCTACACATTTCCTCATATACAATTTGTTATAAAATATTGTGAGCCGAATTTGAAATTCTGATATAAAAATATATTGCCAGCTTACAGAAGATAAATGGTTCTACTCAGATGCCCCCCTCATGCCTGAAGTAGTGTACAAAGGGCACCTGGAGCCTTTCTTCACCAGAAAAGCTGAAAATACACTATTTAATCTTATTGTCCCCCGCCTTTTCGAAGAAAAAAGGGGGATATAGAAATAGGCTCCGTCCGTCTGTCCGTCTGTCCGTCCGTCCGTCTGTCCGTCCGTCACACTTTCGTGTCCGGTCCATAACTTTGTCATTTATGAAAGGAATTTGAAATAACTTGGCACAAATGTTTATTATAATAAGACGATGTGTCATGCTCAACAACCAGACCCCTACCTCCAGGGTCAAGGTCACACTTGCTCATTCAAGGTCAAAATTACCTATTTGAGGGTATATGTCGTGTCCGGTCCATAACTTTCTTATCTATGAAGGGATTCTGTAAATACTTGCCATAATTGTTCACAATAATCAGACGATGTGTCATGCGCAAAAACCAGTCACCTACCTTCAAGGTCAAGGTCACACTCGGAGGTCAAATATTAACATAGTCTGTTACAGGGTATATTTCGTGTCCGGTCCATAACTTTCTTATCTATGAAGGGATTTTGAAAATACTTGCCATAATTGTTCAACAATTATCAGACGATGTGTCATGCGGAAAAAGCAGTCACCTACCTTCAAGGTCAAGGTCACACTTGGAGGTCAAATATTAACATAGTCTGTTACAGGGTATATTTCGTGTCCCGGTCCATAACTTTCTTATCTATGAAGGGTTTTTGTAAATACTTGCCATAATTGTTCATAATAATCAGACGATGTGTCATGCGATAAAACCAGTTGCCTACCTTCAACGTCAAGGTCACACTTGGAGGTCAAATATTAACATAGTCTGTTACAGGGTATATTTCGTGTCCGGTCCATAACTTTGTCATTTATCAAAGGAATTTGAGATAACTTGGCACAAATGTTTGTTATAATAAGACGATGTGTCATGCGCAACAACCAGACCCGTACCTTCAGGGTCAAGGTCGTACTTGTTCATTCAAGGTCAACATTGTCTATTTGAAGGTATATGTGGTGTCCAGTCCATAACTGTCTTATCTATGAAGGACTTTTGTAAATACTTGCCATAATTGTGAACAATAATCAGATGATGTGTCATGCGCAAAAACCGGTCACCTACCTCCAAGGTCAAGGTCACACTTGGAGGTCAAATACTTACATAGTCTGTTACAGGGTATATTTTGTGTCAGGTCTATAATTTTTTCATAGATCAAAGGATTGTGAAAATACTTCGCACAAATAGTCACTATAATAAGAGGATGTGTCATGCGCAACACCTGCATCCCTACCTCCAAGGTCAAGGTCACACTTAGAGGTCAAAAATTAACATAGTCTGTTATAGGGTATATTTTGTGTTGAATCTAGAACTTCTTCATAGTTCAAGGGATTTTGAAATAACTTGGCACAAATAGTCACAATAATAAGATGTTATGTCATGCACAACACCTGCTCCCCTACCTCCAAGGTCAAGTTCACACTTAGAGGTCAAAGCTTAACATGATAGATTTTTAAATTCCGTGTTTCATTTTATTTTTTTTTAACAAATTTATTGTTACATTTGCAGATCTAGCATTGATCATGATTTTGGACTGAATGTCCTGAGATCCATACCTCAATCTTTTGAAATAGCACAATTTTATGCTTCATATAAAACTCCCGGGGCGGGGGACGTTGGTAACTCTGTTACAAATTCTTGTTAGTGTTGATGTGACTTAAAATCCAATAACAAATTAGAAAGTTTGTATAAATGGCATTTAAACTTCCTTCTTATATTTAAAGTGCAAATAAAAGTTTTATTTGTAAATGGCACTGAAACCTCTTAAGATACACATTTTGAAAACTTGTGTCAAAATAATTTTAACAACTGTTTGACCGATACTCAAAGTTTAGATTGAGAATAAGTGGGAGTTTAGTAGTTCATATCTTCTGGATCTGATTATGATTTACAAAAAAATAGGAGCTTTGTAAACTATTTTTTATGTATTTAAAAAAAAAAATTATTGATGTTTTGGAAGTTGGATGTTATTGACAGAAGTATTTTTGTTTTATTTTGTTTATATACTATACTATGCTGGTTATATTTTAGGGGATAAAAAGGGGTCAGAAGAAGATCTTGTACTCCTTATATGGAGTAGTAGAACACAGTGGCCGGCTTACATCTGGTCATTATACGGCCTATGTCAAAGTACGACCTAACATAGGAACACTCAACAATTTCCTAAACAAACATAATGTGACTTTAAAAGAATATTTGCATACTTACGCCCAGCATGTAGTGAATGGTGACCGGCTGGAGGAAGATTGCAGTGATGGTATAAATTTAGAAGGGCTGGTTCCCCCAGGACGCTGGTACCACATTAGTGACTCGCGTGTCAACGAAGTTACAGAAGCATCTGTAGAAAGAGCTCAGGCCTATATTCTTTTCTATGAAAGGATTTACTAAGTAAAACTACTTTTTAAAATTAAAAAAAAAAGAAAACATTTATATAAATATATATTATAACAGGTTGTTTTATATGCTAATGACCACAATAACTTTTTTTAATACAATATTTAAATAATGGAAAACTTGACAATTTCTTAAATGATATTTGTTATTGTTGTTATATACTTGGATATAAAAGCTGGTATGTCTGATAGGATGAGTTTTTTTTTATTATTAAGGACATTTAAATTAGATCCTGAATATATTGTGAAAATATTTACAATTTTTTCAAAGTATGAACCAATGCTAACTTGGACATCATAGTAAATGAAATTTCTAATATTCACTGTTTTAGTAATGAATACACTATTTTTCATGTCTTCCAAAATTTTATGTGCCTCCATTTTACAATAATTTATTTTCTTTAAATTTTCATAAATTGAAGACATGTATTTAAGTAAAGATCAATTTTTTTATGCAATAAAACTTTAGTATATTGAATTGACAGACTGGTTAAAATACATTTGATTTTATTTCAGTTGACTTTAAAAAATTGTTTTGTTGAACTTGTATGTTGTTTAATATTGAGCAAATTTTTCATATTTCTAAGACTTAATTTTTACTGCAGGTTTACAAAAATAAAAAGTTGAGCTTTTTTAGAGATGAATAAAAGGGTAAATAGTAGGGACCATAAGTTGGGCAAGTTAAATTAGGATCAGAAATGAAACAAATATTAAATCAAGGTAATTAAACAAGTTGACAACAACAAATGACTGTAAGGTTAGTTTGTAGGCAACAAAAACATTTTAAACATATTGTTTATATTTGAATGAAAATAAAAGTGCAATAAATCAAATGGGATATCTGTATTTAACAGATTATGTCACATGTTAAAAGCTAATTAATTTTAGGGTCTGAGGCTACAAGCAAATCTCCTAATCTCAAAACCGCCTCCGTGGTCGAGGGGTTAGAGTCGATGACTTCTAATCCAGTTACCTCTCTGGCGTGGGTTCGATCCTTGGGAGATGCTTTGGTAGTTTAGCATGGAGGAAGGTAGTCTAGAACTGGTGTAACTCTCCAGGAACGATGGTTAGGAAACAACCTGAAATACTGTTTGGAAAAGGCGTAAAATGAAAGAAACATAATCTCAAACTAAGATCTCGGGGAATTTGATTGGCAGAAACTTGCATAGGAATTTCACTTGTCAATGAAATCCTGATATTAGAGGTGGAGCTCAGAATTAAAAATTATAACCTTGAGGCCAAAGAGAGTGTACATTGTATGGTCTCGTAAACCTCTCAGGTGGAACAACAACAACATTACCTCCTGATATACAAGTGCATGTTGCTATGGAAACAGAAATAAGTGATGGATTTATCTTTATTTTAGTGTCATGTCATGTTCACAATCACTTTTTTATTAAAAAAAAAATCAGGACAATTTTTATTCTCACATTTTGTCAGATTTTTTTTGGTTTTAACACATTTCATTTGTCATAATACAAACAAGTTTTACATGGATGGTTGTTGTGTTTTGGACAATCTAGGTAGATTGTTTTATTAGTTAATGAATCACTGCTTCTGTATATATTTGCTCATGTTTATATTTGTAATTTTATAGAGCAAAAGTGTTGAAAACTTGTATTTGTGAATACTATTTATCAAAAAGGGCAAATAGTTTTATATAGTTAATAATTGTCAAATTATCCAAATTATGCAAATTAATGAAATGATATATGGAGAAAAAACAATCAGTAAATTTATATCATTGTTATATTATAATGGTTGTTATAAACATGGTATGCATGTTAATGCCATTGTGTGCAATAGTTTCTTATATGATGTCTGCTTGATTGTAAAATATGACAGTTATGCTTGATTGATTAAATCTAAGTTGTGCTTGATTTATTTAATATTAAATCTAAGTTATGCTTGATTTATTAAATTTGTAAACTATGTTTTGCTTGATTTCCTGTTAAATCTTGAAATGAAGATGTACTTGTTATTAAGCATTTGACTTGAAATGTGTTTGCTTTATTGTTGAGCATAGCAGTTAGTTGTTCTTGATTAATTGTTGAAATTAAGTTATACTATTTATTATTCAATGATAAAATGTTGCTTGTGCTTTCATAAAAAAGATAGTGAAATTAATGTGTGCTTAATTTGCTCTTCAATTCTGGAGAAAATTAAAGTATCTATCTATTTGCCTTGTATATTTATGTAATAATTACAACTTGGAATTCATTAGTATGAATGTTATGAACTTGTGCAGACATCTAGAATTCATCACAGTTTATGATGTAAAAAAGTTTAGGAATGGGAGGTCCCTTGAGAACAATGGAAAAAAGTAGTATTCAATATTAAATGTATTTCAATCAGTGATTCTGCAGGAGCATGAAATATAGCAGTATTTAGATGCTTTAAATTCATCAAAGAAATTTTGTGCAAATTATCATGTAATGAATAGTAAAACATAATTTCAACAAGACTTTGTATAACTTTATAACTCACCGGAGTACACAGTACTCCTGATAGAGTTGTTAGGATCAATAACTGTTTGTTGTCAGTGAAATGTATGTTGCCATAGTAAATAAAAGGAAAACCTTGTTTTGATCTAGTTCTAATGAAGTTTGCTCATAGTTCTTGCTTACATCAGTTGTAGGTCAAATTCAAATATAGGTCATCTGGGTTATTAAATGTTTTATAATAAAAACATCTGGTTTCTTTTGAAGTTCACAATGAAGTCACAATGTTTGTGTTGGTAGTGTCTTTCTCAAGAATCGGAATGAATTAATTGGGGTCAAAAACTAGTTCATTGACTTTTCACAAGACAGTGAAAACAGTTTATTTTTCCTTTATTTTATGGCGTTAACTCTGATAGAGGAAAAATCTGTCATTGTAATGTTTCCGAGTTCATTGAACATTCCTGTAGAGGTTGGTTATGAGACAAGACGCCCCTGTATTAGGACAACATGTTGGTTTAACAGCATGGCATGGTTACAGAATGACACACAAACGGACACTTGAAAGCCTTTTAAAAGAAAACATTATTTACATTTCATCATGAAAATATTTTAACTCTACCAAAAAGTAATTGTAGGCTTCACTAAGTTCACCACAATGAGTGAAAAAAAAGAGGCCGTATTAACTGATTTGTTTACTCTTGTTTTTGTTGTTATTGTTGTTACCGCTTTGCTTTCAGGTTTATTAGTATAACAGTATGTATGCATGTATAGTTGATATATACAAAATGTTTCTAAATATTACAGCCTCAGTGTTTTAATTTGTGAATTAAATGCAATAATTTTGTATATGAAATGAAGGACCATATTATATTTTTGGCTACACTTGAAACTGGGCAGGGTAAAATTTGTTTCAATTTCATTCTGAATAATTTAGGATAATGAAGACCTATACATGTAATAGTAAAATGTTCAAGCAGTAGACAACATTATGATGGTGTCATGATGTTGATATGGTTAAATATACTGAACTCACATCACCGCCACCTCCCTTGTCTGGATTTTAATACTCCAAGGGTGATTGAATTCTTGTTAGTAAGGACGCTATCCAACTAGCTTATTAAAAAATGGTTGGTTTTAGGTAACCTCGGAAATAAAAGACGGCTACAAGAGTTCTTTCTATGATTAGAAGCATAGTAGAAAATTTACAAAAAGGTCACAACCTTAAAAATAACATGAGACAGTGTAAAAATGGTAATAATTAAGTTTTATAAAGAAAAAAAAAATCTGTTTTTACGTTCTTAACTTGATCTTTTGAAAATTATGTACTCGAGACTAAGGTACACAACAATAGTTTCACTATAATCCATAAGTTTATTGCCAATGGTATGTTTTACATTAGTTCTTCATTTGTCACAGTTTTGCTCTAAAAAATTTTAAAACAATATATAAAAGATTGGAGACAGGTGTTAGTCAAAACATTTTTCTATTGGTCCATTTCAAATTTGTAGTATAAGTCTACCAATGAGATCCGATCAGTTTCTTAGTCTGGTTTTCTATTGGTCAATTTTGAATTTCGCTGTTTGAATGAACCAATCGGAGTTGGTCCAGAAGTTGTAGAACCTTGAGCAACATAAAATGTTACTTCTGTGAAGTAAAGCATTCCACATGATAGTATAGACCAATTATAGAACTCTGTATCTGAAGCATTATAGATTATTATATTTTTATAGCAAATATTTCTGTGCCCAAATGCCCTTTAGTATCAATATATGCTAAAATCAGACTCTGGAATTATATTATATATTGATGGTATTTAGCATCACAATGAAAGCAAATTTGTTTATAATTGTTGAATTGCCATTTATATAGAATACAAAAAAGCTTTATTTCAAGATAATTACAAGCTGGAAAGTGGCATCAAATAAAATTACAGGCATTAATTAATATAATATGTATTGTATGAAAACAAAAGCAAAACTTTATTATATTTTGAAAAACAAATGGCATAGTTTAATATAGTAATAGCTGCACTGGATGGCAGAATAAATTTTCTACTTATAAAATTAAGAATGTAGATCATTTTGTTTCTTTACTTTTATTTAGTCTTAAAATGACATTATGCTCATTCAAAGGTATATAGTGAGTGAACAGGTGAAAGTCAAAATAAGTTTACATTTTGCCATTATTCCTTTTATAATTTACTTCTCATGAATGATAAATAACTCAGATGGCCCAAGGAAATGTCTGTTAATATCCAGCAGAATATACCTGTAATGTTCAGTTTATAAAAAAGAGTGGGGCAGTCTTTTTATGTCTTAGGCAGATTTATTTTTTATCCTAAAGATTTTTCCAGTAAACTGTTGATCAGTCACCATTATAATAGTCAAATCTTTTGAAATATGTAGTCAATTCAGCTCAACTTTACATTGAAATAATGAACATAATGTCACTTTAAAATTAGATGTTTGATAATATGCTACAGATGTGTCAATAACATTTATGGAATAGATGAAAAAGCTATAAGATTGTTATTGAATAAAAGTACGATAGTTTTTTTAGCTCACCTGTCACAAAGTGACAGGGTGAGCTTTTGTGATTGCTTTTCGTCCGGCGTCCGTCCGTCGTCCGTCCGTCGTCCGTCCGTAAACTTTTGCTTTAAATGACATCTCCTCATAAACCACTGAGCCAATTTCATCCAAACTTCACAGGAATGTTCCTTTGGTGGTCACCTTTAAAAATTGTTCAAAGAATTTAATTCCATGCAGAACTCTGGTTGCCATGGCAACCGAAAGAAAAATCTTTAAATATCTTCTTTTAAACAACCCTAAGAGCTAGAGCTTAGATATTTGGCATGAAACATCTTCTAATGAGTGTCTACCAAGTTTGTTCAAATAAAAGCCCTGGGTCAAAATTGGCCCCGCCCCCGGGGGGTCATTGATTTTCCCTATATGCATATAGTAAAAACTTAAAAGATCTTCTTTTAAAGAACTGTAAGAGCTAGAGCTAAGATTTTTTGGCATGGAACATCTTCTAGTGAGTGTCTACCAAGTTTGTTCAAAAAAAAAGCCCTGGGGTCAAAATTGGCCCCGCCCCGCGGGGTCATTGATTTTCCCTATATGCATATAGTAAACACTTAAAAAATCTTCCTTTAAAGAACTGTAAGAGCTAGAGCTTAGATATTTGGCATGAAACATCTTCTAGTGAATGTCTACCAAGTTTGTTCAAATAAAAGCCCTGGGGTCAAAATTGGCCCCGCCCCAGGGGGTCATTGATTTTCCCTATATGCATAAAGTAAAAACTTAAAAAATCTTCTTTTAAAGAACCCAAAGAGCTAGAGCTTAGATATTTGGCATGAAACATCTTCTAGTGAATGTCTACCAAGTTTGTTCAAATAAAAGCCCTGGGGTCAAAATTGGCCCCGCCCTGGGGGTAATTGATTTTCCCTATATGCATATAGTTTAAACTTAAAAAATCTTCTTTTAAAGAACTGTAAGAGCTAGAGCTTAGATATTTGGCATAAAACATCTTCTAGTAAATGTCTACCAAGTTTGTTCAAATAAAAGCCCTGGGGTCAAAATTGGCCCCGCCCCAGGGGGTCATTGATTTTCCCTATATGCATATAGTAAAAACTTAAAAAATCTTCTTTTAAAGAACTGTAAGAGCTAAAGCTTATATATTTGGCATGAAACATCTTCTAGTGAATGTCTACCAAGTTTGTTCAAATAAAACCCCTGGGGTCCAAATTGGCCCCTCCCCAGGGGTCATTGATTTTCCTTATATGCATATAGTAAAAACTTATAAAATCTTCTTTTAAAGAACCCAAAGAGCTAGAGCTAAGATATTTAGCATGAGGCATGTTCTAATGGGTGTCTACCAAGTATGTTCAAATAAAAGCCCTGGGGTAAAAACTGGCCCCGCCCCGGGGGTCATTGATTTTCCTTATATACATAGCAAAAACTTAAAAATCTTCTTTGAAAAAACCCAAATAACTAGAGTTTAGATATTAAGCATGAAACATCTTTAAGTAAATATCTACAAAGTTTGTTCAAATAAAAGCCCAGGGGTCAAAACTGGCCCTGCCCGAGGGGTGTCATTGTTTTTTACTCTATGTGTATAGTAAAAACTTAAAAAATCTTCTTTTAAAAAACCCAATGAGCTAGAACTTAGATGTTTTGCATGAAACATCTTCTTATGGGTGTCTACCAAGTCTGTTCAAATAAACAAATAAAAGCCCTTGGGTAAAAATTGGGCCGGGGGGGGGGGGGCTATATACAGGTGAGCGACCTCAGGGCCATCATGGCCCTCTTGTTTAATAAAAGTACAATAGTTTTTGTTGAATATATTTTCCCTGTCTTTCTTTTTTTTAATGAAAACTTGTTATTAGCAGCATGGCATGTATTTGACTGTAGAAGACGCTTTAGAATTTATACTGCAATTTATTTCATTCCGAATGTTTTTATGATTGTCATACAATTTATGGAGAGTAAATTTATTGAATTTATTATCTTTTGTTGTTTATACTTACAGACCTAGAAATATTTAATAAACTTTACAACATAATTATATGGTATGACATAGAGTTGTTATATAGGAATTGACCTCTGTAACAACGTTGGTAGAACGTCATAATACCCATAATGAGCATTACAATATGCAAAAACTAAAGGTGGTGAATTAACATACAGGAAAGTATCCAATATATAAGGGCATAAATCACTCGGCAGTGAGCACAGGGTTTGTGTGCCGTACACCTTTATAAATACTTCCAGTGAGAACTGTTAACTTGAGCATTCTGTTTATTTGCTTGTGAGCTGGTGGTCGCAATTCAAATCCCATGCAGTGAGGAACTTTCTTGATGTATGTGCATGTTTCTGTTACAAATAGTGGTGTATATGCAAGTGGTGTTAACTGTGAGATTGAAGTTATAATGCTTCACCTTGGTTCCAGGGTCAGAACTGGTTTGCTTATACTGATTAATCATCTGTTTAATCTTTTGAGGATATTCAAATAACTATCAAAATATAAGGATCTTGAACTAGCTGCAAGTACAGACCGGAATATCTAGCTTGAGGGAAACTATGCACACTGGCTGTCGGTACAGACCAGAATATCTTGCTTGAGGGAAACTACACTAACTATCTACAGTGGCTGCCAGTACAAACCGGAATATCTAGCCGAGGGTAACTGTCTACACTGGCTGCCAGTACAGACCGGAATATCTAGCTTGAGGGAAACTTTGTACACTGGCTGTCGGTACAGACCAGAATATCTAGCTTGAGGGAAACTATGTACACTGGCTGTCGGTACAGACCAGAATATCTAGCCGAGGGTAACTGTTTACACTACCTTCACTGGCTGCCGGTACAAACCAGAATATCTAGCCGAGGGTAACTGTTTACACTAACTATCTACACTGGCTGCCAGTACAAACCAGAATATCTAGCCGAGGGTAACTGTTTACACTACACTGGCTGCCAGTACAAACCAGAATATCTAGCCGAGGGTAACTGTCTACACTGGCTGCCAGTACAAACCGGAATATCTAGCCGAGGGTAACTGTTTACACTGGCTGCCAGTACAAACCCGAATATCTAGCCGAGGGTAACTATCTACACTGGCTGCCAGTACAAACCAGAATATCTAGCAGAGGGTAACTGTTTACAGCGGTAATGAGATACATTACTAGTGTTTTTGTATTTACCAAGTTGTAATGTAAGTTTGTATTGTACTCCGGCTTAGACGAGTGAAAAACCCATGTTTGCCAATTTTACGAGTATCTCTATGAACTATAGGGCTATATGTAATCAGACAACGTATTTGGTCACCGGACTGGACACAGCAGCATTGTTGCTGTTCTTGTAATTTTTATATAAACAAAAGAAGAATAAAATAAATATTTTATTAGAAAACTCTTTTAAAAAGTACTCCATAAAACGGAGTGGAACATACTGCAGTAACAAAGATAAAATAAACAAAAAGCACTAAAACCCTTTAAACTTACAATTATTGAAACAAGTCTGAGCAAGACACTTGAAAATAAAACATAATAAAATTGAAGCACATCATTAATTTTATATCTTATATACTAACAAAAATAATTGATGCAGTTATATCTATACAATTTTTTCTTTGATTTTTGTCAATTCTCATTCATATTACATTGTAATTTTCTTTTGTAACAGATTTTAAATTTTGATCTTCTTAAAATGAATTTAAGTCAACTTATTTGTTACATGATGATCATTTGACAATTATGACTATTATACCTGTATATACACAATCAACTGCGGCAATATTATGATTTATTTCCAATTTTAATCTGAAAAAATAATTTTTTGAAGTATCAAAATATTTGATATAAAAATTACAGGTTATATGGTAATTTATAAATGGTTGTTAGTTATATGACCCTAATAGCCTGTGTCATATGAGCTACATGTAGGGCAGATTGCATATCATACCCCCCCCCACCCCTTATTTACGACCAGTCAATAAGATCTTGAAAAACTCCTAGAGATACAGGGTAGATAAAATCAATACAGTAGAACAGAAATTGGTTTAACATTAAGGGATAAACGTTAGATGAGTTAAACTTGGTTATATAACCTGTCAAAATAAAATATATAAGCCATTTTTCTTTTTTCAGCTAATGATAACAAAGTACAATATTTAGTTGTAAAAGTGCTTGCATATTTAACTTACTGAATATAACTTAATTGTGGTAAAATAACTAGGTTTGTGGAAAGATACCTGTAGTTTAGCAGGTATTAAACAACTGTAAAATATCTAAAAATACATTATTCGAACCCTGAGCCATGAAGTTATTTTTACAAAACATCCCAACATGGGAGACAATATCCAAGATTTTCTACACTATTACTTGCTTATCATTTATGAAATAACTTATTTCAGAAATGAAATATTTTAGAAAAACTTAACTTGAGAAATAATATTTGAGAGTTTTGATGAAATATGATCTATATAATACAGGAAATGGGTCCTGTAATGCACCTTTGGGGATACCTTTCACTGCAGGTCAAAACAATTTAAGCACTTTAACTCATAAATTAAAAAACAAATGAATAGTTAACACTTTATTATATTTCTAAAAAGGTTATTATTTATATAGGTGCATATTCTCAATATTATTTTAAAGAGAAAAAATGTGTTTATTTAAGCATTTAAAGACAAAATTAATACAAGCAAATTATCTTACATGATAAAAGGTGTTTTTATTAGCAGTTTGATACGGTGTGGAAAGGCATTTACATGAAGTAATGGAATTTTAATATTGAATGAAAAACAACTTTTGCCATTTCAAACATAAAGTCTTAGGCAAGGTCAAATATCATTTGTAACACTCCTTGACATGGCTAAATTATATACAGTCGACTCTCGTTATCTCGAAGTCATCGGGACCGTCCAAAAAATATCGAGATAACGAAATGTCGAGATAAACATATTAGGGTTTGAATAAGGCAGAAACCGATTTTTACAAAAGACATGTGCAAACCTTATGTCAAATAAACTATGATATCCCCAAGTCTTATTTTCATAGGCCTAGCCAATATTTAACACAGTAACATTAGCGGATGTTTACCAGCGGAAATACGGGTGTCTGTGATAAAAACACATAGTGAGGTTTACTCAGTAATACACCAATATAGTGAAAACATTGTTTTCAGGGTGGTTGATCCGGATATCCTCCCGGGTTATTTATCGGGGATTTCTCGAGATTGTTCGACCGCTGATTGATTTGGTCGTGATATTGCAAAACAATATTGCAACGATAGCGTTTCTATACTTTCACTTTTTCATTTACATTTAAAGTCATAATGAATTAATACAGTGTTCGAATATTTATAAAGAACGTAAAATTCACTCATTTTGGACATAAGTCAATCAACACGCTAAATAGATTAACTTATATAAAAACAGCTAAACTTGTTACAAACATTATCATCATTATGACACACGCCATTGAGCAATTATCGTCTAGTTTGTGTTTTTCACACGTCTGAAGGGAACAGACGACAGAAAACTATAAGTCGAGATAAACAAAGGATGACAGTGTGAAAATATCTATTGGGGCTGAAATTTTACATCGAGATACTGAAAATATCGAAATAAAAATATCGAGATAAACACATATTTCCAATAAAGATAAAGAAGGAAGAAAATCTGGACTTTCAAAATTTCATCGAGATAACGAAATATCGTGAAAAGCGATGTCGAGATAACGATAGTCGACTGTAGTATAAACTGTAGAATTTGTAACTTTTCATTGGAAAATACGAAAAAATATACACACAACACAATAAAATTTTGGCTGTTTATGGTCTTGCATTCAAACTATGATTATTGAAAAAAATCTCAAAAGTCAATCATGACTACAATCATATGATTGCTTGATTACATGCACAACTGCTTCAAAGAATAACATTTTCTTTCTCTTGCATAGAGTATTTTGATTGCATGTGAATTTGCTAATTATACATTGTCAATGACATTAGATTGTTGAAAAACATAGACAATTGACATTTTAAACACCAGACGTGACAATGTTATCTCTCAACAGCTGCTGGGAGTAACACAGCACTCAATATAAGCTTGTTACAGTGGTGATTGAAATTCCTCCGTTACAACATCTCTCATAAACTTCTACGTACAGCATGTATCGCTTCCGCTAACTGTACAACGTTCTTCGCTTGCAATAACAACGGCATGTCAATCATGTGACCACGATATGTAAACGCCCCCTGTAATATAAAGTTACTTTATGCTACAATTCCTTTATAATATACATGTATTAGTCTGTATATAACTTTATATATACTCTCAACTTCCACCTCATTCACCAAAAGTAAAATCAATTCTTATGTATGTAGTTGAGATTATTTTTACAATTGTTTGATCTTTAAAGGTTCTTTTTTGCCTCTCATTCAATATACAGCATCCACTACAACATTCTATTGAAAGGAAAGCACATACAATAAAGAGAAAACAAATTATTTCATAATTTTTCTAACAAATGAAGTGCCATAACTCTAACAAAATTTATTTTTTTATTACAGTAGCCTAAATAAATGTCAATAAATCTCGACATCAGGTTCGGGATTTTCTTATGAGAAATAATAAAATCATTGACGCCAGCAGCTATTTTGTGTGGCTTTCTAATCCAAGGACCATAACTTGGTTGATTTTTACCAACCCTGACCCTATATGGTGGAAATGATATATAACAATACAAATTTTAAAACAACTTACAAGATAGTACATGTATATTAATAGGTCTGTAACACTTATTAATATATCCAAAATTTGAAGTTGCAACATTAAGGACAAAAGAGCATGAAGCAATTCCTTTTATGATTTACGATGTATTTTTTTATTTCAAAAACTATGACAATTATTGATAAAATCTACTGGTTTCACCAGAAAAAGTGACCATATAAACTTACTGTTCCAGATGTCTGGTGATCTTCAAACGCCTTAATGAGTCCTTTAGCCCAGTCTATATGTTCTTCACTTGGACTAAATGCTTCCTGCACTATGGGTACCTGTGATGGATGAATCACCTGTTTACCTGTGAAACCCATACCTGCACTTTTAATAGACTGTTCCTTCAAGGTCACCTGGTCTAAAAATATAACATACCAATATAAACAATAAAACATAACATACATCGGATAGTAGTGGCTAAAAGAAATGTTTCTGATAAATCATAAATATAAAATGTTTAACCTGCTGTATATGTGTAATGGATTTACCTTGATTTGAATTTGAATCAATCCATTAAAATTATGGGAATTTAATATCAAACAAGAGGGCCATGATGGCCCTGAGGTCGCTCACCTGTTTATAGGCTCCCAGAGCGGGGCCAGTTTAAACCCCAGGGCTTTTATTTGAACAAACTTGGAAGACACCCATTAGAAAATGTTTCATGATGTTAAGTTTTTACTACACACATATAATGAAAAACAATGATCCCCCCCCCCTTGGCAGGGCCAATTTTAACCCAAGGGCTTTTACTCGAACAAACTTGGTAGACACCCACAAAAAGATGTTTCCTGCTTAACAATCTAACCTCTAGCTCATTGGGTTTTTTAAAAGAAGACTTTTTAAGTTTTTACTATACACATATAGTTTGTTTGTTTGTTTGTTTCATTTTACGCCTTTTTCAACAGTATTTCAGTCATATAGGAGGGTAGTTTCCTAACCATCGTTCCTGGAGAGTTACACCAGTACTAGACTACCTTCCTCCGCGCTAAACTACCAAAGCATCTCCCGGGGATCGAACCCACGCCAGAATGGTAACTGGATTAGAAGTCATCGACTCTAACACCTCGACCACGGAGGCGGTTATCACATATAGTTTTTTTTTTTTTTCACATATAGTTAAAAACAATGACACCTCTGGGGCGGGGCCAGTTTTAACCCCAGGGCTTTTATTTGAACAAACTTTGTAGACACTTACTAGAAGATGTTTCATGCTTAATATCTAAACTCTAGCTATTTGGGTTTTTTCAAAGAAGATTTTTAAGTTTTTGCCATACACATATAAGGAAAATCAATGACCCCCAGGGCGGGGCCAATTTTGACCCTGAGGCTTTTATTTGAACAAACTTTGTAGACACTCACTAGAAGATGTTTCATGCTTAATATCTAAACTCTAGCTATTTGGGTTTTTTCAATGAAGATTTTTTAAGTTTTTGCTATACACATATAAGGAAAATCAATGACCCCTGGGGCGGGGCCAATTTGACCCCAGGGCTTTTATTTGAACAAACTTTTTAGACACCCATTAGAACATGTTTCATGCTAAATATCTTAGCTCTAGCTCTTTGAGTTCTTTAAAAGAAGATTTTTTAAGTTTTTACTATATGCATATAGGGAAAATCAATGACCCCCTTGGGCGGGGCCAATTTTGACCCTAGGGTTTTTATTTGAACAAACTTGGTAGACACTCATTAGAACATGTTTCATGCTAAATATCTTAGCTCTAGCTCTTTGGGTTCTTTAAAAGAAGATTTTTTAACTTTTTACTATATGCACATAGGGAAAATCAATGACCCCCTTTGGCGGGGCCAATTTTGACCCTAGGGCTTTTATTTGAACAAACTTGGTAGGCACTCATTAGAAGATGTTTCATGCCAAATATCTAAGCTCTAGCTCTTAGGGTTTTTTAGAAGAAGATTTTTTAAGTTTATCTTATTGGTTGCCATGGCAACCAGAGTTTTAAATGGAATTTAAATTTTTGAACAACTTTGAAAGGGGTCCACCTAAGGATCATTTCTGTAAAGTTTGGTTGCACTTGGCCATTTGGTTTAGGAGGAGATGTTGTTTGAAAAGTTTGACGCCATTTTTTGAAGGACGCACGACGCACGACGGACGCAGAGTGATGACAAAAGCTCACCTTTGAGCACTTTGTGCTCAGGTGAGCTAAAAAAGAGCTGCCAACAGAGCTAGACTACACAGAAATGCAGGCTGGCCTAGATCTATACTGGCGGAAATGGATAATCATTTTCGGTTCCAGCAGATTAAGGGTTAAAATCTCTACATAGGCAAGATTTTCTTATCAGTTCAAACACTTTCCTACACTTACTACATATATATCCCATTTAAAATTAGAATTCAACTAAAAAAAACTTTTACCTTTTATATCCAATATCACTTTCATATGTAAAATAAATCTTAGTGCATTAACTGATTAACTCCTATTAAATTTATAAGGTTTTAACCAGTTACTGCACTAAGGCGACGATATGTCATTAGCCTGTGATATGAAATATATCTCACCTTTGTAATCTATATGTACCATATCTATAGCTTGTAGTCGGAAAGCTTTAGCTATCGTTACAAATTTCTGACGTGCATAGAGAAGTTCTGATCCTTCTGCTGACCTCTTAGCACCTGAAAAATAAACATTGTCCTCCTGTATGAAACAACAAAAGATAAACACACATGGAACAATAACTATTGTCCTCCTGAAGATAAACACATTGGACAATAAGCATTGTCCTGTGTGAAACAACATTAGATAAACACATGGAATAATAACTATTGTCCTCTTGTATGCAACAACATTAGATAAACACATGGAATAATAAACATTGTCCTTCAGTATGAAACAACAGAAGATAAACACATGGAATAATAACTATTGTCCTCTTGTATGCAACAACATTAGATAAACACATGGAATAATAACTATTGTCCTCTTGTATGAAACAACAGAAGATAAACACATGGAATAATAACTATTGTCCTCTTGTATGCAACAACATTAGATAAACACATGGAATAATAAACATTGTCCTTCAGTATGAAACAACAGAAGATAAGTACATGGAACCATAAACATGTTCTTCTGTATGTTTGTATGTTTGGGTTTTATGTCACACTGACACAGTATAGGTCATATAGCGACATTCCAGTTTTACTGGTGGAGGAAGACCGCAGGTGCCCCTCCGTGTATTATTTCAGGCAAGAACAGGCAACTGAGTAGAACCACCGACGTTCCATAAGCTAGCTGGATAGCTTCCTCACATGAAAGAAACTAAAGTCCCTGTCGGGATTCGAAACCACAACGGTGAGGGGCAAGTGGTTTGAAGTCAACGACCTTAACCACTCGGCCACGGATGCCCCGTCCTTTTGTATAAAACAATAGAAGATAAACACATGTAACAATAAACATTGTCGTTCTGTATGAAACAACAAAAGATAAATAACACAACAACAAACTGTCTGTCATTCTTAATCATTTAAGTTAATTAATCAATAATAAAGTGCTGTAAACAACAGGAATAGTTCTACCTTAATAAGTAAGACACAGCTGTAAGTTATTCTTCAGTGATTAATTTGTTCTAGATTTTGCATCAATTTAAGACAATTATCTGGCAACAGTGAGCTATATCTTTTCACCAGGGACTTAAATGACTGAGTGGTAAATCTTCCTAACTTAAAATCACTCAACCTTAACTGCTGATAGTTTGAATCCATTTAGGGACTTTGGATTCTTTCATAGGAAAGTTTCCATTTGTCAGTGTGACTTAAAACCTACAAATAAATACATTACATGAGCATGCTGACAAATTATTTGTTTAGAAATTTTAAACAGGTCAATAATTTCAATACAAAATAGTTATATTTACATAATAAGAACAAAAGTATTAATCAATTTTGAACTTGAAATATCATAAATACTTCTATATTTCACTGTAGTATACATATCACTCCTTTATTTACCTATATCAGCACAAAAGTCATCTGAGCCAAACACGAGACCGTCAACATTATAGATGTTAGATCGTAACGAGAGTTCCACGCCTCTCTCACAAATATCACGTAGATTTATCAGTCCTAATGCACTCTCTACAAACAAAACAAGTGAGATCTTATGCTGAACTGTGCGATCTTTGAGAGCATTCTGTAAATTATTTGTTATCTGAAATAAGTAAATGTAACACATGTATTATAATACTGCATGTTTGTAACGTCGTTTTTCATTGGATAATTGTGACATTTATATAACATATATATAAATGTAAGTCTGCAGTCCATATTATCAATTAATTTAGTTTTTTCTTCAATAAAGAAATTTTTCAGTCTTACAATTTAGTTATTTAGTTTCTTGATAGGTTATATGGCTGTACATAAATGTTTTTGCAATAAAACCAATTATATAGGGCCATATAACCTGTAAAACAAGCAAATTCGTTGAATTTATATTCCCCGCCGAGTACTGGTTATTATTAACACAACAACTGAAGACATAAGGCTTTATTTATATATTAATCATGGCATGAACAGTAATATTCTTTGAACTTGATAAATATTCAGGGCAATAACAGAGCCATAACTTTGTGTTAAATAGTAAAATCTGGAAATGCCAATGAGATGTATGCATACTACATAACTAATCAAGGGCCATAAATCTGAGTTATAAGTATCTGACTGGAACAAGGCGACTATATGCACATCTCCTCTTAGTATCCCATAAAGTTTCATTGAATTCCAGCCAGTAGTAGCAGAGAAGTAGCGAGGAAACAAATATTTTTCTATATGGATACAGCATAACTAATCCAGGGCCATAACTCTGAGTTAAAGTGTCTGACCGGAACAAGCCGACGATATGCGCATCTCCTCTTGGTATTAAAGGTTCCTATAAAGTTTCGTTGAATTCCAGCCAGTAGTTGCAGAATAGTAGTGCGGTAATGATTTTTACTCCATATGCATACTGTGATAACTAATCAAGGCCATAAACTCTGAGTTAAAGTGTTCCACTGACCGGAACAAGCCGACGATATGCGCATCTCCTTTTGGTATTTGATGATTCCCATAGAAGTTTCGTTGCATTCCAGCAGTAGTTGCAGAAGAACTACTCCGGAAACGATTTTTACTCTATATGCATACTACATAACTAATCAAGGGCCATAACTCAGAGTTAAAGGGTCAGACCGGAACAAGCCGACGATATGCGCATCTCCTCTTGATATTGATGTATTTCCCATAAAGTTTCGTTGAATTCCAGCCATAAGTTGCAGGAGAAGTAGTGCGCGAAAATGATTTTTACTCTATATGCATACTACATAACTCATCAAGGGCCATAACTCTGAGTTAAAGGGTCGGACAGGAACAAAGCCGACGATATGCGCATCTCCTCTTGATATTGATGTGATTCCCATAAAGTTTTCGTTGAATTCCAGCCAGTAGTTGCAGAGAACTATCCGGAAATGATTTTTTACTCCATATGCTATTGCATAACTAATCACAGGACCTATAACTCTGAGTTAAAGTGTCTGACCGGAACAAGCCGACCGATATGTGCATCTCCTCTTGGTATTGAAGCCTTCCCATAAGTTTCGGAGTCTGAATTCCAGCCAGTACGTTGCAGAGAAGCTAGCGCCAGCGGAACGATTTTTACTCCATATGCATACTGCATAACTAATACAAGGGCCATAACTCTGAGTTAAAGTCGTCTGACCTGGACAAGCTGACGAATATGCCGCATCTCCTCTTTGGTATTGATGATTCCCCATATCAAGTTTCGTGAATTTGTAGTTGCAGAGAGACTACTCCGGAAACGATTTTTACTCTACATGCATACTACATTAACGAATCAAGGGCCATAACTCAGGAGTTAAAGGGTCTGACCGGACAAGCCGACGATATGCGCATCTCCTTCTTGATATTGATGATTCCCATAATTTTGTTGAATTCCAGCCAGTAGTTGCAGAGAACTATCTTGGAAACGATTTTTACTCCATCATATGCATATTGCATAACTAATCAAGGCCATAACTGCTCTATGCAGTCTAAGGTCTGACTCGAACAAGCCAAACAAATATGCGCATCTCCTCTCTGCGTACTTGAACGGTTCCCAAAAAGTTTTCGCTTGAAATTCCAGCCAGTAGTTGCCATGAGAAAGTAGCGCCGAAAACTATTTTTACTCCATATGCATACTGCAATAACTAATTCAAGGGCCCCATACCTCTGAGATTAAAAGTGTCTGACTGGAACAAGCACGACGAATATGCGCATCTCCTCTTGGTTATGATGATTCCCATAAAGTTTCGTTGAATTTGTAGTTGCAGAGAACTACTCCGGAAACGATTTTCTTCTATATTGCATACTTACATAATAATCAAGGGCCATAACTCAGAGTTAAGGGTTCTGACCGGAACAAGCCGACGATATGGCGCATCTCCTCTTGATATTGATGATTCCCATAAAGTTTTGTTGAATTCCAGCCAGTAGTTGCCAGCAGAACTACTCCGGAATCGATTTTTTTACTCCATATGCATCATTGCATAAACTAATCAAGGGCAGATAACTTTGAAGTTAAAGTTGCTTCTGACCGAACAATCCAACAATATGGCTCTTCTTCTTGGTATTGAAGGTTCCCAAAAAGTTTCGTTGAAATCCAGCCAGTAGTTCAGAGAAGTAGCGCAGGAAACGATTTTTTACTCCATATGCATACTGCATAAACTAATCAAGGGCCATAACTCTGAGTTAAAGTGTCTGACCGGAACAAGCCGTACGATATGCGCATCTCCTTTTGGTATTGATGATTCCCATAAAGTTTCGTTGCATTTCCAGCCAGTAGTTGCAGAGAACTACTCCGGAAAACGATTTTACTTCTAATATGCATACTACATAACTAATCAAGGGCCTATAACTCAGAGTTAAAGGGTCTGACCGGAACAAGCCGACGATATGCGCATCTCCTCTTGATATTGATGATTCCCATAAAGTTTCGTTGAATGCCAGCCAGTAGTTGCAGAGAACTACTCCGGAAACGAAATTCGGACGGACGGAAGGACGGACGGACAACGCCAAAACTATATCCCCCTCCCGATTCCATGGGCGGGGGATAATATCTTTACAACTAATAATATACATGGGATGGATTTTCCTGTATTTTATTTAAGAAAAATCTTAAAAATGTCTAAAATCTTAGTGAAAAAGACTTCTAATCATAAAATGAAAATGAGAAAACTTAAACAACACATACATATTTTCTACAATAAATCATACATGCAGAGAAATTGAGCAATTATGAAATTATGTTTAAACAGAGACAAGGTAGCATTAGATGACAACATCACTATACATACCGAGGCAAGCTCTTGTACACTGTTTACTTTAGGAACCATTATTGTCTGTGGTAAATGTTGTGCCTGAAATATGACACGTAAATCTTCCTCCATCAATCCACTACTAACAGCATTTACACGAACCCCACACACTCTGTATGGAAAAAAAATCTTAATGTACTCCAAATTGTGTTTGAAATTGTTTTTCCCCTTTGCCCTTCTCCTGTAATATAAAATGTCAAAAGTACTGTAATATACTATGTCTCCATTACTGTTACATAAATGTCATAGTCACTGTAATACACATCTCAGCTCACTCGTTAATATACAATGTCTAACAGTTCTGTAATATACAATGTCTCAGTTCACCTGTAATATACAATGTCTCAGTCACTGTAATATACAATGTCTCAGTCACTGTAATATCACAATGTCTCAGTCACTGTGAATTTAATACAATGTCACAGTTACTGTAAATATACAATGATCCCCAGTTACTGTAATATACAATGTCACCAGTTACTGTAATTTACAATGGTTCACAGTCAATTTGTAATATACCAATGTCACAGTCATGTTAATTCATGACAAATGTCTCAGTCATTGTAATATACAATGTCACAGTCACTGTAACTATACAAAATGTCTCAGTCACCAGTTAATATCACAATGTCACAGTTACTGTAATATACCAATGTCTCTGTCCCCCGATGTAACCTATACAATGTCACAGTCACCCTGTAATATACCAATGTCTCAGTTACTGTAATATACAATGTCTCAGTCACTGTAATATTACAATGTCACAGTCACTGTAACATATACAATGTCCACAGTCACTGTAATATACAATGTCTCAGTCACTGTCCTGGAAATAACAATGTCACAGTTACTTGTAATTATACAATTGTCACAGTCACTGTAATATACAATGTCACAGTTACTGTAATTATTACAATGTCTCAGATTACTGTAATATACAACCATTGTCACAGTTACTGTAATATACAATGTCCACAGTCACTTGTAAGTATACAATGTCTCAGTCACTGAAATATACATTGTCTCAGTTACTGTTATATACAATTTGTCTCAGTCACTGTAATATACAATGTCAACAGTCACTGTAAATATTACAATGTCACAGTCACTGTAAGTACAATGTCTCATTACTGTAATAACAATTGTCACAGTCACTGTAACTATTACCATGTCACCAGGTTTTACTGTAAATATACAATGCACATGTCAGTTGTAAAATCACATAAAGAAGAAATAAGTCGAAATCTGCGGAAAGGAAGCACCTTTTATACAATGTCTCAGTTACTGTAAATATACAATGTCCACAGTTTACTGTAAATTACAATGTCTCAGTCACTTGCTAATATACAATGTCTCAGTCACTATAATTATAAACCAAGTCTCAGTCACTATAATATACAATGTCACAGTTTACTGTAATATTACAAGTCACAGTTACTATAATATACAATGTCACAGTTACTGGGGTAATAAACAATGTCTCACCGTCACTGTAATATACCAATGTCTCAGTCACTATAATATACAATGTCACAGTCAACTGTAATATACAATGTCTCAGTCACTGTCACTGTAAAATATAACAAATGTTCACAGTTACTGTAATATACAATGTCATCAGTCCACTGTAATTATACAATGTCACAGTTACTGTAAATATACAATGTCTCATTTACTGTAATATACAATGTACACAGTCACTGTAATATACAATGTCACATTTACTGTAATATACAATGTCCACAGTCACTGTAATATTACAAATGTCACAGTTACTGTAATATACAATGTCACAGTTACCTGTAATATACAATGTTCACAGTCACTATAATAACAATGGTTCTCAGTCACTATAAATATACAATGTCTCAGTCACTGTAATATACAATGTCACAGTCACTATAATTTCATACAATGTCACAGTCACTGTAATATACAATGTCACAGTCACTGTAATATTACAATGTCTCAGTTACTGTAATGTACAATGTCTCAGTTCCCACTGTAATATACAAATGTCTCAGTTACTGTAATATACCAATGTCACAGTTACTGTAATATACAATGTCTCAGTCACTGTAAATTACAATGTCTCAGTCACTGTTAATATACAATGTCTCAGTCACTGTAATATACAATGTCTCAGTTACTGTAATATACAATGTCTCAGTCTCTGTAATATACAATGTCACAGTTACTGTAATATACAATGTCTCAATTACTGTAATATACAATGTCTCAGTCACTATAATATACAATGTCTCAGTCACTGTAATATACAATGTCTCAGTCACTGTAATAAACAATGTCTCAGTTACTATAATATACAATGTCACAGTCACTGTAATATACAATGTCTCAGTTACTGTAATATTACAATGTCTCAAGTCACTGCTAATATACAATGTCTCTGTCACTATAATATACAATGTCACAGTTTACTGTAATATACAATGTCACAGTTACTATAATATACAATGTCACAGTCACTGTAATGTACAATGTCACAGTTACTATAATATACAATGTCTCAGTTACTATAATATACAATGTCACAGTCACTGTAATATACAATGTCTCAGTCACTTATAATATACACATGTCACAGTTACTGTAATATACAATGTCACCAGTTACTATAATATACAATGTCACAGTTACTGTAATGTACAATGTCACAGTCACTATAATATACAATGTCTCAGTTACTGTAATATACAATGTCACAGTTACTGTAATATACAATGTCTCAGTCACTGTAATATACAATGTCTCAGTCACTGTATATATACAATTTGTCTCAAAGTCACTATATATACAATGTCACAGTTACTGTAATATACAATGTCTCAGTTACTGTAATATACAATGTCTCAGTCACTGTAATATACAATGTCACAGTCACTGTAATATACAATGTCTCAGTCACTGTAATATACATTGTCTCAGTCACTATAATATACAATGTCTAAGTTACTGTAATATACAATGTCACAGTCAATGTACAGGCCCGTCGTCACGATTTTGTGATTGGTGCGGCCAATTTGGTAGATTTTAGCCAGAATCTAGGGGGGTACGGGGGCATGCTCCCCCGGAAATTTTTTTATTCTAGGATGTTCTTAGGGGCGTTTTCCCATATATTTGGCACATTTTACAGGCCTGTCGCTAGAACATGTTATAGTAAAAATGTCAACGATTTTTTTTACAGATGTAAGGATACGTGGTTAGTTTTTTTAAGGGTGAAATTTAAGGTTTGCATAACGGAAACGGACAGGTGAACATAAAAGATGAATACATGTAATTGATATTTGGGCGAATGAAAAAAATAAACATTCTAACACTATCGGATTTTTTTCTATATAAACAAAGAAGGCCCGAAGCGTGCATTATTCTAACAAACAATGCACGTCGCCGTTTCTTATTATTCTCCCTGTGTATTTTCACATTTATTCTTCTGAGCTCCGAGAATGTCCTTTCACTGGTAGCATTTAGCAGCAGGCATTACTAAAAAATTCTTTAACAACACAATGACCTCTGTTCTTGCACCGATTGTTTTGACACAAATTTCAAAGCGTCAGGTAGAGTAACAGTACTATTTTTGATTTTTCAAAATGTGAACGTAGCAGCTGAAGCTGCCCCCCTCTAAGATGTCTCGGTTAATATCGTTGCCAAATAAATCACAAACAAAAACCAAGTTTTCTAGTGAACGGTCTTCAAAAGTTTTTCGGACTTAATAAATAAAATCCTTCACGTTCTGAAGTACACGATATCTCGGTTTGTCAAATCTCTCTTTAACACTGGCCATGGCAAGATCGATTGCTTCAAAATACTAAGGCCGGAACACGTCCTGCACTGTAATTATGTAATAGAGTAATTGAATGAGTTTATGACTGAATTTATGTTAGGAGTTGAATGAAAATATATTATTCGAGCCTCTGCATGGCGAGTATAATATTTTGATTCAACGAGTTCAATAAAATTCAGTAATGAACTTACACGAATTCAATATTATGTTTATTACATACCAAAAATAAGTACCTTTTGAAGTGAAAGAGCAAAACCATTTTTCCATTGACGCCCATAGAAAAACGCTAACACATTTAGTGTGTATAACGCAAATGACGTCAAAATATATGCAGCGGCCGTGCAATACCATTTTCACCGGGTCGCCAAAAACGGCACGGATAATGTGATAAAAATATGACTTTTGAACGGTTTGCCTTGTACAATCAATAAAATATTATCAAGTTTCTCGGAGAATTCAGGCATACTAGTTCATATTCATAATGCACATATATATACATGTATATACGGTGAACTGTCCGAAGCCACGTCGATGTCAATTAACTTCACATTTAACTTCGTAGGACCCCTACAAATACCTGGTCAATTAACAGTGTCCATTTGTTTCTTCGCGCAATGTTTGTATGTAACCGCGTATTGCATAAGGGGCCAGTTAAGTGTCAAATTGCTAATCAGCGATGCGTGTTTTTTTGTTTTTGTTTGTTTTTGTTTTTTTTTTACTCATTTTTGGCCAAAATATTGGTCCGGCCAAGGCCGGACCGGCCGGACCATCGACGACGGCCTTGATGTAATATACAATGTCTCAGTTACTGTAATATACAATGTCTCAGTTACTGTAATATACAATGTCTCAGTCACTGTAATATACAATGTCTCAGTCACTATAATATACAATGTCACAGTTACTGTAATATACAATGTCACAGTCAATGTAATATACAATGTCACAGTCACTGTAATATACAATGTCTCTGTCACTGTAATATACAATGTCTCTGTCACTGTAATATACAATGTCTCAGTCACTGTAATATACAATGTCTCTGTCACTGTAATATACAATGTCTCAGTCACTGTAATATACAATGTCTCTGTCACTGTAATATACAATGTCTCTGTCACTGTAATATACAATGTCTCTGTCACTGTAATATACAATGTCTCAGTCACTGTAATATACAATGTCTCAGTCACTGTAATATACAATGTCTCAGTCTCTGTAATATACAATGTCTCAGTCACTGTAATATACAATGTCACAGTCACTGTAATATACAATGTCTCAGTCACTGTAATATACAATGTCTCAGTCACTGTAATATACAATGTCTCAGTCACTGTAATATACAATGTCACAGTCACTGTAATATACAATGTCTCAGTCACTGTCACTGTAATATACAATGTCACAGTTACTGTAATATACAATGTCACAGTCACTGTAATATACAATGTCACAGTTACTGTAATATACAATGTCTCAGTTACTGTAATATACAATGTCACAGTTACTGTAATATACAATGTCACAGTCACTGTAATATACAATGTCTCAGTTACTGTAATATACAATGTCACAGTTACTGTAATATACAATGTCTCAGTTACTGTAATATACAATGTCTCAGTCACTGTAATATACAATGTCTCAGTCACTGTAATGTACAATGTCTCAGTTACTGTAAAATACAATGTCTCAGTTACTGTAATATACAATGTCAAAATTAATGTTATATACAATGTCACAGTTACTGTAATATACAATGTCTCAGTTACTGTAATATACAATGTCACAGTCACTGTAATATACAATGTCTCAGTCACTGTAATATACAATGTCTCAGTTACTATATTATACATTCATTTTTCTACCTATGTATGTCCTGTTGTTGTTGTTGTTGTTTTCTATTTCAGAAGGCCACATTGGAAATAAGATATATATGACTGTTATTGTATGTTCTTAATGTGTAAACTTCTTTAAATAAAGATATTATTATTATTATTATTATTACTGTAATATACAATGTCTCAGTCACTGTAATATACAATGTCACAGTTACTGTAATATACAATGTCACAGTCACTGTAATATACAATGTCACAGTCACTGTAATATACAATGTCTCAGTCACTGTAATATACAATGTCTCAGTCACTGTAATATACAATGTCACATTTACTGTAATATACAATGTCACAGTCACTGTAATGTACAATGTCTCAGTCACTGTAATATACAATGTCACAGTCACTGTAATGTACAATGTCTCAGTCACTGTAATGTACAATGTCTCAGTTACTGTAAAATACAATGTCTCAGTTACTGTAATATACAATGTCAAAATTAATGTTATATACAATGTCTCAATTACTGCTATGAATTACATAGCTTCTTCATAGTACTAACCCTAACCATTAAGAGGAAATAAATTGGTTATAATAATAGAACAGAGAGTGATTAAATTGAGTAGTTAGAATTAAAATCAAAATTACACAAATTTCTCTTTTGAAATTTGGAAAAAGGGTCTGCTTAGAATATTGGCTCTATTTGTATATTCCAATTATATAAAGTGAAAATTTTGATAGAACATACTTACTTTTCCTTACTGAAAATTATTTTATTTTCTTATTATCTGCTTTGTGCATATTGTCAGAATTACTTGCTTGGCAATCTAATCATTTACACTTGACATTCAATTTTGTGAGATATCTTGAGATTAAAACATATCTACCTACCTTTAATTGGTTTTTAAATTGGGTAACAATGTAAATTTGTCTGAATTCAGTATTTAATATTGCCTTAATCAATATTACCCTGGTAACATTTCTACAATCTTTATTTTCTATAGCAAAATCTTAAGAAGCAAAACCCTAAAGACAGTGTTTGTTTATTCAATGTTAAAAGGTATTATTCAATAGTTCAAGTCTACAGGTCAAAATAATTGAGGCAATGTTTCACAAAATTGGCTTACTTGTGAGAATAAAATGCCCCATATATGTTATGCTATGGCCATATGATCATTTTCTCACTTTTATTTATAGTTTTTTTAATTTCAGGCAAGTAGACATCTGAGGAGAACAGCCAATTTTCATAGCTAGATAACTTTCTCAAATAACAGAATTTCAACTTACAATAGTGAGTGTCAAGTGAATCATAGAAAGTGACCTTAACAATTTACCTTAGTGTCACCATTGGTCATACTATTCAAATACATTCCCCAGGGCAAATATGCTTATATTTTTTTCTTAATTGTATGCATCAAGTCTCTACCACTTTATAAATGTTTAATTTTTCAAAGATGTAATAATGAAATTTCTGAAATACTAAACCAAACGAATCTGAATTGAGGGTTCAGAAGATTCAAAATATATTTCTACATTAAACAATTTTATGACCCAAATTACCAAACTTGGCTTAGATTCCTTTTCCCAAAATGGTTAGGAAAAAGGCCTGCCTTGAACACTTACCATACAGAGCTTTCTCGTGTAAAAAGTTCATGAATTTTAATAAAGTACAAAATGTTATATCAATATAGACTGTCTCTCACTTTTCTGTTAGCAGCAACACCATCTTCACAGTCCATGACGGCACAGTCTACATCTAGTATCTGTATCTTCTGTAACTTCCTCTCATCACTGCCGGGTATATATAGCACTGCTCGACGTGGTGTAAACCTGAAATACAACTACTATATATCAATACCTTAAATTAACAATATTCACACTATCAGTTTCCTCAGTGTAAAACAGTAATACAAGAACTATGCAGAAAGTTTTTCTCAATGACTGATACCAAAACAAGACCCAAGCAGAAATTTACAATATTCACAAAAGGTAATTTCAGCAAAATTGCATGCTAGATGTATGCATCTTGGTAAACAATTACAATTATTATAAAAACCTTTTTGTGACGTATCAAATAAATAAATTCAGTGGTTAAGAAGACAGATTTTGAAAGTCAAGTAAGTTTCTAAACTAAAATAATTAATGTGTACAACTCGGTAGAAATCTATGCCAGAGTTCAAACAAATGAAGGTCTTAAACAAAGGCTAAAAAAATGAGTGCAGTTTTAAGTGGTAACCTTCAGTAGAAATTGAGTAATAAAGTTGCAAGCAAAATCCTTTCCCTAGTTTAACATCAGTACTGAATGTAAATTAGAATAAACCTTGTACTGTTTAAATAGTGGTTAATTTAATCCTTACCAATAAACAAACATTTTTCTTAAATGAAAGATAAACAGGTGCTCATAATGACAGAAAATGGATAGAACTGCAAATGCATGTATTGTGTTACCGGTAAGTACATGTTTGGGTTTGTTTTTTTTGTTTCGGTTGGGTTTTACATCACAGCAACACTTGTAAGTAATATGGCAACTTTCCAGCATTACTGGTGAAGGAAGTCCTTAGGTGCCTTTCCGTGCAATATTACAGGCAGGAACGGGTACCTCAGTAGAACCACGGACGTTCTGAAAGCTAGCTGGATAGCTTCCTCACATGAAAGAATCCAGAGTGCCTGTTGGGATTCAAACACACAATAGTGAGGTGCAGGTGTTGAAGTCAACAATCTTAACCCCTATGCCACATTTTGTGACATATATTATTGACTTTGTTTTATTTTTCATATAACAAAAAAACTGACAATGCTTTGACCTGATAAAATTTTCAAGAACAAATAATAAATATGACAATGACATCAACCCATTGGAATCTGGACTTGATCATTTCCATCAGGCACATACATGTATATCTTAACCTAATTAGTTATAAATAATAAACATTTTGTACAGTAATATTTTATGCATGCTTTACCTTTTAATTTTAAGTTTCTTGGCATCATTTTGGCAGCAGCTTGACCCTGTAGATACTTGGCATTTCTGTACTGCTAGACAAGTTGCACATTTAGACTGAAGTACTCTACGTGCAGAAAATGTCAGGAAAGTCCTTGCTATGTTCATGATTAGTCTATTACATCTGTAATGTTAAAATAAGTATAAACAAAAGGACTAAATTAGACCAATAACAACAACCTGTTTAGTAAACACAAATGCCCTTGGTGCAGATTCTTGTCAGTAACAAAAGTTTTCAAACAAGAGCTGTCGGTAGGACAGCAACGCTCGACTATTCTTAGTGCTTGATAGTAAAAAAAGCCTTGATGAAAAGGTAAAATTTTCTAAGTAAAGAAAAAGGCAAATTTTTTCTTTAAATCCATATTACAGTTATAGGCCTTGCAGAGAGTCCTATTATGCTCTCAAAGAAGAGTATAAAATTTCAACATGTTTCAAAGCCTTATGTCAATGAATTTTGAAAATATTTGAGGTATTACAAAAACTTTAACGTAAATTCTAAGTCGTAAAGGGGCATAATTCTGTCAAAATGCTTGATAGAGTTACCTCCTCTTGTCTACATGTTGGGGTCATGATGTTGAATAAGTGTGCAAAGTTTCAAAGCCATATGTCATGGACTTTGAAAATATTTGAGGTATTACAAAAACTTTAAGGTAAATTCTAAGTCAAAAAAGGGGCATAATTCTGTCAAAATGCTTGATAGAGTTACCTTCTCCTGTCTACATTGTGGGGTCATGATGGTGAACAAGTGTGCAAAGTTTCAAAGCCAATCCCATATGTCAATGGACTTTGAAAATATTTGAGGTATTACAAAAACTTTAACGTAAATTTTAAGTTGAAAAAGGGGCATAATTCTGTCAAAATGCTTGATAGAGTTACCTTCTCCTGTCTACATGTTGGGGTCATGATGGTGAACAAGTGTGCAAAGTTTCAAAGCCATATGTCAATGGACTTTGAAAATATTTAAACTATTACAAAAACTTTAACATAAGTGGTTACACCGACGCCGACGCTCGGGTGACTACAATAGCTCTACTTATTCTTATCGAATAGTAGAGCTAAAAAGGTTTACCCACTCACTCATTCATAGACAGAAAAAAACACCAAAAATATATTGTAAACACAGTTATATAACTTGACAGTCATGACCATTTGTTATTGTGAAAAATATAAGTTGTCATGACAATTCTATTAGACGAAGTTGAAAAATATTCCAACTTACCAATACAAATTTATCAAATATATATAAATGCAAGACCGTAACCATCAACCCAGTGATTAAAAACTGTACCCAAACTTAAAGGATCACCTGAGGTATTTTCAATCTAAATATGTGACACTGATAACAAAAAAACAACACAGGCTGTATAAGATAAAGGTAAAAACAACTATTGTTAGCACAGTTGACCTTGTGACTCCCAACCCTGGACTATACTAGTTATGTTCTTTCCAAATATAAAAAATATCATCAATAAATAAAGGTTGTAGTAGAACTCTATTTTTGGCACTCTTGACCCACTGACCCCTAACTCAATCCAAAGGAAGAAAGCCATGCAAGTTATCTCCCTACCAAAGTAGGAAGTCAATAAATAAAGGATGTATATGCAAATGTGTAGATCTCTATTATTGGCACCCTTGACCTTGATGCAGTGACCCCTAACTCCATTTAAAGGTAGAGACTTCTCAATTTAGTTCCTACTAAAGATAAAAGATATCTGTCAACAGATAAAGGTTACACGTGTAAAAGTATAAAAAAATATTTTTGGCATTGCATGGTGACCAAAATTACACACTTACTTATCAAGAAGAAGACATGATCTTGGTATATGTTACATAACTATGGTTTTTATTTTTTCCAAATTATTGCCCTTTTCAGCACATGGTAACGTAAACCAGCAAGTTGGATATATCTTAAATTCTATCTGTTATATCCACACTTACTAAAGTTACTTATCAATACAAAGTATTGCCAAGTTATATAACTGTGCCATCCATTTTTCCGAGTTAATTCCCTTTTTATCACTTTGAAAATAGGGCCTTGTATGGTTATCCTACAAGTTGGATATATCTTAAATTTCTACTAATTACTTCATTTATTTAATGATATCTTCTATATTTAGCAGATGGATATCTTTTTGTGGAGTAAGGGATCACTGAGGTCAACTCTGGTGTAAAAAATGAATTAATACATTTTTGCTCATACGGCATTTATTTTTAAATTGATTTTTTTTAAGCCATTGGTACAGATAGCAAAGTTGCCGGTTTAGGTTAACCTCATACAGATTGACAGATGGTTCAATTAATATATGTCTGGGGCATAAAAATATGTAGCCTCTGCAAATTGTACCAACTCGTACCTGGGACCCTAGAAATACTGTTCTTCGGCTGACAGTGCCATTGAGCTTATAATCCAGACGCTAACTTAAACATTCTCTCCCTAATTTGGAATCATTTTAATACAGTTACAGTACACATTCCTTGCCTAATCTGAAATTCATCCTTGAAGTTCTGAATATGGGAACAGAGAACAATTATCAGTGAACTGAAGCTATAAACATATACCATCATGGTTCCCAAAGGCAATTGGGCGCCAATTGACACACTGCTGCGTGAAAAAATTTGTAGTCCACGGGGACTTATGCCCTCGAAATTTCTGTATCACAGGCTATATACCCACTGAGCCATCAATATTCTGCCGAATCCAAAATATTTGACATACTGTATAGGCTTGTTAAAGTTTATGTTGGGAAAACCAAAGTAAAAAATATCGCAGAGCAACATCATATTTATAGGGCCAAGTCTCTCCCCTAATTAATGAACAGTTCGATAGACCGTGACATTTCTACATATTACTACATCTTCACAAGTCCTTCTTCACATGTCATCTTTTACTATTTTAACACACAATTTTTGACACACAAGCTACCTGTTTCACTTTCAGCAGTTCAATCACATGTTTAAACATTTTTAAAAAGAATTCCGGAACATGACAGTTAACGTGTGTGCTATAGATTTAAAAAGTTCAATTGCAGGAAACAATTTTTTGAAATAAACTTACCTAATAACAATGTTTAGAACATTTATATGTTAAAATTTGGCAATAACCTGTCATTAACAAACAAGTAACCTTAAGAATGACCTCCCTTGATTTGATTCGGGATTTTCTCAAAGTTGTTTCACAATAATACAAAGTTTTGGAAAATCTATCCCTATATTGATCTATAAAATCCTCTAAATTATAGCAAATATTATTTGGCCTCCAAAGACCGTCAGATTATATGCATTGTCACAGATGTACATCCTGTCTGGTTTGCAAAACATTCTTTGAAACTACCCCCAAATCCACTTCCTTGTTTGATCACGTGATATGTTTATTGACAGATTCTATGATAATTTTCTTGGATGCTGGATGTATTCAATGTCACGGATAAATGCAACAGATGTGAGCGGATTTTAAATTATAGCCTTACCTGGTAAGATATTATGATCATAAAACACGTTTGCACACGGAAACAATCTTGCAATTTTGAATAAACCAAGCTGAAAGTGAAAGTACGAATTTGTGTGAGCTAGGTTAGTTCAGGGTTGACAAATTGAAAATGGTGACAGTTGACAGTTTTATCTTAGGATTGCATAAACTTTGAGATTTATCATAACGATGAAGTAAGCAGAATACTTTTATGTTTTATAATCTTATAACTTTGTTACAATTTAAAAGGTTACCTAATCCTATTCCATTTTTCTTTATAAAACTGTTTAAAATTATGCTGGTAATTTCTTGGAACTGTTAGAATAGTTGACTCATAGACATGCCTTTCAATTGTTCCTTCATGTGAAATAAATTATTGTTCAATTGAATTATAAACAATAGAGCAACTGTAATGTCAGTTACAACTTTAATTGATTTTCCTTTATATAAAAAAAATAATTACATGTATAGTGGCTTAATTTGATAATATTCTAAGTAAGTCCAACTAATTACACTTGTCAAAGACAAAGAGACAATTTTGAACGGGCGATGTCTTTTTCTAACGATAAATTGACACTATGAAAATAAAAAGTCTGTAAAATGGATCAAACCATTCACACTGAATTAATTAAGCTAATTATAAGTCTGAAAGTCTAGAGGTGTTTTTTTTAATTCATTGTATATAAAATGGGTATCAGTGATTATTTTTCCTGTATTTTACAGCCGAATAAAGGCTGTTTGCCCTAGCTCAAAGGTATGTTTTCCCCTAAAAAAGATAATATTTTCCCCTGTAATGCCCTGTGCACTTCTTCACCAGAACCATTACTTAACAGCATCAGACTTATTATATCAGCTAGAAGAAAGATAGCTGTCCGTATAGCCTCTGCTATTACCATGCAGGTTAAATTGAATTGAAATTAAAATTTTTATAAAATGTGTGGGTAAATTCCATTCTCAGTTGTTGGAATTTGATTTCCCCTTTTCTGATTTATCACACTATATTTTCCCCTTCAGAAAGCCACTGGTTGTTTTGAAAATTGGAAAAAAAATCACTGGGTATAATTTTTGATTATTTACTGCTGAACTTAAAACTGGAGTTTTAGTAAATTAAAATTCAGGCATGGTACACACCTGAGGTCTTTTTTTTTCACAAGGCAGGAGATCCATCATATGTGTCTGAAACACTTTACTTTATAGATTCCATCATAACACTCACTGCCACTGAACAACAAATTGATGACATTGTCATAATGCTGTGATATTTATGGTAATGTCAGCCAAGTGGTGTCAATGGTAATGTCAGTTCAGTGGAAAATGATTGTAATGTCATGAAAAAATAACAATGTTAGTACAATTGGTATATGGTAATGACATGGAATTGATGTTAATGTCTGTGCAATAGTACCAACAATGCCATGATTTAATATGGATAGTAAGATGTCTACGATAGCATTAATGATAATGTCAGTGCAGTGGTATTTGTGATAGTGATCAAGTAAATACAGTGGTGTTGTACTTGTAGATTATTATGTCAATACCTTGGTATTGATTACAATGTCAGTACATTTGTATTGGTTACAATGTCAGTACATTGATATTGGTCACAAAGTGAGTACATTGGTATTGGTTACAATGTCAGTACACTGGTATTGGTTACAATGTAAGTACATTGGTATTGGTTACAATGTTAGTACATTGGTATTGGTTACAATGTGAGTACATTGGTATTGGTTACAATGTTAGTACATTGGTATTGGTTACAATGTGAGTACATTGGTATTGGTTACAATGTGAGTACATTGGTATTGGTTACAATGTTAGTACATTGGTATTGGTTACAAAGTGAGTACATTGGTATTGGTTACAATGTTAATACATTGGTATTGGTTACAATGTCAGTACATTGGTATTGGTTACAATTTGAGTACATTTGTATTGATTATAATGTCAATACATTTGTATTGATTATAATGTCAATACATTGGTATTAATCAGAATGTTAATACATTAGTATTAATTTTAATGTCAATACATATGTATTGATTTCATTGACATTATATCATCATTGATTAAATGTCAGCACAGTGGAATTAATTATATTGATAATGGGAATACAGTGGTATTTATAATGGCATTTAAGTCTATATTAAGAATAACAGTGACAGTGGTGTTGTTGATATTGCCAGTGCAATGCATTATGGTATGTAATGCCAAGTTGATAATGTATGAGTACAGTTGTACTAGATTCTTTAATTGTGATTATTATCAGATCAATAACTTATTGAAAGTATGACTTGTAGAAAAGTAAGTGAATCTTTGATATTAAAGATCAGTACTTTGCTAAATTTCTAACACAGAAATATGAGCATTTTTCTCTGTCTGAAATATATTTTCAATGGTTTATTCAAATTTTTAATAAATCTTCATTATTTCTCAAAGTTTTTAGTCAGATATTTTGTAACAAGTTGTTATAATTTTCATCATGTTTCAACGACAAGAATACCCATGAAATTGGTGAAATGGTCTCCCAATAATGAAAAGGGATCAGTCTCTTGATTGATCACCTTGATATCATCACCAACATTTAACTCTACTACTATAGTAACAGAACCTGGGTGATAATTCACACTACTGTAGCTAGTTGCTTTTGCAAGAATGTGTCCATTTTTCTCAATGGCAGCAATGATTGGGGCTTTTGTATCAGGAAATGTTGTAACTGTTAAGGAAAAGATGTATATTCCCGATCTAGGAGCAGTAAAATGTCCACTCTGGTAGCCTCCACCTAGATTTAGTTCCACACCTCCAAAATTTAATGTATTTATGAAGGAACCATTAAAATAGTTTACTCCTCGTGTCAGGTGTGACTGGAATGCAATTGGTCCATTTTGAACATTTCCCACAAATCTTTGAACATTGTGCTTTCCTGAAAGACAGAATTTTTCAGTTATATTATTTATTTTAGATAGCAGTGTTTACAAATGTAATATATAATTACTTGAAAATAATCACTAGGAAAACCCATGCCTACATAGACATACTAGTGAATATGACTATTCATTTAAGATGAAGTTATTCAGAATATGAATGAAATTCTTAGAAAAATGGCGATCCTTTGAGGGCAATAAGATTTAAAATTAAGTAGTTAAAAATCATGGGCTATGAGATTTGTAGATAAAAATCTATTTGTTTTTAGTTCATAAAGCATATTATGTTAATTAGAAATTTCTCATTTACCTTTTCTCATTACCAAAGAGTTTAATTCAGTTTGCCAGTAAACAGATAGACAGCTTATGAAATTAACTGTTTAGAAATTCTTAACCATTTAGAATTTAGGTTTGAATTTATATCACATTAGACTCTACTTCATTTTCAAGATTATTCTCGTTTACTTTCAGTTTCTTACCATCTGCCTTAGCAACTTCTTTGGAATGTATAACTTTATCAGAGATTGCTTGTTTTGTATTTGAAGAGCTGAGCTTTCTGTTTTTGACCATGTCATCATCTGGCTCAGTTGCTACATTAGTGTCGTCTGCTGCATCAAAACCTTCTTCAAACTGTTTCTCTGTCTCTTCTAATCTTATTTCCATTTTCTGTCCTTTCAATTGAAGGTACTGAATCTCATTTTTGCAGTCAGTAATTGTTGTGTTTTGAAGCTCCAAATATTTGTTGAGTGTACGTATAACTTTATCTTGATTTGCTAGAGTCTTTGTGTGAGCATTGACTTGTGTCTGAAGGTCTAGAATCTGTTTTTCTAGTCCAATAATGGTCTTTGATTGCTCTTTTTCTAAACATAAAGATAAATATACACATGTACATGTGAAGTGCTTATTTCTGAAATAAATAAATAAATACTATCCAAAAGTTATATGATAAATGTTATAAGGTATGCTTTCTAAGAAAGCTGTTACAATAATCATTCATACTTCTATGGAGGGCGATCGTTGCCAAAATTCCAGACATGTAATGTGTTTCTTTTGAAAACTACTTTTGAAAATGCGAACATGTATGTCTAGCATTTTTGATTGTATTCGTGCACAGCAAAAGATATGCCTCTTAATCCAATCTTTTAATTAAAGGCATCGCGCTTTTAAATAACAAGTTTACATGTAAATCTTAACAACTGACGGAACATGGAGAACAACAACAAATTTTACAAGTTCGTATCTTCTATTGCATATAATACATAAGAATGTTTTACACCAATCTGTACCTGAAATGAAAATGTAAAACATGAATACAGAAAATATAATTTAATAAAACGTGTTTCCAGTCGTAGAACTACAACAGTACGTTTACACAGTAACATGTTTTAAAATGACAAAACTAGATTCACAAAGTTAAACGATTTTAAGTCATGCATGACCCCCGCCCCTCTCTGAGTATTTACGAATCTTCTATGTACGGACAGGTATAATACCCGTCGTCTCTCTTACACACTCTGAAATTCAGTAAGAGAAACATGGCGCCCCCTACTTACATTTTTTCTTGGTCAATTTTAATAATTTTAGACTCAAGTAAAAGAATCCTTTATGAACTTTATAGTGATGCCTTAAAAATGAAAATTAATTACGTAGAAGTATTAAAAATTTTGTTTCAAACTCATCGTTGTTTATCTTTTCTCTCTTAAAACCACACTCATAAAAAAATATATTCGGAAAAAAATCACGTCGCTTCCTTTAGATACTTTATTCAAAAAAGAAAATGAATATTGAATGAAAGTTAAGACCATAAGCTTTGAACAAGTATATTAAAAATCTGGAAACAAAGTGATCCCTCGGAAGCATTAATCACAACAAAATTACATAAGAATTTTGCAGATTCGGTTGATTGAGTCTGTACATGAGGGATAATGAACAAAGTGCTACATCCCTCACGCCCCCTAGCACCACCGGCTTGAACGGTACTCAATTCTCAATACTTAATAGCGCTGGCATTAATGATCCCGAATGACCATAAAAAATATAACAACACTGAAGTGAAGTACGGGACAACTTTTTTTACAGCTGCCACACGGCACTTGACACAGTCCTGCTGTTGTATAGTATAAAAATCTGGAAACAAAGTGATCCCTCGGAAAGCATTAATCACAAAACAAAATTACATAAGAATTGCAGACTCGGTTTGATTGATTCTGTACATGAGGGATAATGAACAAGTGCAAAAAGTTTTTATTCATACTGAAAATACTTATTAAAGATTGTACATATGTGCTAAGAAAAAGTATTTTCTTGATTTCGAAAAGGAAATCTCGGGTGGCCGCTTTAAAATCTTATTTTTGCAAATACTTGCATAGTTTTTGTTGAAAATGAAATTTGTGCCAATACATTTTTCAATGATACCAATAAAAATATTGGATGGTTTTTAGATATCAATAAAATTACTCCCTTGAAGTTTGGTCATTGTTTCCCCAAAAAAAAAATCCAATCGCCGATGTTTCTCAGGAATTTATGATAAACAAGATCAACAAGGAAAGGCGGCGCTCAATGAACGCAACCCCACATGACCCAGCAACAAGAACAAGTGGCAAGGAGCCCAGGCGGACCCCAAACAAAACACAGGACAGGTCACTAGGCAGAGCACGGACAGGCTAATCACTAAAATGATAAATAGTTTGTAACTGATAAGAACACGATGTTAGATAAAAAGTTAATGCATAAGTTATCTTCATCATAAATAGTAAAATAGTAAAATCAGCAATTTTCAAGTGATGTTGCTAGTGACAAAACTTTTGTAACAATTTTGGAATTTTGGCAACGAACGCCCTCCATATACTTCTGCTTTGGAAGTCAGTGGTTTATTTTTGATATGATAGTATATTTCTAACAACTTAAGGTCCCTTGTAGCTTAATTTTGTAATAAAGCCAACATAGATTAAGGTAATTTAGTTATGTAAATGTTTTTTGCTTGTTTGTTTGTTGTGTTTTTGGTGTTGGGTGTTGCATAACCATCTTTGAAAAGATGATTTTGGGTGATTTCAGTTTTCTGGTGGAAGAAACCTTGGGGCCCCCGGGGATATAAATGGCCCCTGGTAAACATTGGGCATTCCTTTAATTGTATGTTGGTTAAACAAATTGCTATGTACTTAATGTTATGTAGTGACAGTAAACTTGAAAGAAATAAAGTCTGAAAATTTTTTTTTTAACTATTGTGAAAAAAATAGCTTTGCTTATGAAAAAAGTAGACGGTAAATTACCTCTTTTGTCTATTTCCTCAAATCTTTCCCATATGTAGGTGAAGGTTGAATCTGCATTTCCAATACATGAAGGTAAATGTATAATGGCCAGGAAACATATAACAGTGAAGCCTATTTTGGACATTTTTGTAATAAAATACTGCCTAGTTAACACTCCTGGTTGTTTCCTGATATTTTAAAATAATCATGCAGTTTGTGAAAAGTTAAAAGATTCCCACAAGTAAAAGTCAAAGGTGCATAATTCAGATAAGATTATTCAGGGAAGTATCAAGTGCAATATTACAATGTAAATGGAATGCATTAAATAGAACACTATAAATGGATCAGAATAAATGGAACACAATAGGACAATGTTTGAATAATTGTCTCTTAAAGGACTTACTTTATGCCTGTCAGGCCATAGACCAGTCCAAAATGAAATAAGACCTAATTTGTAGTTGTAACTGTAGGTGTTCCATTGACATTGCCGTCAGAAAACTTTGTCTCTTGCCCCCTCCTTCTGAATGTAACCGCCTTATGAATAAATATGTTACCCCCTTGTTGAAATTATCTGACCCCCTGTTTTAAAAAGTCCTGGATCCATATGTGATGGAACGTTAGGTCAGACTGCAAAGACCTCAAATGCTCTCTCCTACATTGTAGTTACAAAGATTTCCACAATGATAGGTCATATGCTTAACATTAATTGTTTTTCAATATAATATGAGTATCAAATTTTATAATACTGCACATTATCATAAACAGTCATGTTGAACATACAAATAAACAATCTACTTATCTGATATTGTATCATAAAACACTATAAACACAAAGATAATTGTCAAGATAGCACATGTGTTTGAATCATATTTGTATTGGTATTTCAGTGAGTCATACATACATGAATCTATTGTGTACAGAGTGTTTCTGTTCCTTTAATAATTAATCTATATCCTCTATATACATAGCTGTAGACTTAAAAAATAGGAAATTTTTGTATAATTAAAACTTAATTAAACCTAATTAATGTTTTAAATTTTACAGTTTACTAAAAGCGGTCACATTTTATTTGGGAAAATATAGACTTGTCACTTTAAAATTGGTTTTGTAATTTTTGCAGACATCGGAATTATGATTTTTAGATTTTTTTAAGTGTATCTAATTTTAAAAAAATACACTTTTAAAGTTTTTTTATAAAAAGGAAACAAATTTACCGCGCTGACAAACCAAAATGTGCGTTTTCGACCCGCATGGATCCAGACCCGCCGCGCACTGCGCAGTCTAATAGGATCCCGTTTTTTCGGTTACAAACTTTCAATACAAAATGATAGCGAACGCAGGATCCTGATCTGCGCAGGGGTGGGCAGGGGTCCTGCTGGGGGAAAAACACTATGTTGGTTTTTTCTGAGGGCTCATGTGTTTTCAATAAGATTTTTAACTTTTTCCAATCTTGGTGTGTGTTCTGCTTGTATTATTAGTTACTTTAAAGAAATCATTATGTATGTAATGCAATGCAGACTTAGGCTTCTGTCACCATTGCTGTTGTTCACTGTTGTCTGATAGGGACACAACTTCTCAAGTGTTGTTTTTTTACTTGAAGTGACCGAAAATTATTTTCAAGATTTTTGTACTATTTGATGATTTGTTATGGATGCAAAATTTCAAAACAAAATATTCGCTCACTCCGTTTTTGCAGAATAATAATTTTTGTTGTGTAAACCTTAAAATTGAAAAGCTGAGAACCACACAATATTAGAACTGATAACCAATTTATCTGAGTTTATTTTGTATTTATTTTTATTGTCTTGTGCATTAATAAATTTTTTCTGTTTAAAGTGCCCCGATTTATTTACATGTTTGTTAAAAGCAAATTAAGAATTTATAATTTATGTTTTAAAGCTTTTGGGCTTCAGAGGAGTTTCTAAATCACTGACATCATATTGTCTAAGAATTGGCAGCTGCTCTTATTCTTTGTTGTAGATGTTTAATACTATACATGTTAATTGTGAAGATATAACATTGAAGATTTGATCTTCTTTCATTGGTCATTTTCTTTACTTAGCAAAAATTTATAACTAACAGATTCCTGAATATACATGTATACCAGTGCCTCATATTTCCAAGGTACTTACTAATGTAAAACATGCACAAAAATGAAAGAATAATATAATTCTAGGAAATGTCCATAAATAATTAACAGACTAATCTATTTAATCTTTAAATTTTGAGATCATGTAGTAGGTGGCGAGATTGTTTATACCAACTAACTCTGAATTATGGGTAAAAATGCGAGACTATGAATACTGTAGAATTGTTGTTTTTTATTTACTGAGTCTACAAGTATTATGCACCATTCATATTTTTACCAACCCTAGTAAATTATGTGGATAATCATATTTGAAAAACTCTCAGAACAGCCTATATCCCATATAAGGTGTGAAGCGAAAAGAAAAACGCTGATAAATTACCATCATAGCCCTCATGTTCTTTGATTTTATATCTAGAAACAACAATGATAGATTGATATCTAAATGTTTCTTTGATTTCATATAATTAATTAAAATCACAAACAGTTGTTTTAATTGCTTAGGAAAAGATGACCTTAAAGCTGGAGAATTTTACCTTTTCCCATCTGACCTTCAGTTTGAATATTAACATTTTAGCGTTGTAAAAGACAAATTTATAGTCAATGATTCAGATCTCTGTTTATTTCAAAAGAAATCCTTAAAGAGTTAGATAGTATAAAGTGTATAATTGTAATATATGTATATTATGATTCATATTTTTACATTATGAATGATTGTGATAGTTTACATCACAATCATTATTTTTAAAATAGATATTTCATATTTTTTATCAAAATCTTTGTTTTTAAATGTAGATTTCAAATATAATGGTTTTATTTTAGTAACTTTAAAATAGTTACAATTTTACTTAAAAATAGTGTTTTTCACTTTAGTTTTATTTTATGTAAGCTGTCTAACAAAGACTTGTTAAGTAATTTTATATCAAGCTTTACAGCCAAGCATCAATAAGTGACAATTAGCACTTAAACAAACAAGTCTTGATAAGCGGTCAGCTTACTCCTTTCTTTTTCCATTCTTATCTAAATACCTAAATATATGGTTAAACAAAAATAGTAACTTTTGCAGGAAATCATTCTAATGTTTCCTTCTTAGGGCATTTTATACATTAATGTATTTAAAACATTTAATTTAAACATTTAATCGGGAAAGGAGGGGTTTCAATTCTTTGGAAAAAATCTCTTGATAGATTCGTCGAAACAGTTGATATTAACAGTGACAGACTTGTTGCTATTAAACTTGTCTTTCCACAAATATCTATAATGGTGCTTCAAGTATACTTACCTTCAGTTAATCACGGTATAAATGTCTTCAAAGAAACAGTAGATAAAATGGTAGACTTTTGTGCTGTGCACTCCAACACCTGTAATATGGTAATAATGGGTGACTTTAACGCCCGTTTTGATGGATATTTGAGATCACGGGACATATATGCACTGAATTTTGCTAGCAGACACAGTTTGATACCGATCACAATCAATGACATGTGTAGCGGACCAAACTATACCTTTATACCGTACAACGATTCCAACCCATCAAAAATCGACCATTTTCTTGTCGACGAGCAACTATTCAATGCAGTGAAAGACTGTCGCGTAATACACGATGCGCCTCTGAATATATCAAGACACTTACCGTTGTTTGTATGTCTAAGACTTGAATTCACACCGCATAATAATGTAACGTCGGAAGAATTTTTGAAATTAAAATACATTTGGACCAAACCAAAAGAATGCAATCAATACAGAACAGTTTTAAAAGCAAACATTGATGGCGCTGAAATTGACTTTGCAAACATTGATGAAGCATATGGCACCATTATCTCAGCAATGGCTTCGGCTGCTGAACAAACTCTTTCTACCCGGTTGTTTCGGCCAATGCTGAAACCTTATTGGTCCTGTACCCTGCGTGACCTACATAAAACGTTACGACTGCTACACTTTTCTTGGACCACTCATGGCAAACCGCGAGTAGGCGAAAGTTATAAACAGTATAAAAATGCAAAACGTGAGTTTCGTAAAAGCCTCCGAAAAGCAGCGAGGCAGTTTGAACGCGAAGAATTTGAGAGAATCGATAAGTTATATGAACTCGATCAACAAGGCTTTTGGAAAGTTTTAAACTCCAACAAGTCTCTTAAGGATAAAAAGAAAGGCTGTGAAATAGTGTTCAATGGTAAAAGCGAGACAACTCTTGATGGTATTCTAAACGGATGGAGTCAATATTTTTCAAGCCTGTATTCGTACTCAGACGACCCAAGTTTTGATAACGCATTTAAGCATTTAATAGAAAACTCAGTCGCGAACAGTATATCAAACTCAGCAGACAATACTGAAAATATAAATTACACAAACTTTCACGAGGTAACGTTCCGAGAGATTTCTGAAGTTATTAATGCTCTTCCTAACAACAAAAGTGCCTCCATTGATAATGTGACGTATGAACACTTGAAGTATGGCGGTGAAACATTAATCAACGCATTATTACAGCTTTTTAATAAGATCATAGAAAGAGAATACTTACCTGTGAAATTTAAAACTGGTCTCACTGTAACTTTGCATAAAGGAAAAGGGAAATCCTTTAAAGACCCTAAAAACTACAGAGCAATATCGTTACTTCCGGTTGTGTCAAAAGTATTTGAAAAGATTATTTTGAATAGAATAGACTGTTTAGACATTAAATTAAATAACATGCAACACGGGTTTCAAAAGGGCAAAAGTTGTAAAATGGTCTCGTTTCTTCTACAAGAGTCACGTGATTATTGCATTGAACGTGGTAGCCCATTGCACGTATGTTTCCTTGACGCGAAATCTGCTTTTGACATGGTTTGGATATCGGGTTTAATATATAAACTTAACGAAATGGGCGTTCATGGAAAACTACTACGTATAATCAATTGCTCCCTTCGCGGCTCAAACAGCAAGGTTTTCCTAAATGGACACTTATCTGATACATTCCATATCATGCAAGGAACCAGGCAGGGAAGTATATGTGCACCATTTTACTACACCGTTTTTGTAAACGAACTATTAAACGAATTACAAAACTCACAAAGCGGTTTCCGTATGAGTGAACTACCTCTTTCCGCTCCAACTCAGGCCGACGATATTGTCTTGCTTTCAACAAGTAGAGTTGATCTTCAAATCCTGCTAGATATAAGTCGAACATACGCAAATAAATGGCGGTATTCTTATAATCCCGACAAGTGTGCTACTATGACAATGAATAGAAAGAAATCACGTGTTTTGGCGCCAATAAAACTTTTATATGGTAGCTCGATTATATCAGATGTACCCAATTATACACATCTCGGCATTGTGCAGTCATCAAATGGTAACTATCCCTTCGATATCGACGATGTTCGACATTCCATGAGAAGTACTTATTTCTCTTTGAAAAACTCAATCAGTGGCTGTGATGGTGTAAATCCACATATTATCGCAAGGTTGTTTCCAACCTGTATCCTTCCTAGATCATTATTTGCATGCGAACTTTGGAATCCTCTAAAGCAGTCAGACATACAAAAACTCGAATGCACGTTCCATTTATGTCTGAAAAATGCGCAGGGTTTTCCACATCTCACTAGATCTGATATGGTAACGGGTATGCTAGGTCTCACCTCACTCGAGGCCTACATCGACCTCCAGAAACTCCTATTTTTAGGTACTTTGTGTAGGTTAAAATCAAGCGAAATAATTAGTAAAGTGTTCATAACTAGACTTATGCATGCTAAAACAAAAGTGACGATATCCTCATTAGGCTTTATTCCAGATGTCTTGAAATTATTGGACAAGTATAAACTGACTAATTATATTGAACAGTTTATAGAAAGTGGTTTATTCCCGGCAAAAGTAAAATGGAAAAAGTGTGTTAAATCAACAATACTACAGTACGAGCAAAATCAATGGAAAGTACGCGTACAGAGAAACAATGACTTTCAACACTTTAGAGAGATTAATAGTGAATTGACTATGTCCAATGTATGGAGAGTAGCACAAGAAAGACCAGACTTACTGACTCTTATGCGATTTGTTGCGCAACTTAATTGTAAAGTTAAGCATGATCAAACTATAATTTGTCAAAAGTGTTTTAATGAATGTACACATGAACTCTACCATCTGATGTTTTACTGTGAGGTGAACAAAGAACTAAAGAAAATGGCAACATTCTTTGATTGCCTAGAAAATCAGTTCAATAGCACTCTTAGTAGATTTTTGCAGGCAATTCCTACAGAGATATTTATTACGTACACATTAGGATATGTAAATATCAATCTTATTAACGTATTATCCGCTGATAAGTACCCAGATTTCATGGCCATATGTGCAAAGTTCTTGTTATCATTATTTAAATAAAGTAATTATTTGAATGAATTTATTACATAGACAAGAAAGAAATGTAAAAGGAATGCTAAGAAAGTCACTATTTCATTTATATTTGTTAAAATTTCGATTTCGCATTTAACAATGTTTAAAAAATGTTAAATAATGTCTTGCAAAAGCTAAAGGAACTACTGACATTTTATGCATTTCTAACCTTTCTATATGTAAGGTTTGCTTTCAATGTCTATTAGATTCCGTCTTCTTCATTGTATGGTCCAAACGTTATGTACATGATAACTTAAAAAACGAAAAAACACGTAAAAGCAAATAAATGTTAAATACATGTATGTATGCAGCTGAATGTGCTATTTTTGCGTAAGATGTTACATGTAGTTATGTATCTTCTTGCACTAATATGATGTGCTGATATGATTAACGTCACTTCTCTTCAAATATTGTCTTATGTAATATATATAATTTTACATCTTTGAAATTGTTCTTTTTTGTATAATTATGATGCTTTTCTTTGCTTAATGTTGTTTCTTTTCATTGACTGTGTTATGTAATATGTATATCTTCGAACATTCGGAGGCAATAAAGATGTATATATATGGTTTAACAGAGTTGAACAAAACTTCCAGCTTCAACTGTCCCAGTATCATTCGAAAATTGGACGTTAAAGTAATAAACTGGATTTTTAATATATAAAGTGTTAACTCTGTTATTCCAGGTATGTACTTATATTATATTTCATAATTCATTAAAGTTTATAAAATCTGTTCAAAATATGTAAATTGATATAATTTGTTAGGTACAATGTAATAGTAATATTATAATTATTTGAATTGTTAAAATGGTACCTCTTATGCAAAGTGAGTTATTTAAAGCTAATTTCCCCATATTTGTTAATTAAAAGATCAAACTATTGTTAATTCAAATATTGTATTCTTATAATGATTTATTTTATAATGTTGCAAAATGTATTTATGTATATCATTCGAAAATTGGACGTTGAAGGAAATAAACTGGATTTTTAATATATAAAGTGTTAACTCTGTTATTCCAGGGTTTAAGGACGTCTTAAACACAGTCTGCCCATGATTAATTAAATAAAAAAGGCCATTACTGTCGTGGGATCATAAAATATGTGTTTTTAAATTTTTATTATATAGATTTCAAGTTTTTCCTACTTGACATAACTCAGAGAAATCTTTTTTAAAAAGTATCATAGTCAGCATTTCAAATTCTGATGTTTGGATACAAAATGAGTATAATAATGATTGTTGTATGAGTGATATGAACTTAGATATCTCTCACACTATCAGTAAACTAATGGAATTGAAAAATAAATACAGTGTCTCGTTGGGTTCTGATTTGATTGTAATAAGTGGAGATAAAATATTGATTACATAAGCCATGCTGGCAGTTTTTCATGTTTTCATTCTGCAGAGCTTGGAATTTCTGGTGATATAATTCCAGGAACGCTTGCTCATCTGTTCATTTCTCATTATGTTTTGTCCATTTATTACAAAAAATGTTAGGCTTAATATAAATAATACATGTAACAAGATAATGTCCCTGAAAGTAACAATAAATAAGTGCTTGCCACAGTAAGTTATATTTATGTAGAAACCAGCTGAGGTTCCTCTTTCACCCTATCCCTTTCCCCATTTTGATAGAAAAAGTAAAATAAAATTGAGTAAGCAAGGGTATAGCAAATAATAATTACAAATTTTAACACACTGTATTATATAATCAAGCTGAAAATAACACAGAATCAGTAAACATTCTTTTTATTTACGATAATTAATTAAACTTTTATTTGCTAATTGGCATTAAGCGTTCCTCTTAATGTAATGCCTTGGGGTGTGTTTGTTTGAGAATATACGGTTGTTTAATTGTGTTATCAAACGTTTTGTTGTGTCATCCAAAAGCTTAAGCGTTGTTCACAAGTTTTTATTTCTCAAAGGATTTCCTTCATACTTAGACACAACAACACTTGTAGTTGACCAGACTGAACTTGACCTTGACTCAATTTTGCCTGATTTAATTTTGTTTTAATTGGCTTTAACTTGGTTATTTTACTTATTTATAAATGGATTGTCTTTATATACTTCAACAGAGCAAGATAAGACCTTCAAGTAGACCAAATTAATTATGACCTTCATTTATTATAGACCTTGAATGTTAACTTAATTTTTATGCCCCCACAAAGTGGGGGGCATATAGCGTTGCACTTGTCCGTCCATCTGTACGTCTGTACGTCTGTCCGTATGTCCCAAAATTTTGTGAACGCAACTCCTCTTAAACCGGATGGCAGATTTTGCTTAAACTTCCAGGGATGAACAACCTTAATGTGTTGATGACAGTAAAGGAAGGAATTTTTGCTGCGACCAAATTTAGCAGAATTATGGCCCTTTGTTGATTTTTTCACTATATACTATGTAGAAATTTTGTGAATGCAACTCCTCTTAAACCAGATGGCAGATTTTGCTTAAACTTCCAGGGATGAACAACCTTAATGTGTAGATGGTACAAAAGAAAGGAATTTTCGCTGCAACCAAATTTAACAGAATTATGGCCCTTTGTTGATTTTTTCACCTTATACCATATATATGTTGTCAATGGGGGCATCCGTGTCCTTTGGACACAGTTCTAGTTACTTTAGCTTTGTTATTTATGAATAGATTGTGCATATTATAGCAAAAAAACCTAATAAGGACAATGTTAATTAGAAAATCAAACTCAATTTCACCTTGATTCATAAATGACCTTGACAGTGAAATTATTGTTATTTCAGTTTTTTTGCTATATTTAGTTATAACTTTATAAAGTGCAAATAGATTTTTCCTCATACTTGGACATTGAAGAAGATTTAAACTTGACTATTAGACCTTAATTTGACCTTGACACTAAAGGTCAAATTATTGCATTTGGTTCTATTGGCCATGCCTTTGTTATTTATTTATAGATTGGACTTATCAGACAAAAGAACTCATGACAAAACTGACATGTTAAATGATTCGAATGTGACCTTGACTTTTATTTGACTTTAATTGCCATGGTCAAACAATTGAAATTTGCTTAAATTGTCATAATTTTGTTCATTCCCATTTGTTGATGGCTCTTGTTTTTCTTTCTCTTTTGTAATGAATATTTTTACTTTCCAGGTAGAATACAAGGTTGAGAAAATGAAGGTTTGGTGAAAGTTTGGTGTGTGTATTAGAAGTGTGTGGAGTTGTGAAGCAGACAACAATGTTTGAGAGTGCAGTGTCATATGTTCTCAACAGATTTCTCGGAAAATATGTCCAGAATCTTGACTCTAGCAACCTCAACGTCAGCATTTTCAAAGGTAAGTTTGTTTGTGTGTTTTTTCAGTGGATTTTACTCCAATTTCTGTACATGTTTTTGGTTCAAACCAGATTTCTTGGATAAGTAACGGGTAATTATGAATTTCTCAGCAAGTGCCGACTATAATCCGACATGATATCTGAATCTGCACCGAGAGAAAATGACCAAGAGACTCAGACTCGATGTCGGATATAAATAGTCACGGAAAAACTACACCTCACCAGGGGATTGAACCGGCTATGCCAGGATATACTAACCCCATGCTCTCCCTGTGGAACTAAGTGGGCGGACAGATTTGAAGTGGAACAGTGCATAAAAGTCTCTATTGGGTCTTCCTCACATTTAAATTTGGTATAATTATAAAGTCCTTTAATCTAAAGGGTAAGGATAAACCCCATGGAAATGGAAAGATATTTTCATACCTAGAATTTCCTTGCATTCTAGTGTTTTTGCACTGACGCTGAAAAAAATACATGTACCTTGCATGTTAAGGTGACATCATTCAAGCATCTTTTTGAATGACTTGCATGCTTAGGATTCATTCTGCTATAAAAATGAAGTTGTGAATTATAACATAAAACTAGTTACTTTAAATTCACTTTTGTTCCTTCTTTTTGAAGTCTACTTTATTTGTTATATGCTTTAAAAGAATCAAATATTGGCTGTTTTCACAATTGGGAATATTTATTTCTTGAGTAAGTTTTGCAGAACGTTGTTACTTCCATAAAGTCTGTACAGACAGAGTGTATACGACCTTATGTGATATGAAGTCAAGTTAAATGAAAAGTGTGTTGTTTGTCTAATTATTTAAACATATTGTGTAATGGAACTGACTTTGTCTGAATATTTCTTGAGATATATCTTGTCGTTGTCTGTCCTTCTTATAAATGAACATGTTCATTATCAAGATGACCTTTATGTTATATCACCAGTCGAACAAAATTAATCGAAGCAGTTCTATTTTAAGTGGCAGAGCGCTGAAATTGTTGCATCTATAAAATTGTTAATCTATATCATATAGACATTATTCAGTATTGGACAGACCATCCGTGCATTGTATTGTATTGAATGGAATTAAATGAAGCAATTTTATGTTATTGACGGGGCGTTGGAAATGAATCACATGCAGCAAACTGCGAGCAGTCTTGAAGAATGTCTCAGCAGATTTATATAATTGTGTGACAATATACGAGCACACAGTGTCGTCTGGTAGACTGTTGATTTGTAATCCCGCTTGGAGACTAGAACGTTTACTGTAATGTCGGGTGTACATTATCACAACATCATATTCTGCAAAAGTCTTGTTTGATCCATTAATACAATGTTAATCATAGATAGAATTCTGGTGCCAGTTATGATCTATGCTTGACTACATAATTATAATGTTATGTTTCTAAATATCGTATTATAAATTGTTATATTTTTGATGAATTACCTGAGTTTCTAGTATATCTTAAATAACTTAATATCTACAAAAACGTAGATTTTAAATATGGAAGATAAGTACGTTTTTATGAAATATGTACATTTTTTAAAAAATTTATAGTACATTGAAGTTGATTCTAAGTACTGCTTTTAGTTGATCCATTTTCGGAATTCAGAGTAATTAAAAATACAAGATTTGTACTGCTATTAAGAAAAAATCATATATATTTTTTAGGTAACTTACTTGAAAACAGTGTTAGGTATGCTAATAAATGGTCATAGTTGGTAAAACTGGAGAGTCACCTGGTCTGTATTTTTGTTATTAACAAAATTAATGACAAAGTCAGCAATATTTGAGTTTGAGTCAAGATGTTTGCTAGGTAGAGAAATGACATATAAAGTTGTTAATTCCATTATAAATTAGGCTAATGTGAAACACCATGAAGATATTCACCAGGATATACCCAACATAGTGCTGGAATAAAAAGAGAATTTATATAAAAAAAATTTTTAACAAATTGTAAGAAAACTCTTGAATTAGCGAGCAAAAATTTCTAAAACCAAGATGGACAGCTGGAACCTTGCACATGATTCATTAAACCAAGATGTACAGCAGGAATTTTTCAAATGCTTCAGTAAACCCTGAGACTGAAGCTCACTCACAGTAAAGGTTTCAATATTTCCAGATTGACAGCTGGAACCTTGTCAAGGTTTCAATATACCTAAAAATCTTCCTTTTTTCAAAAAACCCAGTTGGAATCTAGAATCTTGTTAATGTTTCAATAAACCCAGATGGAATCTAGAATCTTGTTTATGTTTAAATAAATCCAGTTGGAATCTTGTTTATGTTTCAATAAACCCAGATGGAATCTGGAACCTTGTTTATGTTTCAATAAACCCAGTTGGAATCTAGAATCTTGTTTATGTTTCAATAAACCCAGTTGGAATCTAGAATCTTGTTTATGTTTCAATAAACCCAGATGGAATCTAGAATCTTGTTTATGTTTCAATAAACCCTGTTGGAATCTAGAATCTTGTTTATGTTTCAATAAACCCAGTTGGAATCTGGAATCTTGTGTATGTTTCAATAAACCCAGTTGGAATCTAGAATCTTGTTTATGTTTCAATAAACCCAGATAGAATCTAGAATCTTGTTTATGTTTCAATAAACCCTGTTGGAATCTAGAATCTTGTTTATGTTTCAATAAACCCAGTTGGAATCTAGAATCTTGTTTATGTTTCAATAAACCCAGTTGGAATCTAGAATCTCGTTTATGTTTCAATAAACCCAGTTGGAATCTGGAATCTTGTTTATGTTTCAATAAACCCAGTTGGAATCTAGAATCTTGTTTATGATTCAATAAAAACAGTTGGAATCTGGAATCATGTTTATGTTTCAATAAACCCTGTTGGAATCTGGAATAATGTTTATGTTTCAATAAACCCAGTTGGAATCTGGAATAATGTTTATGTTTCAATAAACCCATTTGGAATATGGAACCTTGTTTATGTGTTGGAATCTGGAACCTTGTTTATGTGTCAATAAACCCAGTTGGAATCTGGAATCTTGTTTATGTTTCAATAAACCCAGTTGGAATCTAGAATCTTGTTTATGTTTCAATAAACCCAGATAGAATCTAGAATCTTGTTTATGTTTCAATAAACCCTGTTGGAATCTAGAATCTTGTTTATGTTTCAATAAACCCAGTTGGAATCTGGAATCTTGTGTATGTTTCAATAAACCCAGTTGGAATATAGAATCTTGTTTATGTTTCAATAAACCCAGTTGGAATCTAGAATCTTGTTTATGTTTCAATAAACCCAGTTGGATCTGGAATCTTGTTTATGATTCAATTAAAACAGTTGGAATCTTGAATCATGTTTATGTTTCAATAAACCCAGTTGGAATCTGGAATAATGTTTATGTTTCAATAAACCCAGTTGGAATCTGGAATAATGTTTATGTTTCAATAAACCCATTTGGAATCTGGAACCTTGTTTATGTGTTGGAATCTGGAACCTTGTTTATGTGTCAATAAACCCAGTCGGAATCTGGAATCTTGTTTATGTTTCAATAAACCCAGTTGGAATCTGGAATCTTGTTGATGTTTCAATAAACCCAGTTGGAATCTGGAATCTTGTTTATGTTTCAATAAACCCAGTTGGAATCTGGTATCTTGTTTATGTTTCAATAAACCCAGTTGGAATCTGGAATCTTGCACATGTTTTAATAAAGCTAGTTGGAATCTGGGATCTCGTTAATGTTTCAATAAACTGGTAGACGGACAGCTGGGATTTTGTAAATGTTTCACTAAACCCAGATGAAAAGCTGGAATCTTGTTGATTTTTCAATAAACCCAGAGGGACAGCTGGAGTCTTGAAAATGTTTAGAAAAAACCTGAAGTCTTGCAAATGTTTAAATAACCCAGACAGACAGCTGCAATCTTAAAAATTCTTAAAGAAACCAAACAGACTGTTGGAATTTTGAAAATGCTTCCATAAACCAAAGCAAACAGGTGTTATCTTGCAAAAAGTTTCAATAAATCCAGACAGAAAGCTGGAATATTCTGTACAACTGCTCTATATATAACTAGATGAATGTATTTCATTTGTTTCTGAATCAATTAAAACATTTTTTTATGGAATGACATTTATATTTTGGTTCTTCCTAAAAGCTTCTTCCATGTATGTGATAAATGAGAATAATATATATCTATTGAAACATGGGAGGCATATTTTCATCTTTGCTCCAAATAATATATACAATAAATCATTAATGATATTCATACAGAAATTGATACAAATTGTTGAGAATCCTGGATTTGTCGGAGTAACTCATGTAGGATTTTCTGGTTCCTGTTACACACAAATGCCTTGGAGAGAATGTTTCTTTACAGGCAAATGTCAAGTTTAACTTGTGATTAGTGATTTAGTTGTGACCCTTCATCATTGTCAATATTACAATTTTCTTGTATCTGTCTTCCTTACCTTGTCCTGGGAGACAACGCATTGTCTGGGAATTGCTTCGTTACTTATAACACGTATATATTTCTCTGATAGAAACTATAGTAATAACTTGTGCTTCTTAGTAATTTTAGTCTGTAGAAATTATATACATGTAAATATTTTACAGCGATCATTGTATTATATTAAAGATTTATATCCCTACCCTGTTTAACGGACTTTAAATGTCCAGCTTTCAGACTGGACACAATCATTTATCATTTTTAGGGTAAATAAAAAATAAAATTACTGACTTAAAAAGCTTGAAGACAGTGACCATGATCAGTTAACATGAATGTGATACATTTGCTCCCAGCACTGGCTAATGGTTAAATTTTAAAAAAAACACATGGAAAATGCTGGATCAATTTATGGTAAATGACACATGAATAAAGTTATGATGGAAACCAGGTGGTATTTATTGTAAATAACAATCTAAATGACTTTATTCTTTTATATTAATATAACTTGTAACTTTAATACTTCTATTATTTTAACCATACCATTTATGGTTTAGCAAAACAAATATTACCTTACATAAAAAAAACAGCAACAAAAAATAATGGTGCTTTT